TTTAAAGAACTTTCTAGTTTTTTAACTCTTTTAGTATCTTATAAGTATGTATTTCTATAATTTAGTATCTAAATATCTTGTAATAAAGAGTTTACATCTTCTTAATATTTATTACTAAGTAAATATATTTAAACTTTCTCTTTTCTTCTTAATATAATTCCTAAAATATATATATCCTTTGTATTCTTTATAGTAAGGGCATAACTAATTTAAGTATAGAAAGTATCTATAAAGTTCTTGCTAAGTATAGTAATCTAAAACTATAGTAAAAGGTTTCTTAACTTTAGTAAGTTCTGCTCTTCTTAAATTAAATTCCTTAATGTCCTTATCATTTTTAATTTCTTCCTATATTAAGCTTTAAGTAATAGTCTCTTATCTATATTTGAGTTTGCTTAGCGTGTTCACGTGCTGTAACACTTAACTAAACTATCAAGAAATGTTAGCAATCTAGTATAACATTTATATAAGATAATACCCTAATTTATACAGCCAAAAAAGTTACGAAATAGTTCGAAGATCAAGGTATACCAGTACTTGATTAGGCACTCTATTCCCTAGATTTGAACCTAATTGAACACGTTTAGGCTTGGATGAAGCAGTAGATTAATCAGCAGTATCCACATCTTAAGGATCTAGGGGATTCGCAAGCAGCGTACGATGAATTGGCTCGAGTAATCGTAGAAGCATAGAAGGCTATTCCGCAGGATAAAATTGACTCCCTAATCAAGTCAATAGATAACCGGGTGAATGCCGTACTGCGGGCAAAAGGATGGCACACCAGATACTAAATCAAGAGACCTAATTAGGAAATTAGTACGATTACAATCGCTAGACATTAACAGTCATTTTGAGCTATTTTTCATAAAATTCCGATCAGAGTTCAGTGTGTAATAGTAAAATGTATAGAGTAGAGAACAGTTAGGGGGGGTAGTAAAATTCGTGTGCACGGAGACTTTTGACCTAGTACTGTAACGGTAATTTGGAGCAGAAGTTTTACTGGGTAATCCTTGGCGCCACCTGCCTGGACCACCCTGCCAGACCCTTTTTTCAACTGTATTTGCAATGTCCTCTCCTTCCAAACTCTGGGGGAGTCCTGGCAATGTGGTTTCATCCAGCGGCCGCAGACAAACACAGAAGAAGGCGCCTTGCAAGACCATCATGGCGGGGTTTCGTTCTCCACGCCATCCTTCCACCGAAGTAAAGATCGATGCTTGGTGGTAACAGCTCATCTAGAGATTGATAGGCTTCTGCACCACCCCGTCTAGCTTAGGCCGCAGCGGTCTCTGGACGTGAAAAAGCTCTGGCACTTAAAGCTAATGAATACTCTCCCTAGCCATCTGGATTGTGAATGAATAACGTCTGCTAACTACTGATATAATTGAAACTGCAATGCCTTTCTCGTGTCCGTTGCATTAACGTGCTTATTTCTGCTGAGTTCCCACCTCCAGGACCGAGACGAAGGCCATAACATGGCAGTGTCAAACTTTGTGGCTGTCTGAGAGCTACGATGCTCGCCAAAACAGGCCAAGTTTGCAGTTATTAAGTACGTGTTCAACTTTCTCTGAACATGTATTGAGCATATGCCCCAATAACGGGTCAAAGATCGTCCACTGCCATTACATTCAAAGTCATAGCACGAATACTCACCAGTGAGCAAAACAGCACTCATCAAGATCTCTTTCCACTGATTCAAGACGCAGCGGGACAGCTATCTAAACAAGTATCATAGCTGATGCATCAAGATTAACACAATCGCTCGTAATGATATGCCTTCTACCTTCGCTCGGAACTTGCCCTGCTCGCCCTGCAGGTCAACTATTTTAGCTCACCGCGTTTAGCTCACCGCCGTGCAACCCAGCTGACCACAAGTTCTCAGGTAAATCTGGATTATAGCAGTCATGACACAGTCCCGGCATCAGCAAAAATCTCACATGAGCAAAGCAGAAATACTCCCACGATACATAGTCACCACTTCCGCCTATCCCGAACCTGCTCGACTCGTCTGGTAGATTATTCGTCGTACCCCATCTCCCTCAGACGTCTTCGATATTCCTCTATAACCTCTTTGCACCTCGTGCACGTGAAATGTCCAATGGGAACTTTCTCTACATCACGCGGGTTGTTGGGGTCTGGATCACCATTATTCAGGCAGTCTGATGGCCTGCCTTCCTGCTGGGCACGGCATGCTCTGATCATTTCGCCTCTGCGGCCTTTGTTGTTGCAACCAGGGTACCTAGAGCATCCTCGACATTTGTCGTATTCTCTGATGAGTATACACATTGGGAACGCTCTCGGTAGATGAACAACTGGATCTTCTCTGGCTTTGGGCCCAAGGTCTGCCCAGCACGTTGCGGAATTGCTATGAATGCTCCCTTACTGGATATCAGTATAAATTTTGGTCAAGAGACGTTGGTATCTATTTTCCGTACCTTATCAAGCAGCTGGTCGCTTTCAGGTGCCGTTGCCCTGGTGTTCAGCTTCTGTGGTATGTTGTGGAAGTCGCTTGGCTCAGGTGCTGTGGGTCTTTTGACAACCACCGGGAGCATGAACGCTTCTAATATACAATGCGCCGTTCATTGTGAATCATCGTTCGTCGACTTCCCCTACCCTGACTCCCTGAACGCGTCGATTCAGCGAGGCGGCGCCATTCCCAGAGAAGTAAACCCATCGCAATAGGCAAACGTTCTGTGACTTGAGCCATTGTGCTTCACCGAACCCACGTCAGATTACGAATCGATGGTGACGCTGAAGCGCAAGTCATTACGATCAACTAGAGCATGGCAGATGGTCGCCCCCAATAGAGGAGTTGCCCCAGATCACTGAAGGTCAATGACTTTCTGGTGGAAAAATCATACACGTACGTAGTATGTATTTTCAATATGATTGCTCTTCGCTCCGAGCAGATTCACTGATCATGAATCCCACCAGCGACAGCGTCGTCAGCGAACGCGCAGGGAACAAGACCAGGATTGCCAGGCCAATGGGGAGAGAGAAGGGGTTTTGGAGTTTTGAAAAACCCTCCCAACGCATCTACAGAGGAAGAACGAAGCAGACGCCAGCCGAACTACTATCATCCATCCTCCGGCCCTGTTCAATACATGGAACACGGAACGAAGATGAGGTTTCTGTATGCCCCGAGCAATTTCCGAGTAAGGAAAAAGAAAAGCAATATAAGAAGTGTTTATCAATCTGCAGGAGGTCCGTAGAAAGCAAGTTGTTCTATCTAATCAAGGGGCAGCGTGCGTAGATATACGTAACAATTTTGCGGTACTGTACAGTGAAAATTAGAAGCGAAATCACAGTACAAATTGACCCATCAAAATGCATGGATCACGCAGTAGAAACGCAGTAAATCGCGCGCCAATAGGCGCTCTCAAATGTCCGACAAGACGCAATATGGGGAATTTGGCGAGTTGTAAAGCGAAAAGCGGGCTCAACGGCGATGAATAACTGACTGCGTGAACACGAGTTCGTATTTCCGGTTCGCTTCGGTCGGAGGGGTCAATCGATCATCTTACCCGCTGCTGCTTGGAAGCAGCAGTCAAGAGACGGCAATCGGACAGGAATCCCTTCTCCCCTCTGACTTCGAAATCCGCACGGTGATCAATCAATGAAGACGATGGAGAGCTTAGCAGCCTTTGTTGAAGAACAGTACAAGGTAGCATCCTGCCATTTACGCAGGCTAACTAATTCTTGTATCCATAACTATAGTAAGGAGCGAAGTGCCTAGCTCTAGACACCAGCACAAAATTAGAAATCCAACGGTCGCAACACTTTAAAAAAGTGAACAGCATTCTTACCCTAGCCGGGTCCATTATCGTCAAATTTCATAATAATAATAAAAAAGCCAAACCGTATTCCATGCGACAGCGACCATCGATAACGAGAACACTCACATTCCCATTTGACCTCACCCGTAGCCCCCTTCAGTCACGATTCCCAAGCAAGAACCGGGCCCACCACCTCTCCATCCTCTGCACGGAGTCCCTGACGTTCTCGCCACTCGTAAATACATGTCCTTCCCCTTCATAAACCACGACCTCACACTCCACTCGTCCCTTACTGACCTCGTCAATCCTGTTCTTCAACCCCGTCGCCTGACTAGGGGGCACGATCTTATCTTGCTTGCCCGCCAGGATCAGCAGGGGAGACGTGATGCGCTCTGCGTTGTGGATCGCACTCCTCTCGCGTATGATGCGCTCTTGGTCGTCGAGGGAGGCGTTGGGCGGGAAACACAGTGGTTGGAGATATCTCGATTCGAATTTGTGCGTCTCGGCAAACATGGCGCGCAGGTCGGAGATGCCGCTCTCTGCTGCCCCGGCGTGGAAGACCTGCGGGTAGGTGGCTAGTGCTTGCATGGTTGCGTAGCCGCCCGCACTCAACCCCGTGATGCCCACTCTGCTTTTATCGATCCAGCCCTTGTCGGCGAGATAGTCGACCGCGCTAGCCGCGTCCGCGATGTCTGCCACGCCCCACTGGCCGTTGAGGAGGGATGCGTATTCCTTGCCGTAGCCGGAGGAGCCGACATAGTTTATTTGTACTAGGGCGTAGCCGCGTGTGGTCCAGTATTGGTCGCGGAGAGAGAGGCCGATGCCCGTCTGCCCGGTTGGTCCGCCGTGGATGGCTACTATTAATGGTGGAAGAGCTGAAGGGGGTTTGGTGTAATTTGGGTTGGTTGGGGCAAGGAAGAGGGCGTGGGCGTGGCCGGACTGGGGTCCGCTGCGGGTGCGGGGGTAGGTGATGGGTTGAGGTGTTGAGAGGAAGGTTAAGGGGAAGGAAAGGGAGATGGATGGTTTGAGGGTTCTTGTGGTGAGGGGGTTGTCGAGTCTGATGTGATACAGGGCTTTTGGAGTTGAGGCAGTCGAGCCTATGACGGCGAAGGACTTTGGTGATGTGCGTTTCACGGCGGTGGAATTGACCTCGTTGATTGGAATGGCGGGGTCGGTGAAGTCTCCTGTTGTGACGTCGATTATGATGGCTTTCTGAGATCCGTCAAGGTTATAGAACGCGACGAGCTTCTCTGATGATAAGGAGGCATATGTTGAGCTAGAGTTGATTAGAGGATGCCTTGTATTATGCGGTGGGGAGGTCACCTTCCAAGGGACCATTCGGGTGCCCCAAATTCTGCTTCTTCAAGACCTTTGACGTGAACATATCGTACTTCATTGTCCACTAATTGATACAGTTGCCAGAAGCCGGTACGGTCTCCAACAAAGAAGAGAGAACCATCCTCTCCCCACTGCGGCTGAGTGATGCTCTCCTTTATATCCCGGCCAGCGACCACCTTCGAGTTGACTACCTTCCCCTGCTGCCAGTCGGCAACCCACAACTCATTGTAGTGCCATGGCATGTTCGGATGATGCCATTGCGTCCACGAGACACGCCTGCCATCTGGACTAAAGCGAGGATATGCATAGAAATCCGCGTCCCTTACAATGGTATGTACAGTTCTCGTGCTGGAGTCGATGGCAACAAGGGTGTTTTCGATGTCTTCGATTCTGCTTGAGTGGTGATCTTCTTTGATTGCTAGCACCCATCTGGAGTCTGTCGGGTGGGCATCGAAGTCTGCATAGTAGTTCTTGAAATCTTCTTCGATAATGGGCTCCGCTTTGAGTGTCGCTGGATCCAGGTCGAAGACGAGGTTGCTTTCAAAGTCGGAGAAGATGATATGACCAGTGTTGCTCCTGACAGTGAATGAAGCTCCTCCATACTCGTGCACGTGCGTCAGAGCATTGTATTCCTTAGGCAGGATGTCACGATGTGACCAACCATCATCACCAATTTCAACGATACAGCCACGGCCACTTTCAGCAGGCCTCACCTCAAGGAGGTGGATTCTACCATTCGGTTGCTGCCGGAAATTAGCAAGGCTAGCACAACCGAGAGATTGGATTGTTGACTACTCACACTGACGACTACCTCTTTTAGAGATACCGCACCGGCAGCGAAAATGTCGGCAGACAGTGGGCTTCTCCATGTGCCATAGGGCGCTTCCTGAGGCTTTGACATGATCGCTCTGGTCAGAGCCAAGTGAAGAAGACGAAATGTCCATCATGAAGTTCGCTACTGGGGTCCTGCTCCGGAAGAATCCTAGGAGAAGAATACAAGACCAAGTATGAAACAGGAAGGTGGATAGATGCGGAGGGGGAAGCATGAACCTTAGCGGCGATCTTGCTGGTGTCGCTCGAATAACCATCAGAAATTTCCAAAGACAAGGTATTGCCAAGGAAGGACGTAAGCGTCTTATGCAGTGTAGGCATTGGCTTGCATTAGAAGGTTGAAATCTGCATCCATTGGTGAACGTGTATCGTATTCCATGGGCCACTGCCATTGCGTGGCACAAGAATATCGAAGAGTCCAAGCGATCATGTAGGGTTGTCTCCCACTTTGCATGCTGTTATTCCTTCTGGCCTGATCTCATATTCAATAGGATCTGCTGTGGCGGGTGTCCATGGAGCAAAGACAAGACGCAGAAATCTCCGCTTCTTTCTGTCCTTCCAGATATTTCCTCCTTGATAGCTGACCATAGCGCCCTTATCATTACATGGTATAGCTTTCCCAGCTTCCAATTTTAGCGCAACTCTGCAGGCGATCTGATTCGTCCATCCAAGACCTAAAGCGGGAGTCTTAAGTCCTTCAGACGAGCTTCCACATGTCTCGTCTCCCCAACCAGTGAAGAAACGTTGCTGGAAATCAAGATGTAATGACGTTTCACGGGCACTGTCCTCTGCGTGTCCGGCCAATGAAGGTGGCACCCCTTGTGTGCTTGGAGGTGCTGGTGAAGACGAAATAATCGGGCTGGAGGAAGAATGACGATCCTGCCGGACTGTGGCATGCAGCTCATCGAACCGGTCACTAACCTGGTTGGCAACCACAACCGCGATATTCTCCTCTTTTGCCAAGTCGCGTAGGGACTTTCCCAGCTTAGCTAGCTGTGCAGCCCTGTTGGCGAGATCTCTGGGCACGGATGAACCATGCTCTGCTCTGTAGTTGGCAGCTACCGAATCTAAGACGACAAGACCCACATCGTACTTGCGAATAGCATGAGGAAGCTGAAAGGCTAGAATATGATCTTGACTTTCCAGATCCTGTACCGGTATTGCGAGGACTTGGGAGAGGGAAGGCTTCTCGGTCGCAGGTAATTGTGCCAGACGAGGATGAGATTCGAGTAATTGTGCTAGTCGAGTCGTGCAAAGCGGTGCCTCAGTGGAGATATAAATCGAGTTTCGTGAAAGGCCTGAAGGAGCTGGTAACTGGACAGATAAGAGGAGGGTGAGCAGGAATTGTGTCTTGCCAGCAGCACTGCATTTGGTCGTCAGTCATTGGCCGGTCCAATTAACAGTACTTCTGTGGACCTCTCGCCTGTAATCTCGGTGATATATCCTGTCGGTATGCCACCACCCATGGCTTCATCGAGTGCGGTATCCAAAAAGCTAACTGTATTCCAGCTCTTTAAGACATCTTTGGCAGGTCGGTTGCACTTCTCCAAGCCAGAATTTCTGCTGGACGTAAAGAGCTCATCGCTAGTATTGTGTGCCGTTACACCTATATTCAAATCATACTGTATTGCCTGGGCAATGTCCTGTGCTAGCCTGCGGAGGTCAAGTATTGGGAGCGTAGCACGCTTTGCAATTTCCAATGCATCAAGCGATAGAAGATCCGTGACTGTGATTCCATGTCGCTCGAGCGATGGTATGAGATGTGTATATGGTCTTGTAGAAAACTGAGGCAGGATGGTGGGCAGGTCGGTCATTTGCTTGCAGCATTCATCGAAATACAGCAAAGTCGGAAAGTGAGCAAAATGCTGTACTGGTACACCACCCCCATTTCTTAGCTAAATAACAGACCCCGCAAATGCGTAACAGACCCCGCAACTGCGCCCTATGCAGGGCGTTGAAATGGTTTAGGTCTTCAACGTCGGTCATCACCAAGCTAACCCGAGCTCAGTGTGATGAAGAGAATAGGTGCCTTGGGCCTGCATTCCCAATCCGATTCAAGGTGCTCTGGTCTCTATTAGACTTCCTCCAAGCCAGGAACGACTACGAGTCAGATGATCGAGCCAGCTGGCTAGCGGTGGAGTTTGCCAACGCAAACAATGTCCACTACTAGCATTTACGGAGTACTAGTAGTTCCTTATCATCACCCTTCCGAGCAATGTACCGAGGTAATATAAGTATATTGGTAAGTGAACACAGTGCTCGACAAGGGTTGCTCCTTATCGGTTTCTTGCTTCATCTCACCCCCGTCTTGGGAGGCATAATATCTTTGTTGTTGAATTGAGATTTCTAATCTGGTTGCAGTACTGTTCCCTTTAATTTAATCTGTTCCTACTGTTCTTTCGTTGTTTCATTATGGCAATCCGTGGCCTGACCGAGAAGTTGATTGGATTAAGTACCGCAAGCAGATCGTCGAGACCGCATCCTCTGGCACGGTTGACAAGCCCAGAAATCGATATTGCCCGTCAAGTTGTTACCAAAGCCCGCTCTGGCCAACTCCTGCTTTTCCGAGACATTTTTGCTGAAGAGCCAGCGAAAGCGGATCTTGTCCCTTTCCTGGAGGCTGAGCATTCTGGCCAGCTCACAGAGGAGACATCGAGGCCCCCACGTCTAGCGAGGGTACAATATGATAAAATAGGCGACGATGGATCTCACGCATATACAGAGTCCGTTGTCGACGTTACCGCTCGCCAGGAAGTCCTGCATCGTGTCGTTGAGAAGGATGTCCAGCCATCTTTGACCCCGTTGGTAACTTAGTCCGCCTAACGATTAAAAGTCTAACCCACTATAACAGTGCTGAGTTCAAGAGATTCCAAGATGCATGCATTGCATCTCCAATGTGGAAGGAGGCCATTGAACAGTTCGAATTGCCTGACGGTTTTGGTGAGTTAGCTCACCTGGAGTAGAAGATTCTGGCTGACTCGTTCAGCTGTGTGTATCGATTCATGGCCATATGGCGGACCTGACCCCGAAGAAACTATTCCTAGGTATACCCAAGGTCTATGTTTTGCGAGAGATACACGAAAAGGAGAGCATTCGAATCACTATGGTTATCCGCTTCCCATCATTCCCGTCATGGACACGCATTCCTCCAAGCTCGTAAGAATTGACAAGCTAGCCACTGGAGGAACAGAGGACGCGCTTGAGTACAATACCCATCCGAAGAACGTTCTTGATCATTGCACCTCTGCAGAATACGTGCCCGAGCTCCTCTCAATCGATTTGCGCAAGGACCTTAAACCGTTGAACGTCGTGCAGCCGGAAGGACCTTCGTTCAAAGTCACGGATGAAAGCTTGATCGAATGGCAAAAATGGCGATTCAGACTCGGCTTCAACCCTAGAGAGGGCGCCACTTTGCACGACATTCACTATGATGGGAGGAGTATCATGTACAGGCTCAGTTTGTCAGAGATGACAGTGCCGTATGGGGATCCACGACCTCCATTCCATCGAAAACATGCCTTCGACTTTGGGGACGGAGGAGCAGGCAGAGCAGCAAACAATTTATCTCTGGGATGTGATTGCCTTGGTGTTATCAAATACTTCGATGCAGTGGTTGCAGATACAGAGGGTAAGCCTTCGGTCTCCAAAAATGTCGTCTGTCTCCACGAGCAGGACGCCGGCATCGGTTGGAAGCATACAAACTTCCGCAACAACCGTGCTGCAGTCACCCGCTCACGTGAACTGGTCGTCCAATTTGTCGTCACGCTCGCCAACTACGAATACGTGTTCGCATACAGATTCGATCAGGCCGCAGGCCTCACCGTGGAAACTCGAGCCACCGGCATCGTCTCAGTAGTGCATATTGACAAAGACAAAACTTCGCCGTGGGGCAATGTTGTCTCGCCGGGTACTCTCGCTCAAAACCACCAACACCTTTTCGCTCTTCGACTGGACCCAGCAATCAACGGGCACCGCAACACGGTCTTCAAAGAAGAAACCCTCCCCCTTCCCATGTCTCCATCCGCCAACCCGCACGGCAACGGCTACCGCGTCGTCAGCGAACCCATCACCAAATCCTCATTCCTAGACGCCTCCCCATTCACCAATCTCACCATCAAACTCTCCAACCCTCACATCCTCAACGCTATCTCTCGCAAACCAATCTCCTACAAATTTATCCCCAGCCCCTCCCAACTCCTCCTCGCCGACCCGAAATCCACCCAAGCCGCCCGTGCTCGCTTCGCAACCCACCACGTCTGGATCACCAAGTACCGCGACGGCGAGCTCTTTGCCGCCGGTGAATTCACAAATCAATCCTACTCTGAGCGTGGCGGCGTGGCTGATGCCGTTGCCCGTAACGACGATGTAGGAGATGCCGATGTGGTGGTTTGGAATGTCTTTGGCTTGACGCATAACCCGAGAGTGGAGGATTGGCCCGTCATGCCGATAGAGAAACATGAGCTGCATATTCGCCCTGCGGATTTCTTTGAGTGGAACCCGGCGTTGGATGTGCCGGGTCAGAGGAATGAGGCGAGTGTCTCGGTTGATGGAGATGGTGGGAAGGAGGACGCAGACTGTTGTAAGGGGGAAGGAGGAAGCGTGCAGGAGAGTGCTGAGACGCATTGGCAGGGGACGAGGGATGTGGTGCCGAATGGGGTTGTGAATGGAGATCGAAACGGGGATGGGGATGGGAATGGAGTGAATGGGCATTGAAGATTTTCTAAATGAGATGCGGACTGAGGAAAAAACAATGATAGTGAAAGGGCGGTATTTGCTTCGTCGTAATGAGAAGGCTGAAATTACAAAAATGGGGGTGGTTATTGCTCATGAGTCTGTTCTCCACGTGCAGCAGCGAGCAAGAAATCGAAACTAGTAATCATTGGGGACAAGAGAATGAAAAACATTGTCTCCTAGACGAACTAAAATCTTGTTACTTCCAACCCTTTTTTGTCCCAGCTCATTTCCATCGCCACATCATACATTTCCATCATCGGTCCCATCCAATCCCAAACTCCCAGGTCAGATAAATATGGCCATGGAGTGAAGTGGAGTCGAGTGGGGGCGCGATGTTTTCGAACTAAAAGAAAAAAAAACAATTAAAAATGAGCGTACACATATTATGCCTCAGACGCGGGGGGGGGGCAATGGAAGTATGTATGTATGTATGTATGTATGTGAAAAAAGTTTTGCTGAAGATGTATACTTGCATGTCCCCAAAGCACGCAGAACAAGAAAGAGGGAGATCAAAGAAAGATAAAAGGAAGGGAGGAAAGGGCACGTTTGGGAGCCACTCGTCCCACATCATCATCACCTTCATGTCCTCGTAAAGGAAAAAAAAAAGTCGCAATCTCCTACCACACCTGCTCTTCCACCCCAGCGACGATGATTTTCTTTCCTGTCTTTTCCGTCCAGGCCTGGATCGTTATCGCTGGCGGGGATCCGTAGCGCGAGCACCGAGACAGAAAGGATAGGTTCGAGATATCGGTCTTGTTGGTCCATAGCTCCTCTCCCTCCCTACACAACCCACTCTCTTTCGGCAGCGGATGATGGGGGTTGAATGGAGGAGGGGTTCTGTTTATTTCTTCTCCTTCTCGTCTTCGTCCAGCATCTCACCAAAACTGCTTTTTTTGCCTGCCGTCCTCTTCCGCTCTACTCCAGCGGGAGAGGTACTTTCTTCCTGCGGGCTGACCAACTCTTCCCTGTACGCTTCCATCCTCCCATCCAACGCGCCCATCCTCCCGTGACTCTGGCTCGGGTCCTGGTTTTGCACAGGATGGCTAGCCAGTCCACCCAACAGCTGACTGCGCCTCGAATCCTCGTCCGGCGTCAACGCGCCATCTGGAGAATTGAGCTGGTAGAGATCGGAGCTCAAACTGGAGATGTTGCGTTGGTGTGTGGGTCGACGTTGTAAGCCAGATTCATTTGCTGCTCCTTCCCCTCCAATCCCTCCATCGTTGAGAATGGCGTTGGCAGGGGGGATATCAGCGCTCACGTTCTTTGAATGGGCACGAAGATCAGGGCTTCGGGCCGGAGAGCTGGTGGGTGATGGGGAGGCAGTAAGTGAGCGACTGCCTACGTCTTCGGGCCGTTGGGGGTGGACGTAAGGACTCGGTGCGTCGCTACGGTTGCTGGAGTTGTTGCCAATGCGGCTGTCATTGCTGTGGGAGTGGAGGTAATTGGGGGAGTAGTGGGGGGACTGTGGGGATATGGGTGGGGAGCCGATGAAACCAAGACCGTGGATCTGGGGTTGGGAATAGTTTGATGCGCTGCCGCTTGGTTGGGATTGGGATGGTTGGTCAGAAGAAGTTCCCGATTCATGGGCAAAATCGATGGTGCGGGAGGTGTTGACGTCGGCTTCGACGTTGAAGGGGGTGGCCAATTCGGCAGGAGCCTTCTCTCTTTCATTGGCTTCCACTTCGTAGCGTTGCTGGCCCGCTACTTCTAAGCGGCCGACCGGGCTGGACACGCTGGTTTCGTTGTCCGCTTCGGTGGTGGTGTCGGATGTGTCGGTTTTGTGTTCGGAAGGTTGGTTAGGCATGCCGTTGACCCAATTGAGGATGCGGTTGTTAGAGCTGCTGCCGGCGTGAGAGCTGGTGAAGCTTTTACGGCGGAGTATTTTGCGGCGACGGTAGAGAAGAATCAGGACGACGATGATGGAGAGGACAATGAGACCAAGTACGACGCCCAGCACGGGTGCGACCCAACTTGCGAGGCCACCACTTTGGGAAATTGCTGTAGGCACAGGAGAGGTGCCAGGCGAACCACCTGCAGGGGAGTAGGGGTAGTATTGGTTGATTGTTCTAGTGTAGGGCGTTTGGAAGAGGGATTCGAGGGTGTTGTTTGAAAAGGATGCTGTTCTGGTGGCGCCGCCTTGACCGTTGCCGCCGATGACCGCTGTAACCACGTCCGGAACGGCATACTCGGCCCATTCCCTTGGATTGTATAGGTTCTGGAATTTCAAGGTGTTAAGATTGAAGATCTGAATAGGCCCATCCGTGAGACATTGCTGGGGGTTGGGGTTGACGCCGCCAATAATGAGCATCTGGTCGGGATAAATGCGCTCGCATCTGTGGCCCCGACGACCATGTGATCGAACCCCCGAATATGCCTTGACCCAGGAGAAGGATGGAATGGATAATATCCACACATCATCGAAAGGAACGCTGGTGTAGTTCAGACCGTCATAACCGCCATATATATAGATGTTGAAACTGGAGGCATCTCTGGCTGGTGCAACCACGGAGCAAAACGACGTCAGCTGTCCAGGGCCGTCGCCTGTAGTGTTCTGCATATACCAAGTCTGTGATACTATGTCATAGACTGGGAGTGAGGTCATGAAGCCCGGCGCCTGCTCTTCGGCATCAGAGCTCTGTGAGCTGTTCAAGGGGCTTGAGAGCAGGTATTCAACCGCGGTCATGCCACCTATTGCAACTAATGCGCCTCGGCCACCAACAGGAATCCAGACAAGTTCAGCACCGGCACGGGGTGGAATGTCGTCTGGGAGTGTGTTGTTTGACCATTGTTCGCCTCGCATGGTGGACATATCAACTTCAATCAGGGTGTCTGCGAGATACCAGTCTCTGGTCGACTCGGTGGTGGGCCCCCAGCCAGCTCCCCTGAGACCACTGAAGTAAAAACCCAAGTTCTCGCTTGGTGCCGATACTGAGGCACCGTTGCTCACATATCTGGTAACGTTGTCAGGCAATGTTCCTTGTATAAATCCTCTTGACCAGCTAATTCTCTCGGGACCATATTGATAGGCTTCGTAGCCCAATACTGCCTGAGCGTCTGGTGGAGTGTAAGCGTCGGTCAAACGAGTAAGGCCCCTGTTGACGTCAATATCGCACTGCCGGCAAGCAAACACTATTTTCACTTACCCATAGAGGTAGAACTCCCCCTCGTTGGCAAAGAGTGCTCCGTCTTCATAGTCGGGAGCAATGTTGTTACCGGCCGTGCCACCAGTCTTGGATAATGGTTGGAGGAGCGATGTAGTCTCGTTGAATGTCGAAGTGTCGAAGGAGTAGGAGAGATTGAGTGAAAACATGCGCCCGGTACCATCCACTGCAAGAGCAAATCGTGAGTAATGGTCCAATCGAGGTTCTCCACAGCACATACCATCAGGCACGGGAACGGGTAGACCATTACTGTCTGTGGCACTACCATGTATTAGTCCCAATGCCCACTCAACCGCAATGGATGCGCATACGTTTGCCACCATAAACCACCCCCATCGAGGTATATTGTGTCGCGTATAATGCCAGCTAAGATGATAGATCAGCTTGTGAGTTGGTAGCGGTGGGTGCCATGTAGCTACATCGAAGGCCGGCCCAGTTGCAAAATGTCACATTTGACTGAACGCCGGTTGCAGACTGCGCAAATGCAAGCGGTATGGAAAAGGCCAGGACAGCCGCTGTTCTTGACATTGTGCCTTGCATCGTGGGAGGCTCTGGCTTCGATGCAGCGGATTGAAGACTGGTAACAATGCGATGGCAGCGCCAAACGGCGAATTGATTCACTTCATAAAGCCACGCTAGAACACAGTCGACAAAGACAAGCAAGAATGTGCCTCAATCCTCTTGGTGTAGCGAAGAAGAACACTGCATGGAAAGAAGGGCACTTCCTGTTCCGGGCCCCAGGTGCGGCAGCACTTTGGAACCTTGTGCACCAGAGGCGATTTCAGACAGGTGAACGCTCTTGTTACATGCGGTTCGTTTGAACTTCCCGCAGGCAGCTAACTAAAGCTGTGACTCTCACTGGACGATTGGGCCGAGTGGGGGTGGTAGATCGTGCAAGGCTTTGCCCCGTGAGGGCATAGCGTCACTAAAGATACCGATAGTCACGTTCGTTAAGAAGGCTAAGCTTCGAGGAAGCCTGGCTGAGTGGTGAGGCCCCCGATCTAGCTAGATCAGTCCAGAGCTCACGAACTGATTGAGGCGGTGGAGGCGGAACCCGGGCATCTCGTGCCGAACAGAAGACGATAAGATAAGTTGGATCGATCCAGTTCTGAGCTGGTTGAAATCATTGATCAACAGTACAATGGAGGCCAGAGCGGTACTAGTGTTGGGCACGTGATGTCAAGACTCAGGAACATTGTACACGACAGACAGCGTTCCAGTTGATCGCTCCGTAAATCCTTGAGAGACAGATAGAAGCAGTGCATTGCTTTCCATTGGCCTGGCCCTGACACGCAGATCAATTGGGAATGCGAGCGTACAGTGGAGACCCAAGGTATTCCGGAATATTGCACACCCCTCTCGTCCCTCCATTCCAGGCTCGATATTGCTCATCATTGTCAGACACCGGATTTGAAATTGTTATACGGAGTATTGCTCGCACAGACGTTCCTTCGATTGTGTACCCAGGCTCGGCAAATTTTGCATCCCACTAAGCGACTTCAAGTTGGCGGAATTGTTCCTTGTCCTGGGCTACTAGTTAGTCCCTGTGGGGCTGGGGCTGACCCATGTTTCTTCCTTGATGTGACTCTCTGCGGCCGACACAATAATTTAGGTTTTTGCAGCAAAGGGCACGAGGTTCTTCCGCGCCGGAGGGAGTCGACCTCACGAGTCAGGTCGCAAAGGCCTCTGGAATAATATCATGCATTTTGTTATGGTAGTAATGAGCTACTCGGTACGGAGTACCAGGAGTAGATGTCTGTGTTAGTTGGTTTGCGGAGTCTTACTACGGTACCAGGCATAAGTATCGTTAGCGCGCCTCTAGTAAAAATGTCAATAACGTTTCTCATACAGATGGCCCCTGTCGCCCTTGTACGGCGATATGACCTCACTGTCGCCATTCTACGCGTTCTATCTTATTCTACGACGTTAATGAGGACTCCGATGAACGCCAGGCTATAACAGCTGCTTGAAATGCTGTATCAGAAGTCTGTCTTGTAGAGCTACTTGAGTCAATGCCAGCAAGGTGCCAGGCAGTTATGGATGCTAATGAAATGTACACTCGATTCTGAACATAAAAGGCTAGTCTTACTCGAGCCATTCTGTGGCGTTTTATCTTGGCATTTACAAACCGTTACTAGAGCGCGCTAACAATATTTATGCCTGGTACTGTAGTAAGGGCACATCCCCACTGCGGCCTAGGTGGGCCCACGTCGTACGACAGAAACGCGCCTCGCCGTATGCGGCTTTCGCACATCTCCGCTGCATGATGATAGATCGCGGAAGAAGCACAGGTTGCTTGATAAGATCAGGCCATTCCCAGTACTTTGACACGATTACATGGTTGACTTTGGAATGCACCTGAACCTGCAGCCTTTTATCGCTCTGTGCACATCGAGCTGGATAATTGTCCGATGCATTTGCTTTAGGATTGAAAGGTGGTAAGGATGGTTGGTTGTTGGCGGTTGGTGGCAAAGAAGCTGAGCCAGTCTAGCGGTTTGGCACCCATCGTTTCTTGATTGATTCATGATTGCACACTTCGGGCCAATCAAGGAAAAAATCGTTGTACAAAGAAACGGCCGGTGTATATTGGCATGAGCGAGGTGGGATGGTTATTGGTGAGCCTTGCCACATTTTGCCGAAGGATGACTTGTCCAAGGATTCCGGCCATTTCAAGCATTTCGTATCTCATTGAAGTTGTGTAGTGCAGTTTAACTTACTACGGATACCAAGTAGTCCAGGTTTTCAGGTGGTATGGGGAAGGTGACCCCGCGCGTGTAGTGGGCTGTAAGTAGCAGTGAACAGTACCACTTCAGGAAGAAGACCCCTGCACCGACCTGAATACAGTCTGCACACAGTCTGCACCAGTCTGCATACAGCGCTGGGTAGTCTGCATCACCTAGCCCCCCTGGCCACCGGTAAGTAACCATCTCTGACCATCACACATGGCATTGATTCAACACGGCTCTTCAGTAATACTCGTACTAGAACGCTGTATCACTGATACCGCGATAAGATCTTGGCGTGCTGCCAATACGTAGTACTAGTACTAGTTAGTGCTCCCAGCCTCTTCCCCATCGTGATGTTCCCCTCCTCCAGGCCCCGCCATCTCTCCAATCCCCGCTCAGGATAGACTCACCTTTCACGCGGAGAAATGTAAAAACTTATCAGCTTCGTAAACGTAGTAATCCTCTAAGGCTCCCCCAAGGCCACAAATCAGGCGCCTTTACGGAGTACCACGTAGTAAATCTGCTTGACCAACCCTGGTTGCGGCGTCCAATCCCAGTGTTCTTGTTTGTCGGAAATCCTGCTGGCTTCAATCAACACTGTCGCTCCTTTGGACACTACCACGTACTAGTAGTACGTACTCGACTCACCCTCAAGGCCAAGCCCATCCTTCGTGGAGATAATTCACCACTACTAGTACTACTGCAGGTCGTTGCGAGCTTATGCAAAATCTTCCGTCACCCTGGTCGAGATGGTGTCTAGAACTACTATCCCAATCACACCCGACACAGGTGGATGCTACCTTGCGTCTCCACTTCTCTATCGTCACCTAACCACAGCGGCATGGCCTGCCTTGCATTACCAACGATCATGGTAAAGTCAATAGTCCAATGCGGCAATGCTTCCGCAAGTCCTCCAATGGAAGTGCTGCGCTGCTGGAAGTCACATAGCTCCGATTCTTCCTATCCGAGCACGAGAGAGCCTCAGCTGCAGGCCTTGCTCGAACTTTAATCAAGCTTGCCTCGAAGGTTTACGCAATGAGCTGAAAGCTACTCGTTCCCTCCTCCTCGTCCTCTTCTGCTTCTCGTAGTCATTCTTTCACGAGGCTGCGTCGCGCTTCCTGTAGTGTCTCTCGTTATGACATTCGTTCAATACAGCTGCTTTCGTTAAGGTGAGGCTTCTGGCCTCTTTGATGTCCAATTTTTTGTTGTCCATCCTCTCTACTACCGTGGAGACAATATGAAGCTCCCTGCAGCAATTCTGGTCTCAGGCATCGTCCTGCTGGCTGGGGTCAATGCGCAGAATGGAACTTATGGTGCGCAGATGTATACACCGGCGTCGTCTCCAGCCAGGTGTTCGCCCGACGGGACAATCACCGTCACTCAGGTCAATCAGCTTTACGACACCCAGTATGAGACGCAATGGAAGACGACAACATACACGGAGAATAGGGCTGCAAGGACGATCACAACATATACTGAATTGTTGGGAGCAGAAGGACAACGAGGAGGATATGGACCACCCACGACAGTGACAAGGACCACCACTGTGTACCGGAATTGTATACCAGTAAGTTTACATCAGGGAGGAAAACTTGAATCCCTCTGCTGTCCCGATTACGCATCTGACAATTATGAAAGAGTCCTGCTGGCTATAGTCATCGAAATCGAAGACAAGCAGACAAGAATAATCCCCCAGCTCTTTACTGCAGTACAATCACTCAACCAGCCATAATCACAACCAGAATTATTACTTCGGAAAAACATCTCACCAAAACCGACAAGCAGATTTTGACGGATACAGAGACGACCGAGGTCACACGGACGAATACGGAGACTTTGCTGGTTACTATTGTGAGTCTCTGATTCCTGATCAAGATGCCACACTTACTAATCTCCTATTCAGACGGACGTATCGACCACAACAAGCGTCTCGACCACGACTTATACTTTTCCGGTGAGAATGATAGCTACGAATTGCGATGAAAGGACGCTCACAGGATTCTAGGTCACTATTACGATTACAAATACGGAAACGACTTCGCTTCCTCCAATCACCAGCACCTTCACCTACACCTCCATCCAGGAAATCACGGTCACCTCGACGTTTACCAGCATCTACACTTCTCCCACAACGGTCGTCTCGGTGACAGTTTCCCCAACCACCGTTACGCAGCCTACTACAACCACAGAGAGGACGACCGAAAGGACAACCGAACGGACAACCGAAAGGACAACCGAAAGGACAACAATTCCCAGTCTCACAACGCAGACAGATACCTCCTCCACCACAATCTATGTGACATCCATCAGCATCACAACCGCAACGCTGATCCAGACGTCTACATTTGTTTCAACGCAGACCACTACTTTCACCACTGTCTCCCCGACGACTCTGACGGCTACTGTAACGTCCACAAATACTGTGACCACCCCAACAACCATAACGACCACTGTGCCTACTACCATCACAAGTACGGTGACATCAACTTCTGTATCCGTTTCGACCACTACGAGTGTGAGTGTTCGGACTTTCTCGACCTCGGTCTTCGTGCCGACGACGATATTCAATACGACCACATTGTTCGTTCCTACCACAATTACCAATATAGTCACTTCTCCCGTGACAATTACGAATGTTGTGACTACCACGATTCCCACAACCACGAGTGTACTTGTGACTACCACTGTTTCAGTACCAATCGTCACGACCTCTTTCGTCACAAACACCATACCTATCACCACCGTTTCGACAATCCTCATACCAACTACGGTGATCAGTTTCGTGCCTACAACAATCATCTCGTCGATTACATCATTGGTTCCTACAACCATCACCCAAGTAATCACTTCCCTGATAACCACCGTCTCCACCAGTATCATTAACAACACGATATCGACAACATTTACAGTTACAACTCCGACATCCTTTACTGTCACTCTACCTGTCACTCAAAGTGTGCTAGTCACGGTTCCTACGACCATCCCTACCACGGTAACTGTGTTATCGACCATTACAACCCCCACTACTGTTTTAGTGCCTACTACCATCATCTCCACATCCACTTCGCTTGTGACAACAACTTCCATAAGCCTCATCACCAGTACGGCGACCAGTACTGTTACTATCACCACGCCGAGCACTGTCTTGGTGCCTACTACTGTGATCTCGACATTGACCTCCCTCGTCACCACGACTTCTATTAGCGTGGAAACCGATACGACTACGAGCACCTTGACTATCACAACGCCAACGACCGTCGTTGTACCCACTACTCTAACCTCGACATTGACTTCCCTTGTCACAACAACCTCTGTCAGCGTCATCAGCAATACAGTCACAAGTACTCTTACCATCACAAGTCCTACCACCGTCTTGGTACCAACCACAGTTTTCTCGACTCTGACTTCCCTTGTCACAACAACCTCTGTTAGTGTGAGCACTACCATTCTCACAAGCACTCTCACCGTCACCACTCCTACCACCATAACAGTCCCAACTACGGTGGTATCAACCGCAACTTCTCTGATCACTACCACATCTGTCAGCCTTGTGACTAGCATTATTACGAATACTTTGACAGTGACCACCCCGTCAACTGTTTTAGTAACCATCCCTACTACTGTTGCTGTTCCGACCACTGTCTTGATAACTACATTAGTTTCGGTGCCTACAACGATTTCCGTTCCTACAACTATTCCAACCACCGTTTCAGTTCCCACAACTGTCTTGGTGACGTCCGTTGTTACGTCGGTCGTGGTTTCGACGCTACCGGCTTCCACAATTACTGCCACCAGTATCTTCACAAGTGTTCTGCCGGCAAGCACCGTCTTCTCCACAGTGACGCTGCCTCCGAATACAGTGACTTTGCCACCAGCTACAATAACTATCTCGGGAAGCACTGTGACAGCGCCTGGGCTCACATCTGTCCTGCCTGGAACCACACTCACGCTACCAGGATCGACTACTACGGTGACTGGTTCTGTGGTTACTCTTCCGGGTTCAACAGTAACAGTTGGGCCAAGCACAATAACCTTACCCGGAGCCACGACGACATTGCCTGGCGTTACAATCACTTTGCCTGCATCGACAACAACACTGCCTGGTAGCACTATCACTTTGCCAGGTTCGACAATATCTCTGCCTGCAAATACAGTAACTCTTCCAGGATCAACAAGCATTATTCCTGGCAGCACTGTCATCTCAACATCTGTTCTTCCCGGCTCGACAACCACACTTACAGATGTCACAACTATCACAATACCTGGGTCAACCATCACTTCATCGTCTCTCGTCGTAATCACAGCACCACCAGTGTCGAACCCTGCAGTCACCATCCCGGGAACTACTCTTCCTGGAACAACCCAGTTGGGCTCGACCCTTACCATCCTCTCTACTGTCACCATTGCGAACATTACACTTTGTCCGACACGCACAGTGAACCCGACCTATACAGCACCTTCAGCATTGCCAACGGACTACACATGGGGTTGTCCACCAGGGTGGTTGTGCAGGCCGAGACGTGAGGACTGCAATTTCGAAGTTGGTCCTCCTGACCCTGGTTACTACTGTTCTCCTGACGAATGCCAACCTGTGGTGCCTCGACCTCGACCTCCTGTGCAATACTGGGGAACACCAGTGATCAGTAACGATACTCCTATTACAAACACCAGTCTGAGATATAACACGACCAATGAGTTTTTCAATTGCAACCCACTTGACTTTGGCTTGAATTATTCCATTTTTGCGGCATCAGAGGTCGTCACCAGTACCACAATCGCAGGTGCAGTGTATCCTACTGCGAGGGCCTTATTTGGGCGTCAAGCGTTGCTTCCTGTGCCGGGTGCCTGCTATGACGATTGCAATAATTGTGCAGTTGAGGTGCAAACGACAGGCAAAACCCCTGCCATCTGTGAAGAAGATTCTGCTTTCCAAATATCACTTGGTAACTGTCAGACTTGCATAAGCACGAAACAGAGTGCTTCGACGTCTGACTTCACAAGGATCGAACCGAACTTCAGGCAATTCCTCGACTTCTGTAACGTTATACGCGTTCTTGGAGCTGCTAATGAATCTCCTTCTGGTGGTGGCGGCACTGCACAAGCACAGACTACAGGCCCAACGGGTCCAGCTCCATCCTCTGCAACACAAGCTCCATCCTCTGCAACACAGGCTCCATCCTCTGCAACACAAGCCCCATCCTCTGCAGCTGCTTCATCGGCCAACCCCGGTACCTCATCTAACGCAGCCGGATCTGGTGCAAGCTTGGGTACTTCATTGGGGGTTGGGACGGCGAGCTCAGCCGGACCGCCGGGCAACACGGGTGTCACCCCAGCTAGTACCACGGTCGATTCGACTGGACAATCAGCGGCTGGAGGAAGCGCCTCGCCAACTGGTGACTCTGCAGGAGCAAGCTCTCCAGGTTCAGCTGGGACCGGGACACCCACCAGCGGATCCGGATTTGGCACCACAACTTCAACAAGCGTCCAGACATACGATCCGAACGCTACCAACGCAGCCTCATATGGTCTGAGACCTCGAAGCCTATCTGCTACCACTACATGGTCGTGGTTTGCAATCCTCTTTGGCATATTCTGGATATAATATAGTAATTTTGCATCTTCGCTGAATGCGTCATGCATGGGCCTTTTGCAAGGATAGTTCTGGTGTGGGACAAGAAAAGGAGACTGGGAAAACTTGGACTTGGGTTAATGATGGAAGGATTGCGGGGATCACGACACTCCTTTACGACTTAAACGGCTACATTCGAGATACCCCAGCGGAATTAGGATATTTGGTTGCTCATAAAGACATAATCTGATAGTCAATGTTAATCACAAGGGCAACATGGCACTCCATCTTCACCAATCACTGTAGTGGATGTGTATTTGATAAATCAGGATTCGTGACGAAATACCTAACTTTCCCTCCCCCTAGTCTCGTCCTGCTGTCATCTCCGCTGATTTGCCATGTTGGATCTCAGTATCCTGAGTAGGTTCATACAGTCCTTGCAAATTTCCCCTATTTCCCCTCTAAGTATCGCTTTAATCAACAGAGAGGTCTTGGGTACTCCGCATCCAGCAGCAACAGGGAAAGCAGCGGAGGTCGTCTCTTAACATCAGGAAGAATCTCGGCTTTCATTGAATTAGTACCTTTAGATGCTTGTTTGGCGTCATGTTTCTCATCTGAGACAATGGGTTTTTTCCTTTTGTAGGATCTTTCAATGTGCATGGGTTGTGCTCGAAGATAGGTAGATTCCATATCCATAAGTATGTTGAGGTGAGTCCCTACCATATTACTTAGTATTCAATAGGGAGAAGGAGTTCTCGGCGGAGGGTCTTCCATCTCCAGTCTCTTAGTATAGTACTGAGTCGAATCCTCCAGATGCTTATCTCTATTCTTCTCGGGGTGCTGCAACTTCGCTAACTATTTTCACGTCCACAACTTACTCAACCCTCGCGGCCTGGCCCCCATCTCCGCCTGCCCGACCTCTGCCGGCACTACAAAGCCTCTTTACGAGTCCACGATCATCTGCGAGTACTTTCAAGACGCTTTCGCAGACCACAAGCCTTTCATCTACCCCTTCTGGATCGATCACGTGTCCACTGGAATCATCCCGGCCTGGCACAATGCTTCCTCAGTGCATTTCTTCACCACATCCACTCGACCATGCGAAGAACCACTTCAAACACCAGTCCAAAGCTTGGTAGAAAGAAGCTGCAAGGTTGGAAGATTGGCCATGGTGGTTAGGGAATGACTTGAGCATGGCGGACATAGCCCCTGCACCCTGGGTGTTACGGCATTGGGTCCTCGGCTGTTACAGTGAAGACCCGCAGATTCCTCCAAAAGGTGAAGGAGGTGTATATGAACCGTTGCAGGGGAAGTGGAGCACCTGGATCAGTGCGGTGGAAGGTAAGCACAGTGTTAGGAAGCTGATGAGCGAAAGGAGACATTATCTGCCAATCTACGGAAAGTATGCGAAAGATAAGGCGCAAAGTGAAGTGGGAAAGCCTGCCAGGAAGGCAGGCCGCCTCCTTAAATTGAATGGAAGGTACATATCACGCTGCATAGCCTCTATAGGATCTGATACAACCCTCAAGGTTCAACACCGCTATACCCAACCTTCAGTGAGAGTCTACAGGCATGATTCGCATTCGACTTGGTGATGATCGTGGTTGACGGAGACGGATAGCCAAATGAGTATCTACTATGTAAGATGTCACTCGTCCCATGCTAACACCGTGTGTATGTCTAGGGCAAGATTGGGCAGGACTTTGGCCGGATTGAACCCCCAAATTCCAAGCCTCCGGGCTAATGGAAACACTATGATCAGCGTCCTGTGCATCTTCGTACTCGGATCCTCCTCCTTTGAATTATATATCCCGGGAGGCCTCCGTCTATCATCCTCGTCGATAATAACCTAAAACCATTAGCAGCAAGTACATCGCTTACCTTCAATCCGACAACCTTGGCTTAATTCTTCTACTGAACGGTACTAAGCCTACCAACAGTAATTCGACGGAACACCATATTATGGGTACAAAACAATTTACAGCCCTGGACCGATCGGGTATCTCAGCTAGAAATGGCCTCGAACTGTCTAATTCGACCTCTCTACTCCTTCCTTACACAGACCCAGGGACTTTAAGCAGTGACAGCGTAACAAAGTTTCCTCTCGTTGACCTAGAACAGACTTCACAACTAAAGCCGAGCTTGGAATGCCATACATGAGAGATAAAAATATCATGGGCTTCTTGGAATTTCTCACAACACTTACCTCGCCTTCGTTTGCTGAACGGAACACGTCCAGCATTTTAGAGTTCTTTGCGGAGACATCGAATGAATCTATTGGAAAAGGGACCAATGATACGGACGCAAGCGGCAATGCAACATTTACCAGCTATACGCCAGCTAATGGTTCATTCTGTGCCATTGCCCACTTTGAAAGCATGGTCTGGAGGTTAATGACGGCGATAACACTCTTCTGGCTATTAATTCTTGAGCCACAGGGATCTATCCACTTGGGAAGCTTGGAATGAAGCATATGAACGACAGGAATACCACGTTGGTACAGCCAATATCCGCATAGTGCGCTTGTAACGTCCATTGCTTATCTCGTATCGGTCCCTTACCATGCCGATTATGGCCTGCGCATAGTTGACGTAGCGGAAATCTGGATGAACGGAGTGTATTTTCTCGAAAAAGGACTCAAATCGTCTCGGTCAGAAAACTAGCTTGTTGATCAAATAGTTACGGCTGACGGCTAGCACTATTCAGCTATGTGCCACCTTTCTCGTAGTGTACACAGCATCATATACAGCGCAGAGAAAAACAGCGCCTTGCATCATCTCTCAGGCTTTCATTACGGACTGCTCCCTCGCTCAACATTGCCAGGAGACTACCTTCTACGCATCAACTGAAGATGCGATTGTCGCATAACTTGCATCACCTTACGTGAAGGCTTTCTTCATTCACTATCGCGGCTGATGCCGCCGACAGCAGAGATACTATACATACTCCTCGAATATTCATTCACTATCAAGCAAGCATCCTTCATGTTTTCTTAACTCATCCTTATACCTATTACCACGAGCATTTCCATCCGGTTTTAGTAGCTACAATCCTAACATCGAAACTCACCAACCATTCTACTTTGAGGAATCAGTCCTATACTTCTCAGATCATCTTCCTGCTATCACCTCGCCTCCTTCGCTTCCTGATTTTCAGCTGAGAATGACTTCCTTCTCACCGTTTCTCATCACAGCTTACACGTCTCTCCTCACCACAAGCCTTCAGAAAGCCCAAGATCTCTCCTCTTTTCTCTGTGCGCAGAAGCTGCATGGCCGCAGCCGTGTTGACGCCACCATCACAAAGATCGACAAGGTGACCGCTCAGCAGGCGAATGTTGGCACAGATGTCCCAGCCTCAAAGTATGAAGATCTGCAAAAGCAACGCTTGAGCCTTGGTCAGAGTGTGGCGGGTATGGCTATGATGGATGCAGCGTTCGATAACTACATCTTCGACGTCACATTACTGAGCAAGAAGATTGAAGACGCAAAGGGACAGCTGGAGGCCTTCGATACTCCCTCTGCAAAGAAGAGAAAGAGAACCAACGGCACGACTGTGAACTTGGGCGGTGTTGGAAAGCCTTCGAGGGCTAGCGACAAGGGTAGCAGCGAGAAGTGGTGTGCGCTCATGGAGACCGTGCAGCAAGTAGTTGCGGAAACGGGAAGTCTGGCAAGTGCCATTGAGGGGACGGTGAGAGTAGAAGATGATGATGACAACCTGGGGCGGACAAGCGGAGCAGAGGAGGAAGAGGTGGATGATGGGACGAGTACCAGCAGTGACGGTGAGACTGTTGAGTGAGTCTAGAGCGTAGATGGATGGATATTCGGATTATTGGATAGATCACTCACCACAGGAAGGCAGCGATAGATAGTAGAACTTTGTGGGGACAGATCCACCATGTTTCTAGCGCCCCAAAGGGTCAGCAAACGTGTGGACTCTGCAAATTCAGCTAAGCAACGAAGCGATGCAGCATGAGCTTTGAGACGAACGCCGCAGTACCACTGCTAGTATCACTGTGGCACACCCTTTTAGAGTGGAAGAATGTCACTCAAGATACCTTCTCAAATTGTACCAGTCTGTATCCTTGCCCTTTCCTTCCAGATGAGCCTCTTCCTTCCGCTTGATGGCATCTCTCTGACAGAGCCATCTCTCCTACATGGCTATTTTGGTGCCGGTATCTTTCTGTGTACGGGCATCTGTCTCCTTCTGAGTACGACTACTTAGTAACTTGTTATGCCGGCGACCCGCTTCGCTCCGCTAAGCTGGCTTCTCTCTGGTACAAGCTTCTATCTCATTGGGACGTCTCTCTGGTGCAGGCGTTGTTGGCCCAAGTTGCTCTCTCATACAAGTTCTCTCTAGTACAAACATCTCTCTGATACAAGCATTTCTGTTATTGGAGCCGCTCTCCTAGCATATAATCAATGCAACATACTAGAGCATCACTCTATTATGACTGTGATATCCACGTGAAAACGCGTCACTAAGTCACTGCAACGAGCATTTCATATCAAGAGTTCAGATTACGGTCCATAATAGTTCATTAAGGTCATTAGGTACTATATCATAGTCTTCATTTACCTTTTCTTTCATCTTCCAAACATTACTTCCTTCATAGTCATTGTCTTGACATCACATTTCTTAATGACTTGACAACTCAAGTAAAGCAACAACATAAATATTCTCTTCCGCTCAAATATTCGATTCCCTCATCTTCTTGTAAGTTAGACACAGTCCTTGTCTAAGTCTTACCTCACTTGATGCCTTTTCATATACCGACTCTAACAATCTCTTCGCACTCAGACCACCGACTAACATAGCCTTTGATCAGGCTTACCATCTCATCCGGAACCAGTCTCGAGAATCACTAGAGCGGGATAGCGTCTCCATGCCCGCAGTCGACCCACTCCCCTGCCGCAACCGACTCCAGGCTGAAGCGAAAAGCGTCAGAAGAGCTCACGGCGCCAGAAGATATCGCGGCGGAGCAGCACGAGTACGAAGCAAAGCTGAGGGACGCATGGCTGAACAACCCCACCTGGAAACTCACCAAGTCAATCCACGACTTCACATGGGGAGAGGAACCAGCTGAGAAAGCGTACGAGGAAGTGGCCGCTTTTCTCAATCGTATTTTCCGTGACCTAAGCCAGCTACAAGTGACAGTCGACATGCTGAAGGCAGCGAAAAGAAAAAGCTTGCTGTATATAGGGCTTTTTCCGTTCTGGGATATGGCGGCTCTATCTGGGTGGCGATCCCAGCTTCTCATTGAGCCTTTTCTACTCTGGAAGATCTTAAGCGAAAAGCAGCCGCCGACAGACGCTTATTACATACTAATTCTAGAAGAAGTACGAGCATCGGCGAAGAAGGTCTTGGCCACAAAATCCGGCGTGCGTACAACGAACCGTGTGGAAACGAACGCCCAGGTGGGCGCGACAGATGACAGCGGCGTAACCGGCTCGACGAATACGCTAGGCTCCGGGTCCGCAAATATGAAGGCCAAGGACGCGCGTGCCATGCGAGACGATGTATTGCTCGCTGCAGAGGACCTCATTCAAAAGAGTACCGGCTTGCCGCCAGAGCTCGCCACAGTATTCCGAAATCTGGGGGAGGCCTTCCGAAAATACACCGAGAGCCTCGAATGATGCTGATTGTATGGATAATGGGATCTAGAGGTTTTGAATGGGCTGTGTTAAAGAGCCTTTGACTGCCAGTCAAGGATGCATCTTTCCAGTTCGAGAAGTCGACATTGCACAGGGCTTCTAGCGAATTGCACATTAGTCAGATACTTCTTCCACCACCAAAGGTTTCGCTCGTACGACTGACAGCTAGTCACCTGCTTCACTATTCGGAGACTCTATCATCCTTAGCTAGATTCTTTCCCAATGCTAGAAAGTTGCTGCCGTTTCATCCAAAGACTGATCCAGAGTTGTTTTTTTCCCCTTCGTGGATTCAAGGTGTACACTGCTTCTAGTCCAGATGTGCACTAATCTCGTCACTGATCCTACCATGCGCCTTCAACAGGACCCAAGATATCTTGTTCATCTGATAGTACCTGCGTTGGCATGCGCTACGGCAGACACATTTACCTACGAGGATCCCTGAGATAGCGAGTACGCCATCATAGAGCAGTCGACTCCAGTGTGAGATAGACGACGTAAGCTCAGCTCGAGCTGTGATGGTGATTGCCTGACGTGGTTCCAGGTCGTAAGAAAATAAATTTTTGGTGTTGTTGGTTCCCTTGGCAGCAGTAGATTTGACGGTCCGCTCCGTCCGTCAACGTCAAGTTAGCATCTCTCTTGCATACCAGTACGTGAGCTCCTCCAGCAGCACATCCGAAAGTGGACCCAACCCGGTGGTGATTCATCACTCGGAGACGATATGGCGGAAGCAATCGGACAGGATTGACCTGTGCTGGTCGGGAAGATGAGGTATTTGGGTTCCGGCTGAGGAAAGGGAAAGTATAGCAGGAGATGCCAGCCTTGACAGCGAGCATCGAGTTGGATGCCTTTGTATTGGCCTGATCACGTGGTGGATGCTCTGGCATGTCCCGAATCGCCATAACAGCTCTCCGTCATTCACCCACTGATTCTTCCTCAACAGCAAGTACAGGAACTGGGATAAGCACCCAAGATATTGAATTGTTGCGAGATGGTCGCAGCAAGATCTGCGAGTGATGAGGATAACGAGTTTAGGTGCAGCTGACTACTGGATGCCCCCTGGTAAAGGCATTGTGAAAATTCTGACTGCACCTTTGGTCAGACTTGGCGAGGAATCCTTCAACAGCATGGGACGGATTACTTGATATAGCTGATGGACCGTTGTTGGGAAGCCTTAGCATAAGTCTATAATTGGTGTACCTTACGACAGCTGAATTTGTTACTCGAGAGAGCTCGTCTATGTTGTATGCAGGAGTCTGAAGAACGGATCGCCATTCAGCACAAATAACAAGTGCGACAAGCTTGGGAGCTGGCTCTTGAATGTAGGGCACAAGACATTTGAAGCATCCGACGCCACATTTCGAACAGAAGAGGCCACATAGCATGCAAACTGCAGAGACACTGAAAACAAAATTTCTTGGCAGTAGTGCAATGGACTAAGCAGCTTGATTGATCCGTATTATTGAGTATGTCGCTGGCCGAAGTTGCAAATGAGCAACAGAAACTAATCTAGCAGCTGCCAAGAAGAGCTAGCGCACGTGACAAGTAGACAGTCCACTTTTCAGCGGTGCCGAGTCTACTTATCCAAAAGAGTTAGATGCCAATTATGTAAGACATGTAGAAGAGTTCTAGACTTTCTAGTTAGTAAGCCTCTCGATGTCGACTCATGTAACGTTGACACTGATGTGCATTTCGATATTGATGCACGTCTTCAATAGTGTCAATATTACAGATTAGTAACATGAATGTAAGAGCGGCAGACGCATGGTCTGCTAGCTCACGATTATCGGAGTCACCCTCCTTCATGCAGATGCATTCTTCATGCAGATCAAGCTTCGACATCTATGCACCCTTTTAATGATGCTGTCATGATGCAGATCCATCACAGAGACTGCTGCAATCTGTCCACCTACCATGTTCAGCCGAGCCTATGGAGACAAGCAGAGTTGTTCGAACCGGGTTCTGAATGCAGCGTGTTGTACGTAAATAATTGCGTCCATCTTGTCTTGTGGGATTGAGCTAAAGATTCGTAACACTCTCAGCCACGAATACATTGCTTCCGTAGCTAAAACATTGCGGGGAGCACTATAGGGAAGCGTACTGGCTCAGCGTTTTGGACAGACTTGATGATTTGACATGATTTGGTTATGTCGAGCTCCTTGCAACATTTTCAAGACTCCCGGCCCCCTATGACTTGCTACAATGCTGTGTTGTTCATCACTGTTTCACTATCTTGGATTCCCTTCCTGGCTCCTGCTCTTCTCTTCCGATTCTGACGAGCGTTTTTCTGCCTCTTTGTTGTACGTTTTAGCCGGATTTCCTCTTCGGCTTCCCTTCGGAGCGGATCGTTCTTGTCTAGACGCTGACACAGTTCTTCAACCAGATCCCAGATGTCTTTACGTCCAAGTGGTCGCTTCTGAAACCCACTATCTTCCGTGGTTGTGGAAGCCATCTTTGCCGAACTAGATGCTTTAGTCGAGCTCTTGTTGCACATTTGAGCTGCTTGTTGTTCCTGGGAGGACATCGTGTTGACTAGTATACCGGTATGAGTCGTTTCTCCTGCGCCAACCGTGTTCGGGAGTTCGAGGAATCCTGCACGCTATGATTAGAGCAGCATCGGTACAAAAGAAAAGTATATACCTAGCACCGAGTGCTTGCCGTCAAAGTCATCGTGGGAAATGATATCGGTGTCCAGTCTGGGAGAGTTCGAAAAGTCTATGCCATTTTGCGAGTCGGATGTCTGCCTGTTACAGCCCCAGTAGGTCGTTGTTTCGTCATCCTGCGCATCAGAAGGTAGTCTTTCAAGATTCTTGATGACGTCTAACGCATGACGGGGCCCTTCAATGTCTGTGCGGTCGCTCAACGCTCCAGCAAGCCCCACTAGAAAGATTGCTCCATCGCTCACGTTGACGTTGTCGTTTAACCAGCCTGCATGTGCTTCCAAGGCTTCACACATCTGCCCACGGGTGTTGAGATTCTGATTGCGGGTTATGGTTTGTACCAGTCGACACAGGCACATGCTGGTTGCGTTCATTGCGTCGTAGAGGTTGTACTCGCAGATGCTGTATCGTATGATCCTGCGGCGAGGATGGCAAGATACTGCAGTAGTAGACGGAAGATGGTGAAAATTGATCAAGGTGCAATAGGAGGCTGAAAAGCAAAGGTCGTCAAGTATCTGAGAGCAAGAGTGTTTTTTCTTTTTTCTACGTCCCGTAGCTTCCTCGGATATCCCAGTGGTGCCTTCCGCTGGTGAGCGCGATAGACTTAGGTAGCGCGCTGCCTGTGCATTGAGACCCAGAAACTTGTATCATGTCTCTCATCATCTCACAGTTCTCTGAGCATTGCTTCATTTAGCTGTCGCGATGGCCTTCCACCCATACATAACCTTGTTGATCCATGACCAGGAACCACATCCTGAAGTCTGGTCCCTTGAGACTGCCCAACCAGACACCAAGTCGTTACGTCCTTCTGAGCATAACATGGCTGGGAAAAACAACATTAAGTCACCTTGACTTCACAATCCGCCAATGGGGGCTTGAAATAGAGAGTGATGCGTCATTGAGAAGGAAGCAGATTTCTTCAGAGTGGATGACATTCGTCCTCATCTCACTATGAAAGAGCACCCGTTCTGCATAGAATTTTCTGGTTACAACGACTTGGCGAAGTACTTGCTGAAGCAAAGTGCTTTTCTCTGCGCGTCCAACAACTTGTGAGCCCAGTATTTTTCAGTATCCCACCCCTATCTTGCTTTCAGCATGTCAAATTGTCTGGAAGATGACGGTGCATCCGGATGCCTGCCTGAGCCAGTCTGTTGTGTACGACGTTTCAGATGACGAATTTAGATTATCTGCTACTAGCATTATCTCCCTGCTTGCATGGTATTTCAATTTCCTGCTTCAACTTTGAGCTCTGAATTAGCCCTGAAATTCCTAATAATGGCTTTAGTCATTCATCTACACGCTTTGGCTGCAGATTCTCCTTGGGTCTAGTCCAGATCCTCCCAAGGAAACTCATCGACCATCAGCTGAACTGAATATGCCCTGTCCTCACCCTGATCGAGAGCTTCACGCAACGAGTGGATTTACATATCCCATTCGGTAATGGATTGTCCACCTTCATGTTTCTTCCGGCGCGCCTCCCCATATTCAACCAAGGTCTTCAGGTACGGCTCCGCAAAAGCTATTCCTTCAGCGAGTTTCTGTTGGTGCTTGTCGAGTTTGGCCACCTTTTCTTCAAGACACCGAAGATTTCGTCGTGCTTCTCTGAGCGTGTTGACGTCCTCACCCGATGCTTCCACTATGGTCGTGTCGCCCTTTATACCTTGCATGCTGGCAACTGCTGCCTCCCGCTTGATCGTGACTTTACTCTTGATGTCTTAGAGCTCCTTCAATCTAGTGCGGAATGTTTCGATGACGGCCTGCCCCAATTTTTGCCAGGTGAGACTATTTGGCAAAGAGAAAGGACTCAAAGGAGGACATCCGAAATCTGCATATGACATACGATTAGCCTTGCTATGGTGTCTGAGCAAAATATGTATATAGGGTGGTCAGCTTGCCGGCAGACATGGCTTTCAAGATGCAGGACCTCCTTTGCTTGTTAACTACCTTCGTAAAGTTTTGATGCTCTCTGAAAAATCGGATCTTGCTTGAATGAAAGAAACAAGCCAAGCAGGTCTCACAAGATTAGAGGCTCAACTTGTATGTAGTCTTAAGCACTGAGAAGGGGTCCTCTGGATCACAGCCAATGCCCGTATACTCGCAGCCGAATCCTGACCCCTCCAAATTTCATTTTTACCTCAAGGACTGAGCACAAGTGACTGTAACCTGAGCGATGAATAAACAGCCCTGAGCTGTAACTTTACATGACTGATCTAAGCCTGCGCAGCCCTGAGCATCCACTGAATTCGTCAATCATAATGTAAAGGGCAGCCATTAGAGCCGCAGCCATTTTGGTCCAACTGAATTCTTCTCTGGGCTCTCTTGTGGGAGCCAGATTCTGGGCCACTCTCCTAGTTCAGAAGGCTCAGTTTTGCACCTTTCAGATAATATATCTTGAGAGTGGCTAGGGGCGTCTCAACATCGGATCATGTAATTAAATTCTAAGCATACTCAGGATTAAGTAGTGCAAGGTACTGGCTGATGTGAGGAGGAATGACAATGATGCTCACCTCAACTAATGGCGGTTGTGCAGTTATTCTTATTCCCCTTTCCCTCTCCCTATCATCGCCCGGCGTTTCTAAGGCAAAGAACGCATGGTAGACCGGAATTCTCCCAGGCTCAGAAGGGCTTGGATCACTGAACATAGTGCGGCCCACTTGATGTAAAGCATGAAGTGACCCTTTGAGTACCAACTGCAGCTAAATTTCCCGTCCGACAAACCGCGTGTAGCAGGACCGGTGGAAGACAGTCTGCCCATTAAGCTGAACGACGTGCCAAGTTACTTCTCTACTCGTCGTGTCTTTTCAGATACACCTTGGCTCGTGCTTTCAAATCCTTCTGCCTTTCCCGATCCGTCTTCAAACGCATCCAAAGCCACCATGTGAACAGGGTAGCCATCATCAGCGGAATGGTGATAACCCTGCAAACCCAAGACCTATCGCTGACGATATCCTTACTAGACCGGGTATTCCATTGGAAAAGGGTCATGGCAAAGAAAGACTACACCAGAGAGAATATGGAAGTCAGTCGTGCAATTAGGCCTTGGTGTAGCACCTAGTTGCGCTAAACAAGAGGGAGAGTGCGACTAATTGCGGCGAACGTGCCCGGCAAGAAGACCATGGCGACGGCGGCAATGGTCTTCATGGACGAACAGTCACGCTTGCTCTCCTCCGCCAAAGTCCTCGAGTCTCGAGCAAATTCCAATACTAAGGGTCTGATCTTGCTGCGTGATCGGATTGAAAATCGCGGTAAGTTGAATGGACGTTCACTCTTTCGTAAGCTCGATTCTGTTCAACGTGGAACAGGGGAGCGTGTCCATGCTTTCCGCAGCAAAAGCCAAGTTATCTGCCGCAGTGATGCGCCTTCGAGCGGTATCCGGCAGCAACACAGTGAATTACCGAGCTTTATTAGTGATTGTGGTGAGTGTCCTCCGAAACTTAACTGCTTGGGCCTTGGCATATGAAACTTCCGCGGCCTTGCTGCTAACGTGGGACAAAAGGTCGCCATGGCCAATCGCCATGATTTTAGAGTCTTCACTTCACTCCAAGAAAAGGCATGGTGAAAGTGGAGATTGTAACCCTGAAGTCGAACGCCTACACGAAACTCACTAATTGATGGGAATGAATGACTTTTATCGAAGCTCGGATGGGGCAGTCTAACTTGATTTGCTTCAGGTTGCTCTGGATGCAATCATGTTTTTTTTTTTTGGATGGTGTGTGGCAGCAGGGTCAAGGCTGACTTGATAGCGCGCCCCTTTAGGCGACTAAAGCCAATGTCAGGCAGAAGCTAGTTTAGGGTCGTTTTGGCCCAACAGTTATTGGGCGCTAATGCTATTCTTTTAACTGGCTATCGATAAGAACACCAGCACTTCAGCGGGTTGTGTAGCGGAAGGCAAACACTGTAAATCGGACATTGCTCACTACACGTAAAAAGCGTACGCCTGTTGTTACTGGCACCGAAGTCAGGAACTCCCTCGGTCATCAGTTCCTACAGGGGTGTGTCAGACATCAGCTAGCACACGGTCCTTTGAGGGTCGCGGTCCTTTCGGCCTAACAACAGGCATCTCAATCATCTGAAGTCTACTCGTTCTTCATAGCGAGCCTTGTTGGGGTCGATGAAATGATCAAGCCACATATAGACATAGTCTCCTATCGGTACTTGAGCACACCTTCGCCGTTGGTTCAAATCCCCAATTCTTCACCTTCACGCGAATGTATATCTCTATTCCGTAACTCAGTACCTCCCTAGGCCAGTAGTCAGTCTTAGTTATGACACTGTCTATTGCCATTACTGTCCCAACACTTGTCGGCTCTTGTTTATCTGTCATAGCCACAGGCGCCGTCATCACATCATATATTCTCTTTCCACCACAGCGACATTTTCGTCATGCTCTGATTTTGAATTTGCTTGTGGCAGGTAATGATAGATTCATTTGATTGCATTGTACCTGCTGCTGACACACCCTACAGACTTCATAAACTCTTTCAACCACACAGTGTCCGGCTCTTTTGGTCTTGCCAACAGACATAAGGCTCAACCTCTTTCCCCTGGCAAGTCTTGTGTTGCAAATGCGTGGATCACCCAAGTCTCGGTTCAGGCTGTTGACTTCAATATTCTAATAATCTCAATTGTGGTCCTCCTTTGCATCCGCCAGCAGAAACTTGCCTCACAGCCGTCCATGAAAAGGACAGTTTTACTTTGTGTCATTGCGTGGATTCCTGGCTTGATCACCAGTAAGTGCTCCGTTACTAGCGATATGTTGGAGCGTTGTGCTAACCACATGGATAGGCTTCACGGGCCTGATCTTAAACGCCTACGGCCCGGTGAGCGGCAACTGGTGCTGGATCAAGCCCGATCTCCTGGGGCTACGCTACCTTCTAACCCATGGATGGCGTATCGCCATCTTCCTGGCCACCATTGGGATTTACACCTACGTATATATTCATCTCAAACGCGTTTACGGCAATTTCACAGCATTAACGACCGCTAATGCCCATTCTACGGTCTTCAATGATCAAGATTTAGTGGACAACAAGTATACCTTAAGTACCAGTTCTCACGATGGTCGTGAACTCCTTGTTAGTGGACATATTATGGGCAGAACTTCTTGCGCCGTATCTCGCGACTCTGAGCGTCAATTCAGAGAATGCAAGGAGGGTATGATCAGCATATCTTCACATACTCAGGTTCTCGGGTCTAAGTCGCAGTCACTGGAGACTCCGCAGACTACGAGGACGGAACAAATCAGTCCTCTGAGACAGCCTAAAGGTCAAGGGCAGACACCCAGCATTGAAAAGATATTGCTCCTGAATGGGTATCCTATCCTTTATATCGTTCTCTGGATCCCGGGAATGTTTAATCGTGCTTTAGAGTCAACAATTGGATCGCCAGACTGGTTAAAGGCCCTTCAGTCCACCACACAATTTGTTGGCTTGGCCAATGCTTTTACTTACGGGTACAATGAACAGCTGCGGCAACGATGGAGATGTTGGCTCAAGCCTAGCCAAATTGATGATGAAATATCGCTGACGCAGAGGCCAGACCTACAAAGCAGAGACCAGGCATGGTCTGTTTGACTTTTGTATAAGGACACGGTGTTGCAGGACTATGTACCATTCAATGTCAAATCTAGCAATACTACGTTGTCTCAGAGCCACAGATCGCATGATTTAGATCCAGCTCAAAACGATCACAAGAATATTTCTTCAAACCGAGGAAAGGACGTGGGCCAACACAGTACTAAAATCAGGCCATCTATATAGTTGACAACGATAAGACACAGTACATAACGCAATATTAGAAACCCCTGTACTAAAGAGACTCAGTTTTAGTGGGCCGAGAAAGACAGTTTTATTGACCGCTTCGTGTCCTGGTCGGTGTAGAACCCAGCGGCAGGGTGGAGGAGGTGAAGAATGATTCGGCGGAGTCCACCGGCCTAAAAATCGAGATCAAACTCCAGGAGATCGACACGCAAAAGCTTGGGCGAAGGAAGAAGCCGTTGAACTCCATGTCGAGCACAAGCGGCTCCGGTGACCAGGAATGGCACCGGTACCATTTCTAGAAGCCGCCAGGAGAAGTTGTTGTGGAGATCTCGAAGCTGTTTTCTCTATCTCCCGAACGGACGATGGCGCCAATCAAGCCACTGTTCTTTAGTCTCTCCCCGCCAATGATAGTCGAAGTCAAAGACGAATCCAGGTCTAAAGCCTTTATCATAAAGCAGCCCGATCGTTGCGTTGTTGAGATCAGAGGAGTTCCTCAAGTCTAGGTCCTTAATCTCAAGGTGCAGAACCACGCCAATATCGGCATCTGGGGAGCTACCCGGGCGATCAAGTCCCTCCCTGTTGTGGTTTGAGATCACGATCTCATTGGGATTGAACTCACCCAGTACTGTAGTCACTCTCGGCTGGAGCTGTTGTATGGCGCCCAGGCCTTGGAATGATGCACACGTGACTGAGCTTGGCACAAAGCCACCCCCACTAGCACGTGACTCTACCAGCAATATATCTGTGTAGCCAGTCGTAACTAGAAAATCAATCACCTTTTCTACTTCTAATTTCACACTTGAATGAATTTCAGTATCCACCATCGCGCTGCTCTGCTGAATTCTGACCTCGCTATTAGTTCCATATGGTGTTCTTAGCCACTCGAAGCTAAGGATACAACGACAGAGAGCATAACAGCCACCCGCGTCGAGAAAGTTGATCTCAAACCCGCCAAAGCGCTCCCTATCTGATTTAGAAAAATCTCTGGTTCTGGATTTAGGACGAGCGAAGTCGCTTACGGACTCCGATTCCCTGCGATCTAAATAATCCCGCTGTCACCGGCTGGTGCCCACCAGAACCCTGCCTTTATCTACGCCTACGCAGTTTATATACGGGTCGGTTGCTATGCCTCAGGCTAGTTATTGGAAGTGTCACTATTGTCATGAAGTCTTTCCCATGGCAGGGTACGTTGAGTGCGCCTATTGTCACCACAGGCGTTGTGCAGCTTGTCCAACGTTTGCCGTCCCAACGAGAAAGTGCTGGTTCGGAAGGGGCACCCTGCTTTGGACATGGACACGTGTCATGGTGGAAAATGCTTGGATGCTGAATAACCCAGCAACTGGAGCTTCAGAGCGTCATAGCCATCACCATATCGGTGGCGAGTACCACTCATACCCGATTTGCGATGCCATGGATTAAAATGGCTCGGTGTTCACAAAGCCTGGCTCCCTTCATTAGGAGTGGTTGAAGTCCTTGATTCTACGAGTGACAACTGTGGTATATGCAATTGCCTTTCAGCATCTCCCAACGCAAGTTATAGTATTGTTTGCAGACTACGTCTATACTCAGAGGATCGTGATGGATCGCTGGGCGGAATCAGCTGGATAGCTGCCCAGTGACTCGTCGCCCTCGAATTCAAGTCCAAGTTCCTGACAATGGGCTCGAGACTCCACTCTGAAGGTTCCAAGACGAATGTACGAATGACCTTCGACTTCCGATCTATGAAGTATCAGGCCTTGTATTGAAGGCCGATCTTGATAGGGTGGCAACATGTAGTGTCCAATGGGCACGCAGCTCAGATCGGAGAAGCTTTCCCCTGATCTGGTATCAAGCCGAAACACGATATCGCTGTCGATTCTGCCGATTTTCAATCTGGTCACGCCCCCAGGCCCGCACACTATTGAGGCTTTGGTGAGGACACCCTTTATGCGAAGGTATGCGCCCTTACTGATCTGACCCGTGACGTCACCTGTGAGAGGGACGGTCCGAATGTCCAATACATCAAACAGTGGCTTGCCAAAAGAACCATCGAAAGGAAGATCATTTGTTTTAATGATGCCATCAACAGATGCCCATGACCAAGTTGGTGCTCTGTAGGGCTCGGGGCGCCTGGAAGCCGAACCGTCAGCCTGTGCGCAACCGACTACAGACCATAGTAATTGTCCCGCTAGATCTTTGCTCCACAAACCAGCATAGTAATTATCCTTCGTCATCTGCTGAAGCTGCGAGGCCAAGCCAGACGCCGCCGCTAGCTTGTCTTCCGATCTAGTAAGACGGCAGTGACTATATGCGTACACTATGCGGCCCCAAAACATATACGGGTCTTGAGCTGAGGACGTCTGCCGGCCAAAGTTTTCGTCAGGCTTGCCAGCATTGGCTGAGAAGAGAGGATGGTGGCACCGGATGCTGGGCTGCCGGTCTTCCAGAAAATATGTAGATGGTAGCTCTTTGGGATACATCTCACACGCGTTCATCTCGTTGCATTCCCAGAAGATCTGTTGGGCAGCGAAATGTAGGGTCCTGGGGGCGAGCAACCTTTCTTGGAGTACCCATCCCCGCTGGTTCAAGGGAGCGCGCTCTATGTCATCTGTCCATAGATCCATGCTCACAACAGCAAAATCGATGGATGGCGACCCTTGTGAATTCTTGGGAATGGTGCAGGGGAGGATGTCAGATACATTTCGTTCAAAATAGCAACCTCCATGACTATCTGCTGCTCCTGTAGCCGCAATGTTGCAGACAGAGTGTGTATAGATGTCTCGCATAGCGGCGGATTGTTCTTGCCAGTCTCTCAACGAGTCTTGAACGATGCAGAGTGAATCAATCCATAAAAATCGCTCACCTAATCTTCTCACAATCTCGACAGCTTCTCTGAAAGTCTTCTCAAGGGCAGAAAGTGGATGGCCAGCTTCCAGCTCTCGGATATTTTTTGTAGTCAAATTCAAGAAAGGCACAGTGCCCCATCGATGGCTGAGCGTCATGTATGTCGCTGGTTCGTCCTTGTGCTTTGCGGTGATCCGGAGTCGCCACTCTGACCTTTGCCGTGGCTCAGTGTCTATGAGCCGGGCAGGGAGAAACTCTTCTTTTGAAGAAAGCGGCTTGCATGAGGAATGCTTCCGTCGACATCGATTGAGCCAAGTCCTGGCCAGTCCTAGGGTTGCTTCAGATGATGTGTGGGAACCTATGCCATGGACTTCATCGTATTGCAGATGTTTGATATCTTCAGCAGTCAACGTCAGATTCTGAGCAGTAGAAAGGAGGAGCATGCGAGCAATAACCAGTGAGCCACACCTTTGGAAGGAAGGAGTAGAAACGTCCTCACAGACACATCACGGCCTTCTGTGACGTAACAAAGTATGTCGATCACGTGAGACTGGCTTGTTAATGAACTTGAAAGCCCGGTATTATCGCGAACGCAGTAGAAGGTGGGTACAAATGGCACAGGTTGATTTCGCATTTGCGAGTGATATGCATGCGAGAGGGAGTTCCAAACGATATGGCAGACATAACACGCCTCTCGGGCTCCATTTTCCAGATCCTCGACGGAGTTTTGATGTGGTTTTAATTCGAAGCCTGTTTCGCTTGCTAACTTTTGCCGGGAGAAGCAAGCATTGCATACCTGACAGAGCATATCCAAGTATGTACCATGAAGCGCTCTTTGTTAGAAGAAGGGAAAGCATTATGACGGCAGGAGTAGGAGACAAGGCCAGTTCAGACGGAGGTCTTCACCCAGGGCTGAGCCTCTGATGTGCGACACCAAGAAATTTGTAGAGACTCAGGAAGAGCCTTGCTGGCCCCCCGGGCAGTAATTTAGGGTTGGCTTTAGCGCATCCTTGTTTGCTTGGTTGTGGCCAAATCTGCTTCACTTATGCTCTCTTACTATCCAATGTTATGCGCGCCAAGCGTGCCAAGCACGCGCCAGCGCAGGGTATGAGGGCCAGGACGACTCGGGTAAGTAGATTCTGCATCATTCTACGCATCTTCTACGTTATTCTGTGCATGAAAGGGGTGTTCTACTACTTATATCCTTCTGATTGTACATAGATTCTAGTTCTTTGCGCTTAATAAGTCAATCCTTTGACCCCATAATGTTCTATTGCCCTTGTACTCCCCTGGGATCCTAACAGCAACGCTAAGGAATTGCAATACTTTTGCAATATACAGTAAGAAGTTGTGCAGGTAAGAACATGCTTGGTAACAACTCAGGTAGAATGGAGCTTAAAACTTTGGTCAAGATTGGTGTGCTAATTCCATCACATAGAATGCTAGATATGCTCCTTTCGACTCATTGAAGCTGTATATGTGACGCGTGTCTTTTTTAATGTAGGCGAGGACCGCACAAGAATATCCTGCAGCGGCTTTGATGAGCCTTAAAGAGCACATCCAGGCACTTTTCGATCGTATTGCGTGCCTGATGGCACCAAAAACCTTAGATAATGTTGTGTTCGATTTGAACGGAACGGGTTCACTTCTCTGTTCTTGTCTCTGGCCGAAACAATCCGAGTAAAACAGACCTTCATCAAACCTGATATTTCAATGATCTTTCAGGAATCTTGTATACGATCTGGTTAATCAGTCATGAAGAGATTCAAGCAGTATTGATGTGATAGCCTCCGGACACTGGACTGTGTTATTCTGATTCTCATCATTCATGGTAGGGACCTTGCTATGATGTCTATTAGAGCACGAAAGGTTGGATGGATACTGTCTTGACACAGAGACGTTATGAGAGGAAGAAAAGGGAGCAGAATAGACTAGTCAGAAGGTCGGTGAAGACGAAGGTAATGTTTCTCTGGTGAGGTGATTTCTGAAAATTCAGAAACCGATCTGAGCAGTCAGTAAGACAAAACCTCCAACGGGCTACACGTTGCATGTCTTTATTCTGGCCCCAACGTGGAATTAAGGGCAGGTTAGATAAGTTAGATGCCCATTGCAGAGTGAGAGACACGATACTGCTGAAGGCTATGTCGTTGTTAACTGCTCTAAACTTTGACTGCAAGCATTGTACTACCACTCTCTTTGGAAATCATTCACCGCCCTGGAATCTCACGTACTTCTCCAAGCCACTCCAAACTCCTCAACACCACCCTTCTGATTTCTGAATTAGTCCAGATACTCTTCGCTGAAGCTCTTGACCATAGTTGCAAGTTTTTTGAGCTCCGCGATATCATGGAGCACTTTCTCCCTCATTTCCAACATCTCACCGAGATGTTGAAGAGTTGGCTCAGCCCTGAATTTTCTAGCTGCCTCTGAGAGTTTTCCCATCACGACGAGATTGTGTTCTGAGGTTGTAAGTTGTGCATCAACAGTCTTGAGATCTTTGCTAAGTCTGGCTAGCTTTTGCTCGTAGCAGGATTTATTGTTTGGAGCAGCTTTGGTTGTGTTGGCATCGTTCGTAGGTGCTTCCGCAATCTCAGTGGTAGTGCCCGGATTGGCCTCTGCGTTCGTGCCCATGTTAACGTCAGGTTTGGATTCAATGTTGGTATTGGCTTTGTCGTCAACTTTAGTAGTTTCCATCGCCGCAGTCAGCCCTTCAAGCTTGGCCTCTTCAAGCTTAGCAACTATGTTTGTCTTGATCACTTTGAGCGTGTTACAGGTGTTCTCAGTCACTTCTTGCACAACTTTGAGCTGCTCAAGAGCGTTCGCTGCATTCTCTGCTGGTGATGCACTTGGTCTGAAATGAGGCTCGATTGTACAACCTTCTGGTCCCCATGGGCATGCACAACCTAGAGAACGATGCCGGATTAGTTCACCTTTGATTCAGGAATCATATTTGGATGACGTGTACTGACCGGGGGCCATGGCTGATAATGAGAAACTCGTTTGTCTGAATATGTTCGTCGATGCTGCAGTTGGAGATAGTGAAATGGAGTTTACATGCAACTGCTGATGTAGTTGTATGATAGAATTGTCAACTAGATTCTGGTGAGGTGTCAGAGCAAGCTTATAAGTAGGTGACCGTACCAAGAAGTGTTCCCACAGCATCACAACTATATCCATTACCGTGAATAACCGACAAATATACGTAAAATAATTCCTGCGGTTCTGGCTGGATCTCATATGTGCTTTTGTGCCTACCTGGCTATTTACCAACGCTCACGAGTAATCTTCAAAACACATCTTAATGGTATTTGTTTGGCTTGTGAGGCAGAGCATCAAGAAAAAGGGATGCTATAAAATAGTACCATGCCACATGCAGTAAAATGTCCGTGGGCTTGTCAGTATGAGGTCACCCAATAACCCGACTGAGAAGAGTAGCCAGGAGACAGGAGGCTAGTGTCTTTGATCTGGGTATCCTGTCATCTGTGTTGCCAAGACCCAAGCCCCTGGATCCTGATTACCAAGCATCTATCATCGATCTTGGTGTCGTGATTTGGCTGATTGTCTACCGTAGACCGTCTTCTCAATACAGGTCATGCAGCGCATGGTCTTCCTCCCAGGCCCCAAGTACTTCATTGCCAGAAACATTACCAGCTCCCCCTTCCGCTGCCGGCCGGAATCTCTGTCTCTGTTCTTCCTCATCAAATTTTGTCCAGATTGCTCGAAGCTCATCTTCTTTAGACAGACCGCCAACCACTTTCTCTCTACCTGACTTGAACTTGGAAGGAGCTTCCAAGAGACCGGAAGGGTGCTGCGCTGATGTGATTGCTGCAGGTTCGAGCGATCTGAGTTGCGTGACACGCTTTTGTGGGATAACGTACTTTGCGTGGTCTTTTTTGTTTGGTTCAGATTTTGCCTCACACGGATCATTTCGTAGGTTGGGACGAGGGTCTACACTGGAGGCTTTCAGACTCTCAAGGTGTGAGCGGGTTTCGTTCTGCAGCTCCAGGATGTCTGAAGGTCGAAGCGCACGCCCTTGAGACCAAGGCGGAGTTGGAGAGGACTTGCCATTATGCGCCGCAGTGGATGAATCTTGAAGCTTTGAAGTAGCTCCATCTTTTGACATATTGTCGACTCAATCAACTAATTTCTCGATTGTTTTCGTGTATTTTGAGTTTAGTTGAACCTTGTGAACCAAATCTTGCGTCGCTGTGTGTGAAATTCCAAGCAAAAGGTTTATATGGAACGACAATAGAGAAACATATCTTGACACAATGTTGCAAAGAAAGAATGTCATTCTTTTGTGGCAGACAAAGAAACGCAAATCAAGAATACACAAGCAATTAGTACCCAAATCATCTCGAAATCATACGTCACTGTGCCCTGCATAACAAATGGACAAAGGTCAAAGGGTGGTTCTTGAGCATTACATGTAAGCTGTTGGTCATGATCCCTCACTCAAGAACTGTTTAATTTGGACAACAAAGCTTGCCTGTTTTGATCTTCGGCTTGTCCATATGACTTGCACAAAAATAATTACCTTCTCCTCATTATAGTGAGCAATGTGCGAAGATATCTACACACAAAACTGTAAGTGCTCCAAGCCATAACTTGTGGGGTACATGATTTTATCAGTCCCCAAAAGTGCTCACTTAGATAGTTTGCCATCCTCAAGGGTGGAAAGAGGATGATCTCTGTGTTCACAGCACGTGCAAGTAGCAATTGTTTTCAAGGTAGAAGTGAAGAATAAAGATAAAGCGGAGTGAATGCATTGAGGTTGAAACTCCGATTGAAAGAGAGTGGGAGCCAAGACAATGCTTGGCGTTCGTCAACCTCCACTTAAGGTTCGTAGACAGCAAGTTGTTCTATCTAATTAAGGGGCAGCGTGAGTAGATATACGTATATTCTGCCTGTACCGTACAGCGAAGTTAGAAGCGAAACTGGAGGAGAAGTTGGCCAATCAAATGCAGGCAAAACGCAAGGGTTACAGGTAGAAAATGCAACCAATGAGCGCTCACAACGTCTGACAAGTGTCAATATTCTCGACGACTCGAATATTAGACAAATAGGCCTAGAAAGCAAAAGGAGACCTCAAGCAGAAGTGGTTTGTAAGTCTATTGGTCTAATATTCTGGTAGGTTTGTTTGCTCTGACTCATAAAACACCCATTCAACTGGTACTATAGTTGCACCGACGACTTACAAGCACGAGTACCTTGCTGAACTAGTCAACAGCTTGAAATAACACTATGGCATCAAGCTGTTATCCTGCTTTCTCAAACGATAACAACAAGGATAACAACGAGAACATCTTGCGCCGTGATCGTTTAGGCGGCAAGGGATGTAGCGTGCCTCTCCCCATATGAAAGCCTGATATCATGTCAGTCTTCTACAATCCTGTAGTGTAGAGGAAAAACTGACCGGCCTGAAGTAGGATGCCTCCTCCATATTCATGATGCAACCCACCTGCACCTGTTCCACCACGGAAAGCAGCTCCCCTCTCCTCATGTCAACCGCACAGCCTGCGATGTGGTCGAAGTCTTTTTGGTCGGATGGATTGCTTACAAGAAGTTCCTGTATAAACAGTTCCAGCAGTTTTCATCTTGCACTCCTCCTTGGTAGGTCCACGAAGATCTGGTTCTCAAAGCCCATGGCAATCACGCCATGTTGTCGAGTCTCCAAGGCGTATTTTTGTTCCAACCACCATGACTAGCGACCTGCCCATCTGTAAACGACTGAACTGTGCTTTGAAACAGTTCAGTAGCTTTCTTTCCCATGATTTCTTGGAGCTTTGGGACGAGGACAGAGCCCCGTCAATCCCGTCATAGAATATCATGGATGGTTGCTGGCGCTCCGCTTCCTCGAACGAGGCTTCCGGCCATCGTCACTAGATGGAGAACCATCTGTATGCGATCTGTGACTGCTTTGACAGGATGAACCACCACCTGGTCTAGTGGGACTCTTGTTTGGCGTAGTGAAGGTGTTCGTGCGAGATCGTCTTGGAACAGACATAGGTCTCGGGGGCTTCTTGCCGTTGTGCATCGCATGGAGCCGTTCTCTGTGCCACTTAGGAGTCTTACCAACTTTGAACAGCTTAGAATCCTGGTAAATCGTGTTTGCAGTATTTTCAGTTAACAGATTCCACGTGTTTTCTATTACTTCTTTTGGTGTTGGTCTGAGATTTGAATATCAGCATATACTATTTTAATCACTCCATGGGAAAACTTCTTACCGAGTCCATTCACCGATCCGATCCCTAGGAGTATGCTATTCATAGCCTGGAACTGAGGTAGTGATCAGGTTTGCATCTTCAGCGGCTAGGCCGGTATCCTGCACCGAATCTTGACCGCGCCTTGGCACCCCGTTTTTGCTGCCTGACTCAGGAATTAGTCACCCGGCTCAACTTCGGCTCACCCTCTGCTCAGGCCGCCCTGCCACTGCTCCTGCTGCTTACCCTCTTGCCTTCTATCCTGATGCTGCTTAGGGGACCCAGTCTGGCTTCATTTATACTTAATCCCGCTTTTGAACCCTTATTATTATTAATAACATGTTTTGTCTATAGTTGTTATCTCTTCGAATTTTTGATTAGTTTTATGCAAAGGTCTAGTAGCCTAGTTTTAGGGCCTTTAGAGGGGATTTTGTATTGAATTCATATATATAGTGTATCTAGACTTATGTGTTGTGTCTATCTTTACAATACTCTGGCTCAGGCAGACATGACAAGACAGAATCTCATGCTTGGCGATAAAGGACAACCTCATGTCAGAAAAAGCGACACCTTTGCAATACTTTCTTCTTTTGGATGTTTCCCTCTCTCCTTTCAACTGGTGGCGAGGGATGCCGCTGGCTCTCTTGCACGGTCGACGTCTAGTATAGAGCCCCGTAGTGTCGTTGCATCCATTACAGACATCCTTCCTGTTTGCCAGCCTTATTGAGTCAAAGGTTGAGTAGGTATTGGTTCATATCATGATGAGGGACTACTCGTCGGAACGTTGATGAACGAAGCAGGCTTAGATAGTGGCTCTGAATCATGTCCTCAAATCCTAGCCTTCTTGACCCAACATCTTCGAGCTCGCACGAATGTCACATCGTTATCTCCATTTTAATCGCGCTAACCGGCTCCCGGCATTGGGAAATAGCTAAATAGAAGAGATTCGTCAGTCCTCGAACTGTGAAGTTCGTTGTGCAGCAAATACGAAGCTGATCAATTGTCCACACAGCCTGACCAAGGCAGGACCTAGCCTTGTACTACGGGGGGGCCATAAGTAATGTTAGCTCCACGCTAGTAACACCATGTAATTGCCAAGATAGAACGCCACCAAACCGCTCGATTAGGACTAATCTGGTTCCTTATCTTATATCAAGTATGCCATCCTTCTGCATTCATCACTGCCCAGCACCTCTCTGGCATCGACTTGAGGAGCTCAATAAGATAGCTCTTAGGGACCGTATTCTAAGCTGCCAACGTGAAATTCGTTGAATTCAAAAGAATCTATACGAAATTCATCGAATGTAACGCGTAGAATCGATAGAAACGCGTAGAGCAGTGAGGTTATAGCGCCGTACAAGAGGTTCTGTCAAAAGGGCGTTTCGTGAGAATTTTACTAGCGCGGAGCTAACATCACTTATGGCCCCCCCGGAGTATATGCTGATCAAAAGAGACGCGTGGCTGGACAGCCACAAATGCACCAATTCCACAAACAGCAAAGGCAAGTCGTTTGTCAGCTCTCGGCATTGCTGGAAGCTGACCTCATCCTGTCAATTTTCACATGGCCGTGCATGATATCCCATACTCTGTACGGAGTACATAGCCATGAGGCTGGCAGTCTGTCACATTCTGCTTGGTGATTCTTATCATGTCAGCAGGGGCCAACTGCTGCGTGACACGAAGCATCAGCCATGCACAGTTGAACAAGGTCTGCTAGAACAACTTAACCCCTAATGCTTGTCAACGCCGAAGCATGTGAGATTCAGTTGTTAACGAGGAACTCGGAAAGTACATTGCGTTGAAGATAGCTGAGCAATACGAAGGGATAACTTTGCATAGCCTTCCGGCAGAGAGATTTCGCAGCTCATTGGTTAGCTTGTCAACAGGGGCGCGATGTGCTGGAGTAAAAGCAGGCTTGCATCTCTCAAGCTTCCCAGTATCCATGTGAAGGTGAGTCCAAGTCCGAGGACTATCCATCTTGTCGATCTCGACTCATTGTCGTTGTAGCGCTGTGTCTCATTCCTGTCATCGTCCTCCTAATACTCCGGTTCCCCTGCTTGCTTCGCTAAGAAGTATTATGTAAAGCGGGAGTAGCATAACATCGGAGTGTTGACGGTCCACAGTGCACCTGGTAGTACTCGTACAGCTTTCTGAAATATGCTCGAAAGGGGTCAGATAGTCTGGATGTGGTTCTACTTGCATTCGATAAGGTGGAAGTCTGGATACAACCCCACGTAGATCTGTACTCATACCGACCTACTCCTTCTCAATGCGATATCATTCAACTTTGGCATCTTGAAGCCCCATAAATGGCCAACCAGCCCCCTCAAAAAAAAGTATAAAACAAAAGAATTAACGCATTCCCCACCAACCCAAACAAAGTCCTCGGCTTCTCATTCCTCAAAACCTCCTCCGGAAACCTCTCCTCCGTGTAAAACGTAACCATCAGCTCCCTCGACAACTTCCCCCCTGTCGCCGCCGTATTCAAAAGCGACACAGACTGCAGCAAATTCACAAACCACACATTAATAGGCAATCCTGGGGATCCAGCCGCTTTACTCTCCTTACGTCGCCGGACGTACGTCTTTGCAAGCGATTTGACGGTAACCGGGCCGCCGTCGGCGTCAGCGAGGAGAGCTTGCAACATGAGTGGTTGGAACGTGTAGTTGTCTCCCTGGCGGAAGTCGAGGCGGGTGAAGGAGGCGTCGTGCTCGATTATGTTGTGTTGGCGCATGTCAGCGAGGTTGAAAGTTTTGTCTTTGTGGACGAGAGGTTTGAGGCTGTTGGTTAGGGCTGATGCGAGGGGTTTGTCCATGTGGAGGGCGGACATGAGGGCGGTTTCGACTTCGGAGAGAGTGATATTGTTGCCATTGCGGGGGCTGGCGGTGTTAGTTGGTTGAGGGCGCTGGGATGCGGACGTACAGCGTACAGATATCCTTGGTTTGCGAGGGCGTTCAAGCCTGGGCAGGGACCACGTGTGGCGATGTTGCCGCGGATGTAGGAGTGGTTGTCGCCTAAGAGCTGTTTCACTTCTGGCTTTTGCTGCCGGGACCCGAAGGTCAGCATATTTGTCAGGCAGCTAGTTATATCTAGATACATTTTTGTGCATGTGCAGGTATGAGATACTGGAGATGTATAGTAAGACTATGATGTTCGCGGGCAGGGAAGAAAGTGTTGCTTAGACGTCTCCAAGAGAAAGTGGATACACGGAGTGCATCTCGTATCTGAAAACTCCGTGCGTTTCTTGAAGGAATTGCAGTGCAATTATTGATTCTAATTACCTCGTATTGGTAAGTTGGGGATGTTCAGCTGAGCGGAACGCAGCGAATCAGAGAAATTGGATTATACTACAGTACCTTGCTGAAGTATTCGTAGCACAGCACTAGTACTTTTGCAGACAAACAGGCCTCAAACGAGACAGCTAATCTTTGAAAAGCTAAGAAGCTCTAGGCACTGATGTGGCGCTGTATCTAAACTAGCTGCTACTAACGCGGTACTACGAATACTTACTACGGTACTGGGCATAAGTAATCGTAGCATGGCGCTAGTAGCAGCTAGTTCGGATACAGTGCCACATCAATGTCTAGAAGCGTATTTGGCCATTGTTCATATCAATTGGCCACACCAGTACCGCTAACTGCTCAAGGCTTAGATGTCTGGTTCACAGCCTGTTTTGATGAAAATATACTAGCACCGTGCTACGAATACTTGTGCCCAGTACGGTAGTATGCCTCCCCGGTAGGAGTCTACCCCAACCTTCAGCCCAAAAGCCTTCAGCGAGGTCCAATCTTGACTTACAACGGGAGGATGGCTGGATTGGTTACACAAAGCTGATCAATTTTCGACAAGCTTTGTTCTTATCATGGACGGAAGATGTTGATTGAAGGCCGTAGCTCGCTGACGAGGCGGAGGACAAAAGCTGCGTGATTGTTTAAATCAACTCCGTCCGAACTGCCTTGATCGGCTCACCCTCTCTATGGTAAGCCTCTCTTGCTGCTAACAACTCGAATCTTGGCAGTCCACTTCTCATATCCTGCTTCATACAACAACTTGCAAGGAGAAAAAAAGTCTGGCAATGGAGTCAGGGCCACCCACCTTCAAGCCGACGCTCTCCCAGCGCATCTTCATTGGAATTTTCACGTTCGTCAACTCATACGTCCCATGGCACAAGCTCCCCTCGCTCCTCGGTGCCCTCAACCTAGAGTCGTTGCGCACCGAGCTGCGTGCTCACAATCTGCATGATACGTACGTATCTGGTGACTTGCAGGGCAACACGATTAATCAGCCCCTGGAAGACAAGCGGTTCATTGAAGCACGTCACTCAGATGGCAAGTTCAACTCGCTGGATTTGCCGCTCATGGGCTGCACAGGCATGCGATTTGGACGGAACTTTCCGAGGAAATTTTGCCAGAAGCCGACAGAGGAAGATCTCTTGAACCCAAATCCTAGGCTGGTCAGTGAGCGCTTCATGGCGAGGAGGTCTAAGGGCTTCGTTCCTGCCACGACTCTGAACTTGCTTGCTGCTGCGTGGATTCAATTCCAGACCCACGACTGGTTTCAGCATGAGATTGTACGTGTTCCCCTGCAAATATATGTCATCTGCATGGCTTTTCATAGGAGTCGTACTGCCAATGGTATCGCTAACTCTAGAAATCAGAGTGACGAGGTCATCAATGTTCCACTCCCTCCAGGACACAATTGGCCCAAGGAAGACATGAAGTTGCGGCGCACCAAGCCGGATGGCATACTCGACCCATCTGATATCAAGTGCCCTGGATACAAGAACATCAACACAGCATGGTGGGACGGCTCACAAATTTACGGCTCGAGTGAAGCTGTCACACAGAGCCTGCGAACCACACACCCCGATGGGAAGTTGTTGTTCACGAAGAAAGGTAAGGAGAACTTCCTACCCCGCGACAGCGCAGGGAATCCCAAGACTGGATTCAACGATAACTGGTGGATTGGCATGGAAATGCTGCATACGCTGTTTGCAATGGAGCACAATGCCATTTGCGACATGCTTCGTCGCGCACATCCTGACTGGACTGGGTAAGCTGACGCGAGGATCTTAAATGAACACTAAACTTACCGAATTACAGAGATCAGATCTTTGACAAGGCTCGCCTGATCAACTCTGCGTTGATGGCCAAGATCCACACCGTGGAATGGACTCCAGCCATCCTAGGGCATCCAACTCTCCAGATCAGCATGGCTGCAAACTGGTGGGGCATTGTCGGCGAGACACTGACCAAGCTGGTCGGCCGAATTTCGAAGTCAAGCGAGGCCATTAGCGGCATACCCGGCTCTGGTGTTGACCACGCTGGCACTCCGTATGCTCTTACTGAAGAGTTCGTATCGGTGTATAGAATGCACTCGCTCCTGCCTGGTAAGCCTGACGGTCGCTCCGTCGCTCCTGGGTTTATGACATATGCCACACAACCCATTTATTAATGTCCTTGCTTAGATAACATCGCATTCTTCAGTGCCACCACCGGCAAGCATGACTCAACCGTTCCCTTCGAAGAGACCACCTTCAATAAGGCGCAGAAACCCCTTGACTCTGGCCTCTCCTTCGCCGACACCTTCTACTCCTTCGGCATCAACTACCCTGGCGCTATCACCAACAACAACTATCCTGAATTCATGCGCAATCTGTCTACGCCCGACGGCCAGCTCCGAGACCTTGGCACCGTAGACATTTTGCGCGATCGTGAGCGGGGCGTACCCCGCTACAACCAGTTCCGCCGGCTCCTACGCATGTCAGTCCCGAAAACCTTCGAGGAGCTAACGGGCGGTAACGTGGAGCTCGCACGGGAGCTGCGCGAAGTCTACGGTGACATCGAGCTGGTCGATACACTGGTGGGCTCTCACAGCGAACCGCTTCCGCAAGGCTTCGGATTCAGCGACACGGCGTTCCGTATCTTCATCCTCATGGCGAGCAGGCGGCTGAAGAGCGACCGCTTCATCGCGGGGCAGTGGAACGCCGAGACGTACACGAAGGAGGGTTTCCACTGGGTGCAGAATAGTGGCATGAAGGACGTACTGAGGCGGCATTTTCCAGAGTTGACGGTCCATTTGGAGACGAGCAAGAATGTGTTTGCGCCGTGGGAGAGGTTGAGCGAGTCGATGAAGTACGGAGGTATTGAGACCAATATCCCAAGAGCCGAAAGTCCTTTGCACGTGCAGTAGAAGCTACTGTCGCCATTGATTAGGTACAGTGTTTAGCTTGAAGAGAGCGAAGAATAGTTCGAATTGGATAAGTAGGCAGGGATTTACTCTCTCTCACCGCTTGGGCGAGCCCCACTCCTTTCGCGAGCCGCTCTCGAAATAGCCATGCTAGGTACTGAAGTAGCCCTCGTTATTTGGTGGGAGACGACCATTAGTGAGTAGATCTCGTCGCTGCGGAAGCTCCGCCGAATGAGTACAGCGGACTAACAGCAGACTATTAACCGGCTACGGTCAATTCAAAATTTTGAAATTCGAAAATCAAATTTCAAAATCTATGTTGAATTCCCTGTAGAGGGTGCCGCTAAGAAGGTGCCCCTAAAAGGGTGGGTGCCTTTAAGAGAATATCCTTAAGAGGGTGCCCTTAAGAAGGTGCCTCGATAGATTTTTTGATTTTCCAAAAAAAATTTGTTTTTTCAAAAATTTTGAATTGACCGTAGCCGGTTAATAGTCCGCCGTAATACAGATTCACTTGCTCCTTCCAGCCGACCTGCACGTTGGACGTGTCTGACCCATCTACTATGTAATTAAATCTACTACCCAACACCTACCAACCACAGCTTCAGTCATTAGGTTGAATGAGGTCCTGGCCTGAAATTGACATATTGGAACTGTTCTAGAGGCTGGAAGAGTATATAGCGTCGATCATTACATTGCGTGTTAAGAGGTAATTCTCTTCTTCATAATGATGTTCGCCAAATATTCATGTCCCGAACTCCCTTTTCCTCGACAACTTCCCTAACCAAAGGTTCTGCACTGTGACGGGTAGACGGATCTTGTCTAGTCCAGTGACCTGGATGCTGGAAGCATGCCAACGGCATGCTGCCCGACTATAGGATAATCCACAAGGATCTAGCTCTTGCTTCACCGGCCGCCCATAGTACCGTCCATCGCATGGCACGCTAGCTCAGAACTGCAGTGCAAAATAAATAAGGTGGGTCTTGTTCCAGAACACTCTCCCGAGATATAGGCCAGGAGAGATGTGGCGGATCTCATCGCGTACCCAGTGCGCAACGAAGGAGGTCTGAGAGTAGTCGAGGACGATGCATTCCTTGCCATCGACCCAGCTCGGCTCGCGGATGATGCGAGCGAGGATGGCAGCCAGGCCGAACACGGTGATCTTGTTCACAAGGACCATCTTCTGTGCATCGAAGATCTTGCCCTGCCAGGCGAAGAGGTTGATGAACTGGGCGATCTCGGGCGTGAAGGTGGTGCCAGCCGCGACGATTGCCGTCCCTTCCGCCTCGCCGTTCGGAATCGGGCCGGCTTCGACGCTGGCGAAGAGGTCGCCGAGCTCGGATTCGGTCATGGTGAGCAGCTTTGCGACATTGTAGGCCATTGTGGCTCTCTCTGCCAGATTATGGGAGCTCTGAACAGGAAGGAAGACTGGACAAGTGATGGTGCGGATGAGGTGGTTGATGATAGTGTTTTTGCGAGTTTGTGGACACCAGCTACACTAGCTAAGCCCGTGGCGGCCGGTCACAAACATGAGTCTTGATGTTGAACAACATAGATGCACCTAACACGCTATTGTGATGTTTTCGAGGCAGCCCCATGTGTGTGGCTGACGTAATCGGGGCGGTGACTTGGTGCGTCGGCTGGGTTTGGGTGTCCGGGCAGGTGTCTCTACACCAGGGGGTATGCCTGTAGCACTTCTATCTAGGGCTTAATGCGGCGATTGCGTTGGTTGGGCCGAATGTTGGTGGCATTTATCATGCTGTCCGTGGCTTCTAAAATACGAGGTGCGACCTCGAGTAGGTGGCACCAGACCTGAAGGGCTCCACGATGACCAGCAGTTCTCTCTCATTGGCCGGGTAATTTTTCTATGCCAGCGTGAGCGCTTGTGACGATACTGCTGTGATGCGTCCTTGTTGAGTGAGGATTGTTGCGGCTGAAATAGGCTGTCCTCTGCGTCCAATCGCGCAGGTTTCTGTTCGTGGTGGCGGCGAGTCGTAATCGCTAAATCCATGATGCTTGTTATGTCGTGATCTAGCTATATCAAGGATTTACATCGTGTCGGGTGAAATTCAAGAGCCTAAGCTATTGAGCTTTGAGTTCAGGATGAACAAGCCTTGGGGCCAGTGTCACGTAGGATACATTAGCTCCGCTTAGCGCGCTCATAGCTTAACCTCTGTTGCGTTCTGCAATTTCTCTCTTATCATCATCCTCGATAGATTCAATCAAATCAATTGAAGCCATTGCAGCCAGTTTTGGCCTAGCGGGCGTAGATGGCAGATAAGGAGGAAAGCTAGGGTGCGCAGCAACTGACCGGGACGGGGTAAATGTACCCGAACATGCGTAGCACTTCACTTAGTAGCGCCTCTTCTTCGAAGCTGTATATTCAGATACTGACATGAGATTCGTATACTGGTCAGTATGGGCGAACAAGATATTGTCCACTGAGTGTTGGATCTTGAGACCACCTAGATACGGCAGATCTATATAGCAACCCAGTAGTGGGAAGGATGACATTAGATACTGTGATTTGCTAGTGGAGTAAGCGGCGTTGATTGCATTCCATAAAGCCAAGCATTGCTATGTGCTGGCAGACTTCTTAGCAGGAGAAGGCCCTCTAAAAACTATGCCTAAATTACCATCAATGTGTGCTTAGTTTCAGCCTAATCATCCTAATCGTGATATGATCTAGTTTACATACTATTATGCAGCTAAACATGTAGAATCTAATGAAATTATGTTATTTAGGACGTCATTTTAAGAAAATGACGGTCAAATTATGGCTAAATTATGGTCATTTGAGCCTCCTGACGATCCTTAAAATAATAAAATGTCTGCAAAATAACTAAGGACCAATACCGCGTTATTTTTAGAGCCCTTCTTCTGGTAAGTTAGTATGAGAATTGAATTCAGACCAGCTTCCTGGTAAGCGCAGAAGCTAGATCTTCCACATAACATGCTCAGGAGAAGCAACCCAGGAGGACGACTGCCGTTGCTACAATGACCTGCGTAGCTCGGCGGTCAGAGGTCAGAGGCTGATGGTAGGCTAATCCATGACGGATCCCTTACGATACGCTGGTATAGCGGTAGCTATCTGCGACGCCCAGGCTACCTATAGACTATATGTTGGGCGCCTGCACCTCCCTGTAGGTCCTTCAGCTCCTGGTCCCTCAGCTCCTGCCCAGCCCGGACTGGAAATCGCTGGCGTTATCAATCCATTCGCCTAGCTTCTAGCTCAACCAAATCCTGCTGTTGGGTGATTGTGGCGAAAGGCTATGAATGCCTATAAATGCCTATGGAAGCCTATAAAAGCCTATAAAACCACCGACTGGTTCGACCAGAAGCCCTGCATTGTACTCGACTACTCCAAACCCTCTGATCCTTGCCTCGCGCATCCGCGCAAAAACTTGCCTGATTGCGCCTGATTTGCACCTTGGCAACGTTCCGCACTCGAATTCGCAGGCCAAGTTAGCCATGGCAGGCCAGTCTTAGATCTTTATTGCTGCGCTAATACGCGTTGGAGCAGCGGAAGCGCTGGCCGCCTTACTCGAAACTATGAACGCCGCCCCGGGAACCGTAGACCCTGCTAATGCTCTGCTGCCCTTCGGCCATATCCCTACCATCCACGTCGCTCGCTTTGTTATCTTTGACGATTTCTCGCTACCCGACTGGCAGCAAATCGCCCCGCAATTGCCGGCCACTGAACTACTGCGCCTCGCCTTCGTCGCCGATTGCGACGGCATTACAGACGATCTGCTGCGCACGCTTGTCTAACTCGCTACTCCCGGTGTGCAACAAATCTTCAGCCACTGCAGCGATTTCGACGCCCACGCTGATTTGCTCGCCTGACTTCACGCTTACCGCATCGTCTCTGCCGCGACCTACGCCAACTGGCGGGGCCGTAGCATGACCCAAGTCCGCGAAGAAGCCACGCTCCACACTATGCTGCGTCAAACCCGTCTCGCCCATCCTGAAGCCTCGCCCGAACAATTGCGTGATATCTTGCTCACCGCCGCGCGGAGCTTACCGCTTATCGCGCTCCCCGTCCCTACCTTCGCTAAGAAATTGGCGGAAATCCGCGATTTCCTGCTGCTACCACTATATGCGCTGCTACTGTTATCGCTCCTCATCCCCGCCCTGCCTTTCCTTATCCTCCTGCTGCACTAGCGCGAAACCTACGATCCTGTGCTCGCCCTGGTCCCCTCGATTAAGTACAACAAGCTGCTGTCCTCGATCGAGGACCATGATGTTACTTCTCAACCCCGGCCTTTTCCGCCGCTGGCTGACTGTCGCCATCCTCTGGATCATCAACTGGGCTGGCCGCCATCTCTTCACCACCGGTCGACTGGGTCGCGTCAACACTATCCATTTCGCTAGCTGGACCCAGCCGCGAGGCCTACAACGACTAACAAGGTTGCCTTCGGGCTCAACGTCTCCTTCTCGAACGGCCTCGGCTACCCGCAAACCAACTAGCTAATTTTCGACAGCGCCCGTTATGAGCAGGATTTCAAGCGCTACCTGTTCCACCACCAGATCCCAACGCAAGTCTGATACAAAGCCATGCCCGGCCTCACCACTTACAATTTCGCCCGCAATACCTGCATCCGTCAAGGGCTCACCACAAACCTAAACGGCTCCGCACTAAAAGCCTAGATCACAGAGATATAAGAATGGCTGCCAACGACAAAGCCGCCAACATTCAGGCGCTAGCTGATCGCGGCTTCAGTTCGCTTACCGGCGCTTGCTACCTGCTACTACGCATCAAAAAGCGTGCGCTCGCCAAACCCTGGCTGCGCACCCTTGACATCGCCTCACTAACGCAAGCCCCCACGCAACATCTGCCGCAAGTTTGCCAGATCGCCTTTACCGCCGCTGGCTTGTGCGCGCTAAGCACCAAGGTCACCCTTAGAGCCGGCTTCGACCGGCAACGAACGCCGCTCGCATCAGCTAGGAGACGAAGGCGCCAATGCCCCTGCCCACTAGCACAAGGGCATCGGTAAACAAGAGCCACATATCCTGCTGCTCCTGCTTGCCGCAAACACCGCAATCGACAGCCTGGCGCAAGCTACATGCAGCGCTGCCCAGGCCGCCAGCTGCATGGTCATCAGCGGTAATACCCTGACCACTACCACCACCCCGCTCAGCCGCAAACCTTTTGGCTTTGCTGACAGCGTCTCGCAGCCCAACTACAATTGGGACGGCACGCTTACCCCTGGCGGCGCCCGCGACCGCGATTATCGCAATCTGCTGGCGATGGGCGAGTTGCTGCTCGGCTATCCTAACGAATACGGCTTCATTAGCGATTACCCCCACGCCGACGAGCTTGGCCGCAATGGCTCTTATCTAGTCTACCGCCAGCTAGCGCAAGATGTCGCCGGCTTCTGGCAATGGCTGGCGTGTCAAGCCGGCGACGGCATGGTCGGCCATATGCTCGACGGCGCTCCCCTACCCGGGCTCGAATCCGCCACGATTATGGGCACTGACGATCCGCGCAACGCCTTCCTGTTTGGCGAAGATCGCAATGGCTGCGTCTGCCCAATCGGCGCGCATATCCGCCGCGTTAATCCGCGTAGCAGCGATGATCCGGAGGGGCGCCATGGCTTCCTACGCGATCTCATCTCCTCAGTCGGCTTCAGCGGCGCTTCCACCGCCTGTCCCGCCGCAGTCGCCCCTACGGCCCTGTAATCATGCCGCAAGCCGTGATGCAGGGTACAGGCGCCGACTAGGAAACCGGCCTGCATTTCGTCTGCCTCAACGTTAATCTCGCCCGCCAGTTCGAATTCGTCCAGGGCGCTTAGGCCGCCAGCGCTAAATTCGCCGGCCTCGCTGCTGAACAGGACCCGCTGCTCAGCAACCGTCTGCCACTCGCCGGCGCACAGCCGAGCAATGCCTTCAGCTACACCGATATCAGCGCCTGTCCTCGTACAATCAGCGGCCTCCCGTAATTCGTCACCGTGCGCAGTGGCGCCTATCTCTTCCTGCCCAGCCTGCGCAACCTGGCGCAAATATTAACAGATAGCCAATGGGCAGTAACGCCTGACCAACAGCACTGATTAGGCCAGGATCATCTACTTCGCCACGCAAATAAACGCCTTCCAGACCTGCCTCTGCTGTAGCACTGCTGAATCCGACTGCTGGCCCGCCTTCGAAACGATCCATTTGTTAAGAGGACTAGGCGACTTCGTCTACCTCTTTAGAGACCGCGAGTCTTGGAATCCACCAATAAGGCAGCAGACCTATCAGAAATGGATACAACTCTGCCAGAGCCAAGGCGAGGCGGACGTGATCTCTATACAGAGCACAATACCGACTCACCCTCCGCCCGCTCTTCTCCATCAACCAATGCTGATGCTAAAACATCCTCACTTACCTTGGTCCTATCCCTGACTTCGGACAATACAACTCAGTCGCATTGCAAAAAGAGAGCAAATTGAGTTTGACAGGATATAGATATCTAATTGAGTTCTCTTTCTCACCTTCAAACTAGACACTACAACTCTAAATCTACCCCAGTTCTTTATGCTAACCAGCCGTGACCTTCCGTTCTAAGAGACGTGCCTCTTCCCCGCTGTTTCCCCTATCCTTAAATTACCACGCTTTTTGTGCACCTTTTCAGTCCGCCCCTCTGGTGCTCTCTCCCATAATATGCACGCCAATTTGCACCGCCCACATCTTAATCGTCCCTTCCGTCTACCCACATACTCCGCAAGCCATGATCTCCACACTCGTACTAGGCCTTGACGCTCTTCGACCCTGTCTTTCTGCTACAGCTTTGGCAATTATCTTTTGAACTTGCTTTTGCATCTAGGTTTCGCACATGTCTCTCTCTTAGGGTGGCTGTGAGTTCTTTAGTAAGTTTGGTGAGTGTCTGAAGGCAAGCTTCATTGTCCTCGTTGTTGTAAGTCACTGCTTGTGTGCGTGTTCTTTGGCGGGTTGATCCCTGAGTGGCTCTTTGCGAGGTGGGTTTGGGAATACCTAATGCTATCTCATCCAGGTTTAGTAGATAGTAGGCTGTACTTGATACGGCAGACCCTGAAGTGTAGCATTCCAAAACTTCCGTAGATAGATTTCGCTCTATGTTCAAGGTATCTCGTGAGAGAATCAATGAACCTGTCGCCTCGACCAGCGAACCGACCAGCAGTTGTAGACGACCCTCCTCTAGTTTTGCCTTTGCTTCAAAAAGATGTATATTGGCGATGTGGTGACAAGATTCTCCTGCAAGGGTTTTTTTTTTTTTTTTTTTTTGACAAAGAGATGTAGACAACGAGCCCGCAGATGCCATCTGCGGTATCTGAGGGCTATCTTTTGTTGGGGGGCCATGGATTGGTGGTCTAGACCCTCCTGCTGATTGTGCTTTGCTGTGGAGACCCTTGTCGTCTTTGAGGCATTTCACATCATGGTCAGTAAGATCTACATCCCGTTAGGCCTGTTCGCCTTCTCAAGCAGCTCCTGCGCATCCTCTACCTCCTTTACCGCCTTTACCCTTCTCTAACAATATCCTGCCGATCTTCTTTACCCTCTGTCTTCAAGATTTCAACAGCTTTCCTTCTTCCCTTCTTTTATCCTTCTCAACTCTCTTGATAACGTCTGCGCCTAAGATAAGACTCGCTCAGCATCTAGAAGTCACAGAAATCCATGAAATGGCCTAGTCTGGTTCATCCTTATTAGTTGTCGTCAGATAACACAAATATAAATCTTACAGAGCTTTTGTGCGTATAATTACATTTTGTTGTGGACAAGATCCTATTATTAATGTAGAACATTAACCATACATCAGTTTTCGTGCCATATCTTTGTCCGAAGCCTAAAATCATAAATTTTATGTGAGCGAACTCCGGCCAGCGCACAATCATTTTATACAGCTCTAGCTTTTACCATTCCCATTAAGCGCTTTAACTCCAACCCATCCTCTGCTCCCACTATGAGGTTAGCCCAGCTGAACCCACTAGTTGTATCATGGAACCATGCCACGATGATGAGTCTACCTTCTCTGATCTCTCTTGCAAAAGCCTTACAGAACTCAACCCTCTTTAGAGGCAGCTTGAACCTCTGTGTGATACAAGCCTCGTGCAAGCCCCTTTTCACCGAAAAATGCCCACGAAGGAAGGCCAGTGTCAGGGAGCCCGTCATGCGTACATTGAGATCGACGATCCATTGCCGGGAAGGCTGGAGTCCATCAGCGTCTTCGACTATGATGTCAGCGCCCGCGGGGCCGTGGTAGCCTCTTTCATGGAGATACCTCGAGGTCTGGCATATGATGGTGCACAGTCTTTGCTGCAGCCAGTCTTGTTCCAGGTAGCAGATGCTCGCGCCCAGCCATATGTTCGATTCGGAAAAGTCCTGCCGGCAGGCTCCGAGGAAGGTGAAGTCGCCATTCTTGCGGACGAAGAACGATGTGGAAAAGCAGGCGGAGCATTGGGAGATCATCTGTTGGGAGAGGAGTGTAGAGGGTTTAAGGTGTATATTTGCCGAATTAACGCTTTCTAACGTGGTACGGAGGACACCCCCCAACAGAGACTGGATTAAGTCTTCACGTTCAAGCTCTGTCCGGACGAGAAAAGTGCCAAAACTTGACATGCCTTGCTGCGTTTTAAAAACGCGAGGAAGACCAAAGCCACGAATCCAGGAGGCAGCCACGGAAAGCTTGCGGTCCACAGAACCTGAGCAGTCGTCCAAATCGAGAATGGCAGTCTGCGGTGTGGGAAGGCCGGAGAGTGCGAGACACCTTTTCGAGAGCAATTGGTAAAGAACATCCGGATCGATCGTCTGTCGATGGGGAGAAAACCGCTCATGAGGAGCGACAATGACCAGCTGCGATTTCGATTTCTTACGCATTAGATCATCGATGCCGGCGACGAAGGTGACTTCTGGTCTTTGTGATTCGGGCAGAACACTTAGCGTCCTGATCGCATCAAGCCTGCCAGCTTGATGTTCAAAGTCGAACAGAACGGTCTCCATCTTTCCAGCCGCGAAGGTAAATCGCTGGCTCTCTAAGCTAAGACACTGGATGACGAGCTCACGGATTTCTGAACTGGTATTTGGTGGGCTTGTGCCTTGATAGAGGTATTTGGACGTTTTCGAGATGGAGTCCGTATAGTCGAGATCCGAGCACCAGTAGTATGGGACCAAGACTGTCCGCCTGTCATTAACTTGGCTGTCTTGGGCAAAAAGCTCCGCCAGGGTTGTATCCAGGATCACCTTGGATTTGCAGTACTCCATGTTTTCTTTGCGCGAGGAAGAGACAAGTTTGTACGGGTCTGCTATGCACCTCAATTGAGCTGAATGATTTGATAGAAGCTTCTGCCATTGCAAAGGGTTTTTGAAGGGTTAATTCAGGTATATATGCGCACCGAATCATTAGATGTCCCAGTCTTGTTAGGTCCCATTTCCGGTCTAGAGCACCAATCATGGGAGGTGCTTCGCTTCCAATCGCTACGACTTATTCAGCGACGAAGATCATCTCCTGAGGTGTGCTAAGATGCTCCTAAGAGAAGAAAAGAATTGCACAATCGAGCCAGCTGTGGACCGGAGAGTGTAAGCTTGATGGATGACTTTGCAGCACGCGTTACTAGTATCAGACCACATCAGGTTTAATTCCTAGCTCATTTTTCCTGCACAACACCATCTGCTGGGGAACACTTTTGACACTTCCGATGATCCACTTTCTGCGCCGAAAAAAACACATTCGGTTCCGTGCGAACGGGCCCGAAACGAGTAGATTCATCGCCAGCGCTCGCAATCTACACAATTACTACGAACCCGGTGAAAACGCTAGTAGCAGTATAAAACGTACTATGTAGAAATGAGTATAGACGCCAACAATATCACCTAATTAGGGCTAGTCCCTAAAATCAAGTTTGCATTTCATTGGCATCTACAGAGACATGTCCCTAGAGTCTTTAAATCACGCTGATAGCAGTAGGAGGAGTAGAAGGTCTATCACGAGGCCCATCTTGTATTGCAGAGTCCGTAGAATTTATAGGATAAGCAGAATGCGTAGATTCGTAAGATTAAGTAGGATGCGTACGGAGTCGTGCTTCAAAAATCATTGATATACGCTAACTAGGATAAAGTAAGGCTAGCTGTTTCGAGGTAGTGTCGTGCTAGTTTCCACTTAGGATGTCGGAGCTGCTAATTAGCCCAATACCTGACGCTTAGCTGATATTAGGTTCTGAGTCACATCTTACAGCCTAAAATGAGGCCGAGAGGCCCTAAAGGATCTCTTGAAAATTGTAGGCACTATTAGGGGTCACTACAGGGCTTCTTCTCCATAGAGCACGAACTACGCAGCACTAAGGTCAGGTAGAGTTTGCTAGTGGCGCTCTAGTTTTAGCGTATATCAATGACTTTTGAAGCACGAGTCCGTAGAACTTGTAGAATTGGGTAGGATACATAGGATGAGTAAAATGCGTGGTAGATAGCGACAGGGATGTTGCCAAGAATGTGTATGTAAAGGTAAAGAGGGCGTGTTGTAAGAGATGTACAAAAATTCGGCCTGGTACCATAGTAAATGTCAGGCTCACATGGAGATGACACCCCAGCAACCATAGAATTAGTGTAGCACTAGCCAGTCGGTCAAGTGGCGGTAAGCCATCGACTGGAATCAATCAGACTTACACGTCGCACTTGTTTTGAGGTCTCTTCGGTATTATGCCAGCGGCATAATAGTAAGTGGTACAAGGGGGGGCAGTAGCGTTGGATGTAAGGTATCGATTTGTCAAACTGTGGATACCTTGTGGACTTTTGAGTGGGGCCTCCGATCGGCTAAAGGGGGATTGGTAACATACCCACTTGAACTGACTTGTGCACCGCACCCCCTTTACACCAGAAATTACTTGGCATATTGGGTCTCTGAGCATATTTCTGTTAAAGATAGCATTCATTAGAATAGTCCAGATATGTATAATGTAAGCAAATAATACATATTGCTTGATTAAGATTATTCAACTCATATCTGTATTGATTTCAACAAATGTCAATAAAAATGACAGCGAGCTGAAGTTAGTGGCTTAAAAATTTTTGGTGGATATGAAGAGATCAGCCTAGTCAAAAGTGATGTACTCCGTAGATGGGTGCGATACACCAAGTTAGTTGTTACCCCTTTAGCAAGCGTAGAAGGCTTACTATTATCATTACCAATTTCATTACATTACTAATCTCAATACTAATTTCATGGCTCTTTTTTTTTGACTTCCTTGAATAAAAATCCTGTCCGAGTATGATCCTAGCATGATGCTGTGATAGGCTGGAATTGAGTTATTTCATGGGAGCATGGTACTATGTCACAAAGCAAGTCATTGAATTGTGTGGCCAAGACTTCATATATGATACACTTGTCCCAGTCGTAGTCATTAAAAAGTAAGTCTGCTAATCAACCTTAGCTATAGACATTCCAGGTTCAATATTCTTCATCAGCGTGATGACACACTAGCATCTTAATATAGGAGTCGTGACGTCAGGGAATGTCTATCTGGTCTTGTGTGGGTGTATGGTTCATCACAACGATTGTGGGGACTGCCGCACACTTCGTCAACTGCTGATCCCAAGATTGACCGAATCTCAACCAAACGCTGCACACCGTGCATGCTCGAAGCGCCTTCTTTGGTAATGATGGTCCACCCCATGCTTACTAGGGAAAGGGCGAATCAACTGATTCTTTCGTTTCATTCTATTTCAAAGTGCTCCGATGAACGACTTCCTCGACGAGCTTTCATAAATTACCTTCAGCCTTTAGCAAAATAGCAAGTCTAGTAACTTTTCCTATCGACTGTATCCCACCATGCAAGAGACCGTTTGCGAGGACCTCAGACCGTATACCCAACAATCAACGACATGCATTGATGAAGGAAACCCGCTGATTCCCAAAGTCCTCACCTCACTGTCACAGCAATGTCCCATGAGAGATAAAGCCTTGGATGAAGCCAGTGACGAAAACATCAGCCCAAGAAAGTTGAAGTGGATTATGGCAAGTGTGTGGATAGGGACATTCTGCGCGGGTCTCGGTGAGAATCGCTAATGTTTTTCGTGGTCACTACCGACGTCCTCACAGCGACACGTAGCAAGGAAATGTTGTTAACATTCATCAGATGGAACACTCATTGCCACGCTGGGATCGTCAATTGCCACAGAATTTCAATCCCTGTCCCTTCTCGCTTGGCTCGCAACCGCATACCTCATCGCGACGGCGGCCACTCAGCCTCTGTGTGGGAAATTGACGGACATCTATTCGCGCCGGAACGGACTCTTGGTCTGCAACATTTTCTTCGCTGCAGGCAACTTGACATGCGGCCTTGCGCAGAGCCCTTCGATCATCATCCTTGGACGAGCACTGGCTGGATTGGGCGGCGGAGGCCTGAATACCATTTCGACCATTATCGCCAGCGATTTAATTCCACTTCGTAAGCGAGGATTATGGCAAGGCATCAGCAATGTATGCTGGGGTCTTGGTAACGGTCTCGGAGGAGTCTTTGGTGGATTCCTTAGTGACATCTGGAATTGGAAAGTTGCTTTTCTTATCCAAATACCACTAACGATGGCTTCTCTGATTATGGTCTACATCAACGTCGCAAAGCCGAAGCTCCGGGCAGAGAAGGCATTAATTCACCGTGTGGATTTCCTCGGGTCTTCGTTGCTGGTGTCCACCCTTGTCCTGCTTCTGCTGGGCCTCAACTCTGGTGGTAATATCGTTCCATGGACACACCCATTGGTGCTTGTCTCCCTTCCACTGTCCGCCTGTCTATTTGGCGCATTCGTTATCGTGGAGGAAAAGATGGCACATGAACCCGTTATCCCTGTTCGTCTCGTACTCGATCGAACAGTAGCTTGCGCATGCTTGACAAACTTTTTCTTCATCATGATCGCCTATGCCCTGGATTTCTACATTGTCATATTCTTTCGTGTCCGCGGCCTCTCCAGCACCGCCGCTGGGGCTTCGCTCATCCCTTTTAGTATCATGACAGCTGCAGGCTCGCTGCTGGCGGGATACATCACCAACATGACAGGAAGGTACAAGCAGCTCAATATCGCAATCTTGCTCCTCATGCTGCTTGCTACCATCTTGATAGCAATGTCCACACTGTCAACACCTGTCTGGACCACAATATTCTCCCTTGGCATCGCCGGTCTTGCAATAGGAGGCATGCTCACGGTAACACTTCTTGCTGTCATTACCGCGGTAGCCCATGAAGAACAAGCCCTTGTGACCTCGCTCTCCTACGCTTTTCGCTCCACTGGGTCTGTCACTGGTGTTGCCATAGCGTCAGCTGTTTTCCAAAACGTACTCAACCGTGAATTACGGTTGAAGCTGGGGCGAAGGGAGAATGCAGCGGAGTTGATCGGGCGTATCAGAGATAGTTTAGATGAGGTCAACTTTCTGCCGGTAGAGGAACAGCAAGTTGTGAGAGGGAGCTATATGCTCGCTTTGCAGGCAGTCTTTCTGGCGATGGTAGGCTTGGCCATCTTAGGCCTTGTCAGCGGGCTCTTGATGCGAGAGCTTAAGCTTCACAAGAGATTAAATAGACAGGATGATGAGATTGCTGAATAGCCAGTCCACGATTTTTGTCGCAGTCTGACCCTGCAAAGACACGGAACTATGTCAAACCCGGGATCAAAGTCCCTAATGAAAAGACTTTCTTTTTATGTTCTCAAAAAAGGTGACGAATAAGCTTAATATTTAGATAATTAATTAAGACATAACCAGATTCTTTGGAAGGCCCTTGACGATTGCTGTCAAGTGCAACCGCCGAAGAATTCAGTCTATGCTCAGGGATGCTCAGGGCTGCTCAGGGCTGCTCAGGCTCGGAACAGCCTGGAACAGCCTTGCACGGCCACAGCTCAGGGCTGCTTATTCATCGCTCAGGTTGCAGTCACGTGTGCTCAGGTCTCAAAGTGGAAATAGAATTGGGAGAGGTCAAGATTCGGGTGTGGATGTTGTGGTAACCAGCATTAGCATGAAGTCTTGATGTCGTCTACCAAAGAGGGCAGGTACCAATTGCAGTCAGCATATGCAGGCTTAGAACAAGTGTCTTGGAAAAAGCTTTGTTTCAGCATGCTAGCAAGCGGAGAAGAGCAGAAGAGAGTACGATGAGCTCAAAAGTAAGGAAAGGTACATTTCCGTTCCGTTGCATGAGAGTGAGCGGATGGTACGTACCCGAAGTTGATTGTGGCATTTTGACTTCTCTTTCTTTGCTTTTGACTGCCTCCTCCCTTTCATTGTTAAATGCTTCTTCTTGCACACCTCGAAATAGCAAAGTCATCACCATTGGTGGTCTTGTGTACCGAATTTTGCGCCGCTAGCTTCATAGAAGACATAAGTCTGCTCTGGATGATCTTTGTTGGGAGAAGCCGCATAGGAAGGGGAAGTCTTTGACACACCTTGCTCATATCCGTCTCTTTCATCTCCATTATCAGCTATATCTAATATAATCCACTCCCTTTTCCTCTACCACAACTTTTGTCGACGGGAAATTGAACGCACCACTGTCTCTCCAAACCTTTAAGATGACTTTGCCACCCAGGACCCCTTCGTTAGCAGAGGCAATAGATTTGCCAGGGAGCATAAGATTGGATCCACGCAATGCCCCCCCTTGTATGCCATTCCATTCCTTTCTTCAGGTTGGGGATGGGTCCCAAGATCGCTAACCAAACAAAAGCGCGTACGATAGCACAGCATGACTTGTTGTTCATCCAAACTCTCCCAGCCTGTGTCTGGGACGATCGCCTCAGTTATGCTCAGAAGTCTTCACTTTTCTACCAAGAATGCCAGCCGTCTGTTGCCCGACTTGTCGCAAACTTGAACGACCGGAAAGCGAAGCTTACCACCAAGAGAGCGACCTATGTCGAGATACTCCTTCATCCACAATCTGCAACGGTCACTAAGGACACAAGCCAAGATTACTTGAAAGAGGTGGTCAGCAAGCTGAACGATATCGAGATCTTCTTGGTAAATCTTGATGTTGCTTTGCTGAGTTGCAACGAGTACAGCAAATCGCTCCGGGAGCATGCTGAGTGCTGGCGGAAGGTGGAGAGTGGTGAGGAGCAAATCAGCAATGCGGAGAAGGTAAATCGGGAGTTCAGGTTCAATGTCATGTCTGGTTTCATCTGGAGTCAATTCATCCATTTCGGCGACCTTGTCAATGGTGTTCCAAGGGAACACCTCAGCTAGGCGACGCCGGATTTCGCGGGTATTGAATCTCCTAAGAGGGACCCTTGCTGGTGGAACTCAACATGCTGGGGAGGATGCTGAGCGTTAAGGCTCCCGGGTCTAAAATTCGTCTTTGATAGTTTTTGCTGGTTTGGTTATCTTATGACCGACTTGTCTACCGCTTCTGCTGCGTTGATTCTTTGCTCTCTCTGTGCCATGCATAAAGGTAACTTAATACTTGTTCGACCAATAGGACCGCGGCTCTCAGAAGACCGATAAATAGCTTATGTTTGACAATACTTAATAGCCACAATTCATGGAAATAGGAATAGAGTCGTGCCGAAGGGGAAAGTCCTGTGTAAAGCACTTATAGCCGAGTGACTGTGGATATAGGGCAGTTACAGCCGGAATCGCCCTACGGCTGTTCTTGCTCCCGTACCAACCCCTTTGCAATAATATCCGTGCCCTTATTTTGACATTCACCCATTGATCGGCCAGACGATGCTGCGAAAACGAGTCGTATGAGCGTCTCCTGATACCAATTAGAAGTTTCAGATGATCGGAAGCCGTGATCAAGATCTAGAGGCGGTGAGAGCCTTGACAATGGTCTTCCTGCGGTAGTGTAACTACCCGCCACCCAGATGGACGGCCTCTCATCTTCCGAATTCCAGAAAATCGCTCGGAAGGACCTGCCCTGCGAGAAGAATCATATCCGCTCGTCGATGCTGGTCTTCCCGCCTGTTTTGGGAGATTGGTAGTTCACTCAAGTGGGCTACATTACCTGCAGGGAGGTTTAGGTAGTACCGACTGGTTCAACGTGAATCCCCTGCTTTGAATCCCATGGAGGCAGAAACCCATCAAGCGATGTGGGAAAGAGCTGGTGTATGTTTGGCAAGTTTCGATCCTACTCAAGGCTAGTGATTGCGACATTGATCCAGGTGCTCGCGTTCGGTTCGAGTAGAGAGCGGAGAAGACAAAAAAGTTTGCTGTTTGACTCCTGTATGAGTATGGGGCCTTCGAGTACTGAAAGACGCAGGACTGTCAATCACAGCCCGATTTCGGGTTTCAGTGTTTCCTCATCCTTTGCGCCAAGGTGTGAGACATCAGTGATATGAGAGCCTCAGAGGTAGGGAAATTCGGATACTTAACCGTGCGCCAATTATTTCATATTCGGGCGACCTTAGCGCAGATCTCGAAGTCTTTGTCAAGCCAGGCGGATGGTTGAAGGCTCTGGAGGCCTTAGCATGCTACCCCGTCTGCTTTGTCTACATTCCACACTCAATGTGCTGCAGAAACCGCCAACTCCCTATCCATTTTACACGTCTACCAGTGCGGAGCCAACTCATCAACAAGCCATCGCACGTGGGGGAAGTCTGGGCAAGATGTAATGGTATCGACTTCTCGCTAGCATACTTACGTACCTTCAATCGGATGGTTGAGCTAGAGTTTCGAAAGTACCCGAAGACAACATTGGTCGGTTTGAATTAATTCCACTTGGGTAGTTGAGCAGCAGCTTCAAGAGCAGCTTCAAGAGTACACTGAGTAGGTCATCATCAGTATCAGATACATTCTATTTGACTAGTTTAGCAACAACTTCAAGGACTACATAGAGAGGGCATCCGTCAGGTTGGTGTAGATGCCTTGCTTTCCACGCAGGCGCCCGAACCGACTAGCATTCCAGCTTCTCCATCGCTTGCTTCAGACCCTCTTCACCTGCCTCGTGCTCGTCACTGACACAGTCCACAAATTCCTCATCCCCAGACTCGTCGTCATCCTCCATTTCGTCCTGTCGCTTCACCGCTCCAGCAACAAATGAGTAATACATTTCCTTGGTCTGCTTAGTAAGATGAGCATGCTCTGAACTCTCGTTTATTGTGGCAAAACCACTCGCAACCTTCGCATCCAACACAACCAGCTCCACCACGTTGGCTTGCAGATCCTTAAGGAAATTGATGTCTTCCATGTGCATGGCTGAGTGTTTCTTCATCGTTTTGACTTGGCGATCTATGTCTTCAATGGCGCGCTCGCACTGTTTTTGTTCCTCGTGGAAACCGGCGGTTGACTTGTCACCCGAGACATAGTTTTGGACCTTGGCTGACTTGACTTCTGCTGAGTTGGTGGTTGCTTGGTTCAGATGATCCTCGACTTCGGCCCACTGACGCAGAAAGTAAGCTAAGAGTGATTTGACAGCCTGGAGGAGTTCGGGCAGGCTTTCTGGTTTCTTGTCTGGCATATGTTCGAGTGGCCAAGGATCAACGCCAAACAGTCGTGCTGTGGTGGAGAGGTAGGAGCTAGACTTGTGCAGAATGTCTTTGAGGCTGGCCATGTTTGAAGAGCAAGGTGTGTGAGGATATTGTGCTTGAATTTGAAGCTTCGTTGTGCTTATTTAGTGCTGTAGGCTGATGCTGTGGTTTGTGTATCAGAAGTGGAGGCTTGCGGTAGTGGAAGGTAGATGGCCGAGGGTTTGTAGACCGTTTGTGGTGCGTTTGAGAGGTACTTATAGACATGGCGTAGGCACGATCATTCACAAGCATTGGGATCTCTTCTGGTGATATTCTTATGTGGTGACAATTATGTTCACAGTTTGTGGAACACATCGGGACGTTTCTCTTGTCTTGGCATCAGAGCATTGTCTTGGCATCCCTTCCTTTCTCTAACCCCAGTTCACCAGTCTGGATCTATGTGCACAACCTTCAACACGCAATAAATCATGTGAATGGACAAGAAACATGATCTGGATTATGTTTGCATTCCGAGATTATGGAGGATGGCATAACAGAGCTCTAGATATTTTGCGTGCAATCATGGCTGAGTCATCATAACCAAAGAAACCCAAATCCAACTCCAACCGGCTGCTACCTTTGCTTGCATATCTGATGAGTTCAAGAAAAATCCAAAGCCATCCCGGCCCTCCTGAAATCATCTGCCAGGGCTTTCAATCCTTCAATGGCAACCTCAATCTCCGCTTCCCGAGCCTCATCCATTGCGTTCCGACCACCCGCATTGAACTCAGCAGATATCGTCGTCGCCAATCTCTGCTCGTAAAGTGTAGCATGACCTCGCCTATTCTTTTTCCAGAGCTCAGCATACTCCAAGACCTTGTAAAATCGCTTTTCCTCCTGCTGCACTTTTTGCTGGCGTAGTGAGAGCAGATGCGTGATCCTAGAGACCTGCTTCTCACAGATGAGGCAAAAGTCAACGATTTCAGTAGCATCTGGACTGGGTTGCTTCTTTTCTATGGTATTCTTGGTGAGAGCTGAGATGCCTTTCATGTGAATGAGCATGCGATGGGTTTCTGCGGCCTCGTCGATGGAGGATTGTAATGAGTTTGTGGATTCCTTGATCACACTCGCTATCCATGATTTGTTTTTGACTTTGACTGCCATCTTGATGTCAGGAATACCCAATCTAGTCACGCCACAGCAAGATCTATCACTTAAAGATCATCCTTACCTGATGAGACGGTGTTCACGCCATTCATAGTAGTTTCGCCTTCATCTGCAAGCTGATTAGGCCGGTTTGTGCCGTTCGTCTTCATTCTCATGATTAGTTTGGACTGCATCAGAAGATGTTTGTTGGGAAATGGGTGATTTAAAGCTGCAAACTGGAGCGAACACTCTTGAAAGCCATATTTGACTTGGCAGATGGCACGTTCACTGCTTAGCTTTCTTCAGGATGACGGAACAGTTTCTTAAGTTACAAGTGATGGATATCTCACACCAAACTTCCTGCACGTGATGTCCCAGAGCTCTCTGTGGCCTCGTCTTAGTTCCAATCAAGCCATCTCATTCAGTCTCCCTAAGTTTCACACATCTCTTTCCGCTGCGAGCAACCACCGATACCTTGCAGTTATGTCGACCACAACGTCACAAGGCTGGCCTACTTCTCAGCAGTCCTGTATGACTCTCATCTCGATTATTCTGATGTCTCTTTTGTATGCTTATTCGGATTTGATGACTTCTAGATTGCCTGTACCGCATTTACTTCGCTACAGACCAGCTTGACGTTTTCAGGGCTAGCCGGGGATGGATGATAAATGGTGTTGTCCATTCCAAGGGTTGATTTGGAACGCAGGCAGCAAAATGACCATACGGAGGCATATCTGGACAGTTGGCCTAGATGTTGGACAAAATCGGACTCGATATCTGATGTTCCAATGAACTGGTCCGAAAAAGTTTGCGCCAACGCCATGATCTTTTCAGAGCCAAGGTTCGAAGCTTGGAAACAGAACCTGACCGGACGTTTCACGAGGTGGGCAGTTAGAGCATTCTGGCCCACCGAAAGGAACATATAGTGCCATGCCTTAGGCATCTCCGAGGACTCAGCCACAAACAACAAGTATTACAGACCTCCCCCTCCGCTCATGTATAGAGTCCTCCTACTACTTACCTGAAGCCTGCACTCGTTGAGCTTGTACATCAATTCAACCTTCTTCACTTCTAGCAAACTACAAATCACGATAAAGGTCGATCCAAGAATCCTCGCTATGGATTTCATTGCTCTCAGTGGCCTTCAAGACACAATCGTGCAGGTCATCGATGATCCGTCTGCCAACAAGCGGAACGAGATAATGATCGATATTCCTGGTGACAGCAGCTTGAAACTAGTCGCGCTTCAACCCAGACTGAACCTTGACAAACACAACGTATGTCCACATCCTACTTTCCCACGCTATTTATATCCAGCCAATCATTGGTATTCAACAAGCAAAGTATGAGTCTTCTGACGACACCGTGGGTCAATCGGTTTGGAAGACGAGTATTCAAGCCCAAAGCTTGTAAGCCGCCAGCTTTGGAGGATGAAGTCGGTCTTGCTCCCCGAAAATTAGGCGGTGGTGGACTTTATTTACTCGCTGTCATTCCAAGAAGATCCTAGATATTATAGCCATTGTTCAGCTGCCTTTTATTCTCCTTGTCCTTCTGGTGTTGTCCTCCCGCCGCGCTTGATGCCACCTTTACTACCATGTCATATTGTTACCCAATTCTACCGGACGCTATGCGATAGTTCCTATACAATATTTGATCTTTAAAAAAATACTCCCTCAAATCGTTCTCATCTCATTTCTTTTCAAGCCACAGAAATCTAATCGAGGCATCCTGTCCTGGGGGGTCACGCCTCCAGCTCTGTCTCGAAAACACGAAGATTTTGCGTCGTCCTGCCTACTTAGACAAAGAACGTGGATCCTTTACCAGTATACCTCCTCTTCTGGATCTTTACCCTTTTGGGCATCGTGTCTCGGTCTCTTGATTTTCCGCACCCTGTCCTACCACTCATCACGCCCTCCAGCAAGTCTTGTAAGCATAAAATCCCCCCATTCTTCTTAATTGCGTGTCATGACACATTTTCACATCGTTTAATTTCTTGCCGGAGTAAAAAAAGGGGGTTCAGTGCTGTCGTTCTGATACAAAACTAGGAGACACCTTATATGACGGCCACCATTGTTTCCTTTTCATGAACTACAACTACACATCATTCCGCGCCCTTCTCTAGGCACATCGCCACAAAAACGCTCCTCCTCCTCTCTGTTCCATCCCCATTCCTCAGCAAATGGCTCCAGGGCCATCTTCATGATTGGACCCAATATCTCCCTATCGTCCTGGTTCTGTACCCTGTTAATCACCTCATCCAATACCCATCCCCGGGGCACGAATTTCGGATTCACCAATTTCATGGCAGCCTCCCGCTCGTTATCCGCATCTGGTTGCTCGCCCCAGTCCTCCACCACGCGCTGCCGCCACGATGCCAGCCATGTGCTTACTCTTTGGGCTGCGGAATCGTTGGTCTCACCAAGGCCAGAAACGCCTTCTTTGTGGAAGAAAATGCGAGCTTTCTGTTTTCTCTGGTCTTCGGTCACTATTTCCGAGACTTTAACGGATGACAACCGACGGAAGAAATGGTTAAAGTCAAGCTCGAGCTTCTCTAGCGTATCCAACAAGTTCGAGAATAGATCTTTGAAGTCCGAGTCCTTTTGGGTCTTCAGGCCCAGCCTCGAAGTCATAAGCCGCTTATACTCCGTCATAAAGAGCGCTTTGAATTCCTCGCCGGTACGGGTGATGATGGTCTCTGCGCGCTCGATGAGAATGGGTGCAAAATCGTCCGACACACCGTCGTTGATGAAGACCTCGGTGTCGACCTGATCACCAGCGCCAATGAGCTCGCCAAATGACTCTCCCAAACGGACAAGATTCCACCAGATCACAGAAGGCTGGTTGCGATATGAATACCGGAGCATATGATCATCGTGGTTGGGTGTGTAAGCTGGATCAAAGTTATCCATGAATGCAAAGGGACCGAAGTCGAGGGATAAACCGAAGATGGACGTGTTGTCTGTGTTGAGAACTCCATTCATGAAACCGTACGCCTGCCATGCAGCCACGGTCTCTGCATTTCTGCGGACGATCTCTCGGTACAAACGGGTGAAACGATTCTCTTCTGCACCTTTGGAACCTTCAATGGAGTCCTTAGACACTCCGCGTGGAGGGTCGATATGTGCTTCTGTTTTGTCTTTGGGGAGTGCTGATGGCAGGGATTCCCAGCCTGAGAAGACGTCTTCGGCAATGTAATTCGCAACCTGCCGCACCAGCTGTCGATCTCCTCTAGCTCTTAAGATATCGAATGTGCCAATCCTTAGCCAACTCTGTGCAAATCTTGCCACTATCGCACCAGGCTCCATTGTCTCTCTCGCCACCATGTCATTGGTAAGAGTCAAGGCCAGCGCTCTCGTCGTCGGTATTCTCAGCGCGTTCAAGGCTTCTGAAACCACAAATTCTCGTATACTTGACCTTAGCACGGCCTTCCCATCCGCAAATCTCGAATACGGAGTTTTTCCGGCACCTTTCAGTTGGATCTCGTACTTGACCTTTGTCTGTGGATTCGTGCACTCGAACAACGATATAGCTCTACCATCACCCAATTGACCAGCCCATGACCCGAATTGCCATCCGCCATAGCATTGTGCCCAAGGATATATTCCGCCGTTTTCTTGGGTCCAGAATATCTTGTTTCCAGCGACTAGATCTCTGAAGTCCTGGGTTTCCTCCTCACCCTGCTTCAGCCCGATATCTTGCATTGCCCTGGGACTCACGCCGAGGAGTTCGGACTTGTCTACTGGAACTGGACGAACAAAAGTGTAAAGAGCATCTCGAACCGTTCGTGGGCCGAGGTTGACTCGTGGCGCATCGTGAGAATCTTTTGGTGTTGGAAAAGCAGGATCTGGAGGAAGCTTGGAGGTGAAGTTATTCGATTTGGGAAGGTTGGCTAGACTGCAAAGGCCTTCAAGGGGCCTAGTAGCCCCGTTTGTTTGACCATTGGTAAGATGAGAAGCCATACGAGTAATTGAGAAGCGTGGTGATAGCAATCTGTATGTGCGCATGCAGTGGCGAAGGAGCATAGGGGAGCATAAGATTGATCATGACAGAGGTTATAGAAATAGAGTTGGAAAATATGAGCATTCATATGCAGACATTGATTTGAAGATACATCTCTCACTGGAAATAAATTTGACATCCAAGCAGCGTAAACGATGACACCGATTGATGTCATTCACAGGCATGCGGGGAACAGACATTTCTGTCTCTCCAATTTTCCATGCCGCCAATGATATCTCCACCAACCAGGCAACGTGTCAAGACAAATTGAGTCCAGAACGCAGGAGACTAAGAGAAGCATATTACTACCACTACTATTTTACCTAGACACTCTCATGCCAAGGGTCAGAACAAAGTGCGCTTAGAAACAAGGAGTATAGATTGTCTATGACTCAACCTACCCAGTGGACTTGATGCATTTAGACGCCGCAGACTACTACTCACAGTATAATATAAGATATCTACTTCCTATCGCCAACAAGGATCCTTTCTCCACTTCCTTTGTCCCTGTTGTCCAGAGGCCCCATCTTCCCAGACACAACTCCCGCATCTTCATCTGGCGCATCAGGCATGATAGGCGGCCCCTTGAACTCCCTCCTTGCCCGTGCAAAGTACCAGATCACGCTGATCGAGGCAAAGCCAGCAAACACAACGCTAGCATAGTTCATTGACGATGGTGTCACCGGGATCGAAACTGGCATGCAGAACAGTACCACGGCAAAACATATCCAACACAGCGTTGCAATGTTGATTGCATAGCCAAACTTTCCTAGCGAGAACGTGGAATGTTCAACGGCTTTTCTGCCTCGGATAACGTTGATGAGGATGGGCAGGCCGTAGGAGGTGGATAGACAAATCGTCGCTACTCCTGTAAAAGAGTTAAAGGCTGCTGTAGATCCGAAATATATGAGGCCAAGAAGGCAGTCAACCGTCGCAGAGAGGATAATGCCCCATAAAGGCACATTCAGCCTTTTGTCAACCTTAGACCAGAGCTTATAACCGGGAATTGCTCCATCTCTGGCGAAAGCGTATGTGCAACGAGATGCGGCCGTTAAGGCGCCAATACCAGCGAAGAACAGAATACCAAGGATAAGAAAGAGCAGACCGAACCCCCCGGCGGCAGATCCTGTAACAGTCTTGAAGAGAAGGCCAATTGGCTGTCCGTTGGCAACACCAAGTAGGAGCTCGACTGGTGGCAGAACGAATAGAATGGGGATGAGGTAGATAACGCCCGTCAGGCCCGCTGCGGCAACGGATAACACGATTGCCTTTGGAACTTCGCGATCTGGATTCTGTACCTCCTCGCACATCGACGCAACCATGCCGTATCCCGTCAAAGTATACGCTGCTTGCAGCAGGCCAACGAAGAAGGCCCAGCCGTCTGGCCATCCACTTGCCGAAGCATCATAGTGTCCGAACACAAATGCACCACTCCTCCTGGTATCGGCCATCGCCAGTAAAGTTATCAGGATGATGAGTACGCTTGCTCCTGTCCAATATATGCAGAGTTTGTTGATCCAGTCCAGGTAGGCCGAACCAAAGATGTTGACCGACGCGCATACCAGCATCACTGCCCAAAACATGAGTATTGTCTGCCAGGCGTTTGGTGCAAAGTCTTCGTTCCATAAGCTGATGGCACTCAGTATGAGCTGTCCTCCCGAGAAGTTGATACTCAAAGTAACCGTCCAATTTCCGACCAACGTGAGCCAGCCGTCAATGAAGCTCATCAAGGGCGCCCAATCTCGAGTACTCAGCATGGCGCTCCAGTAGTATACTCCTCCGGCTGTAGGATAGACGGCACATATCTCAGCAAGGGAGGCGGCAATGGCGAGAGACACGAGGGACACGAAGATCCAGCCGTAGAGTATCGTCACGGATTGCCCATCTGTAAGGGTGATGTACATCGTGGTGGAGAGGCCGAAGGGTACTGCCATGATGGCAAAGGACCTAAATCGTGTAAGTTTCTAGTTCCTGTAGAACTGTCTTTGTGACTTACAAGCCCAGTATGCTTATCATGCTTAAATTCCGTGGCAGCTCACTGGCATAGCCCATCTTCGCGAGGGCCGCATTGGCCGTTGCGTCCACGGAGCTTCTTCGCCGCATCTTGACCCGTTGATTGATATTCAAGAGACTGTAGAAGTGATGCGACAACTACTCAACGACAACGGTGGTTTACGAGACCCGTGGCCCAGTAAAAGGTGGGGAAATAGGGGAGCAAACTAATCTGCAGCGACATACTGGACAGACAATGTAGCTTGAATGATGCATTCTAGATAAGCAAGCTCTAGCCATAATGGCTGACTTGCAGAGCCTAGGAGAATACGTAGTAATGCGATTGGCGAATAGACACCATCTCCACACTGGTCGAAAGAAGGGCCACAAAGGTGGGGCCCATCGGGCTTAGTTAATGGGCCAGGGGTTGGGTGAGCTAGGGGCAGGCGACTGCAAGCCGAGATCTAATTACCATCTTGGGGGCAGGCTTTACGTGGACAGCTTGGTCTTGAATCGTTGTACATAAAAGTACAGAGTCGTGCATCAAAAGTGATGAGGGGATGAACTGAATTATCTATCCTCTGTGCGTGCAAAATCTATCTAAGGAGGAACAGGCTAATATAGAAGGGTGTGTGCAGTCACGTGACAGAAGCCTTAGCACTGTGATCTGCCACTGCCAACAAAAAGTAGTCAAGCTACGCTAATATTAAGGTGAGAGCTAGCAGGTACTAAGTGGAATCTAGGTACTCTAGGCCAAAATATGCAACAGGTAATCTAAGGCGTGCCTAGATGAGCGTCAGCACTAAGAGCCCTGTAGCATAAGTCAATCGCTTAAAGAGAAGCCTATAGAGTACTTAAGTATTAGGGGTTTCTCTAGGCTTTCTTTCGGCCAGAGTACCTGCATGACTAAGCACCATCTCAGGCTAGTCGATATTAGCCCTCCCTAGTGGAACCTTAATATTAGCCTACTTTTGATGCACGACTCCTACACCTCCATGTTCTACCTCGTCTGGTACCTTACATTTCAGCACGTTACACTGCGGAGTCAATCATGCCCCCGAATCGTTTTTCAGCCTCTCCATCTCTTCTACAACCCGCTCCTTGCTCCACTTGGTTTGCAATTACTCACCATGTGATCAGCTTCGCTCTCAGGTGCCATTCCACCTGGTGCAGGTGGCCTCTAATCCAAATTTGCTGGGAAAGAGTAACCTCCCGTTATTGCTGCCGGCGGCTTGCACGCTCAGATTCAGTTTCTCCTGTCCATACATGCTCCTCAGCTCATCGAATGCTGGACCCACTATAGCAATGTTACTAATAGTTTCTATAGTCTTTCCAAAGGCGCTGCTGATCCGCAACAGACCTGTCCTCCGGTTCATGTTCTGGGTACAATTCCTGCGAGCAGCATGAAAGTAGCAGAGTTGAACCGCATTACCTACCGAGAGCGGAAGCGTGACGTAGTCTATATAGAAGTACTCTTGAAACTTTGGAAGACGATAAGTCAAATAACCATCCCCAACCTTTGGCTGATTGTAGGAATCGTATCGGTCCACTTTCAAGCGGCATATCAGAAAGAGCGATATCTCCCTACAAGTTAAGTAGTTGGCTAGGAGGTGCATAGTTTTAGGTGATTTCGCAGCAGCGTTTGTGGTTTGAAATCCGATATGACAGTCTCGATGAGAGAGTTGAGCTGTTCCGCCAGGTCTCACAATGTTGACTTATGCGATAACCCAATAAGCTGGCCTGAGCCAGGCAGATGACACGTGAGCGAGCCACATATTCGAGTAGTAGCGGAGGAAGGTGGAGAGGGTGATAGAATGGCATGCTTTTGAAAGGAATTCCAGATCCAAGAAATCTTGCCCCACCCAGCGAGTTGACCGCCTGTACCTTTGCTCACCTCTGAGATAATAGATCTATCAAAGACCTCATTCAGTTGTTCCAGGAGACTGCGATCTGGTATGAAGTTTCTGAGGAGAACCCCTGGGCCAGCAAGCAAAATGTCATGCCATCTGTTCAGAAGCGGAGCAACTCGTGCTTTATTGAAGGGTGAGAAACGATTCAGATCCCAGATTGCTATGTTCGAGTGTATCGAAACTGCGAAAGGGCATCTCATTTTGGGTGTCTGATCGGGTCAACAATCTATTGGACTGGGTTATTGACGGCGTGTGTTTCGTGGAGAACAAATGAGTGGGAACTCGAGCGGGTTAAGCAGGCATTGAAAGAAAGACTTGAGAAGTAGCCGACGATGAGACCTAAGGGTACTTTTCTGAGATCACATGGATAATGGTAGATGTGCTTTTACGTCCTACTGTGAGATTCTGAACGGCATGTGGAGAGCAATGTTTTAGCAAAAGCGGATGACAAATAGTGTGGACAGCCAGTGGTCTACCAGGAGCAGGGAAGCCATACCAAAAATTCTGTCACCTCATCCAGGCATGGGACCGGACGCTGGACGAAACAGCTGCAGCCACCCATTTCTCAGGCGTTCCCTTATCAACACGCCGTAAGCCTATTAAAAAAGGGTCAGCTTCGTAGATCACATTTTCGATGGAGTCTTCTATGGAGTCTTCGATGCTATCTATGTTCGCCTGAACCAACCTTCCATGCTGCGATCGAGCTGGACACCCGGAATAGAAGCTCCACAGCTGAGACACATGACAAGATGACAGGGACCCGTGCAACACACCAGCCTTGGCATCGAGATCTCTCGTATCACCTCCAAAACTGATGGCAATGTGCAGGCACGACATTTGATATCACACCAGATCCATCACCAACATGATGGTATATCGATGCTTACTACTCGTAGGTGATCGAACGCCGTCTTCCCGGTTTCGATCACCTCCAGCCCTCTTGTCCTCCGTACAGTCTACAGCTACCCCAAACTAGTCCGCAAGATGACCATGGGTGCGGCAGCTGACAAGCTGGAAAGAAAGCGGCTACGGGAAGTGTCGAGGTATAATTTCTCGGCCTGTTAGAAATGCTTTGGAATCCAGGCTCTGTACTAACGAATGAAATTCTTTTAGATACTACTGCGCAACCCAATTCAAAGTTGACAATACATTTAATGGCAATGCCGCAGCAGGCTCCTCATGCGATGGCGGACTCGATCCTTTACCGGCCAGTCAGAACATTCTACGGCCAGCTCAACTTTCCCCAGATCCTGCATTGACGGCCTTTGCTCAACTTGGGACGCTTAAGCTCAACTGTGAGCGTGCCTTCATTGGTATTATTGATCACAAGACCCACCATGTGATCGCAGAAGCAACCAGGACAATATCTCTACAAGATAAAGACAAACATGCTGAAGGTGACGCCTTATACTGTGGTCTACAGGCACTGCCAATACATTGGGGGATTTGTCCTAGCACGATTCATGTGTTCAGTGATCCACAGTCGGAATATGCCATCGAGACTCCGAACATCACAGCAAACACTACGCGTTATGTTATCCGAGATTTGGCACTTGAGGAAGCCTACAGGGACCGTCCATATGTTGTCGGACAACCCTGGATGCGATTCTACGCAGAGGTTCCGGTCAAGAGCCCGGCAGGATTTGTTATTGGGTCGTTCGCCATCGTCGACGACAAGCCTAGACATGTCTTTACAGATGCCGATGTTGAAACCCTCCAAGAGATTTCCAGGGTCGTCACCCAGCACCTGGAAACTGTCCGCTTACAGCATGATTCTAAACATGCCGGCCGCCTCATGCAAGGGCTGAGCTCTTTCGTAAAGCAAGAATCAAGTGCGAAGGGTTTGGCGTCGACCTCTTCCACTACGTCCGATCGATATGAGACGTTGCCACCTCCAGCAAAGCTTCGTCGGTGTGCTAAGATCCCAAATCCGTACAGATCTGAGATAGGACCTGATACCGTGTTCTCACGCGCTAGTAGCCTCATTCGACAGAGTATGGACCTTGAGGGTGTTGTCTTCTTTGATGCTCGCAGGTCTGTGAGCTCTTCAGCTTCCAAGCAATTGGTTTCGGAGAACCTTGGTTTCTCTACAAAGTCCGACTCGATGACGAGGGAAGCATTGAGTATGCCACAGGAGTTGCTGCAGCAGATCTCTGCCAGGTACTCGACAGGACAAATATTCAACTTTGATGAATTAGGTTTGGTGGTAGTGGATCAGGATGTGGATCAGGATGAAGAGTCTTCCGAAGCGACTTCGTGTAAAGGCATACCTGGAACGGATGCTGCATTACTTTCTGCAACCTTTCCAGGAGCGCACTCCATTATCTTCTTTCCATTGCCGGGTGCAGGAGATCGTTGGTATGCCGGTTGTTTCGGTTGGACTTTCGATGCAAAACGAGCACTACAGACGGAGGAGATTACTTATTTCGCTGCGTTTAGCAATTCGATTATGTCCGAGATTTTTCGTCTGGAGGCCGTTGCTATGGACCGGGCCAAGTCTGATTTCATATCTTCCATCAGTCATGAGTTAAGGTCACCTCTCCACGGCATCCTGGCCAGTGCCGAGCTCCTCCAGGCTTGTTCGTCGGGCTCTGAACAGGATAGTCTTATTCACATGGTCGATACTTGTGGGAGGACATTACTTGACACGATGAACCATCTTTTCGACTACGCGAAGATCACTAATACGTCCAGGTCGGGCTCCAGTGTCTCGAACAAGGACACCTCCGCACCAATGAGCGGTCGATCGACATTGGATCTTAGCGAATTGGTTGAAGAAGTGGTCGAAGCAGTTTATACTGGTCATAAATTCGCTCGAACATCGTCAATGACATCGCCAAATACCAACGGAGTTCACAATGCCCAGCCCCCAGTCTCGGTCATTCTCGACATTGCAGCTGCTTCTGACTGGGTTTTCAAGAGCGAGGCAGGCGCGTGGAGGCGGATTGTGATGAATCTATTTGGCAATGCTCTCAAGTACACAGAAGCAGGTACAATTCGTGTCTCGCTACGTGCTAATGGCTTTCAAAATCAACCAGAAGGTTCTCAAGTAACGATGGTAGAGTTGTGTGTTGCCGACACAGGCAGAGGGATCTCACAGGACTACCTGAAAAATCGCCTCTACACGCCATTTGCTCAAGAGGACAGCTTGTCTGTTGGCACAGGTCTTGGTCTTAGCATTGTCCGGCAGATCGTCACTGCACTTGGCGGAAGCATGGACATACAAAGCGAACATGGCAAGGGGACAACTGTGACGGTTTTAATTCCGTTAGAAGCATCCTCCGCTGGTACAGATGACCCTCAAGTCGGCCATCGGAAGATCGCGAAGGAGTTGAAAAGTAAGAACCTTACATACGCTTTTGTAAATTCCGTCAGTTCCTTGGATACCTTGAATGAGCCAGTTATGCGATGTGCTGTGCAGACCCTTTCAGACTGGTTCGGACTCCAAAAGACAAATTTATCTTCCCTGAGTATGCCGGATCTGGTGGTTGGTGATGCACAGGTGGTTGAAAAGCTTTGTGTTCAGCTCGAAAGGGACTCAGTTGATTATGAACAACCGTGCAATGCCGATACCAACATGACCAAATGTCTCTTTCAAGACTCTGTGCCGCTTCTGGTCTTAGGCACTAGCTCAACCCCCCAGCTACTCCCAATGCGCGATCGACAGAGACGCCTCAGTCAACCATTTGGACCTCACAAACTTGCTAACGCCATATACGAAACTCTTTCTCCTTCCGATTCTGCTCTAACATCATGGGAAACGAACGGTGAAACCCCAAAACGAGGCTCACTCAAAAGATCTTACAGCTCGATAAGTACTAGTTTAAGTCCTTACAGAGTCATGGAGGGTCCAGAAACATCAAACTCCATGCAATACAGCCCTCAATTTCAGGATTCCGCCGATTTCAATGGAGACCGTTCCTTACTCTCACTTCTTCTTGTTGACGATAATGCAATAAACCTTAAAATCATAGCTACTTATGTACGAAAACTACCGTGCAGGTTCACAACTGCGTCCAACGGACTCGAGGCTGTCGAGCTTTATCAGAAAGCATACCAAGAGGGCACGCCATTCGATGTCGTCCTGATGGATGTCTCAATGCCCGTGATGGACGGGTTCGAAGCGACCCGCCAGATCCGAGCCTTCGAATGCCGGACAGCAATCAAGACACCGGCGCGGATAATAGTTCTAACGGGTCTGACCTCTGGGAAGTCGCATGAAGAGGCTCTAGCAAGTGGGGTTAATTTATTCTTGACCAAACCTGTTCAGTTGAAAAAATTGAAAGGTGACCTGGGGTTGAGTTGAATTTGGAAAGAGCTGGCAGAACCTCTGAAAAACAAGATTCGATGCCACGCACAGAAAAGCGGTGCTTGCTCAAGCTCGGATAGCAGATGTCGCGCATATTGGAATGCGGGACCATCTTCAGCCGACGAGGGCCTCAGAAGATTTGTTGAACCGAAGTACCTTATCGAGACTAAGGTAGTCAGACTGCAACAATGCGTCTAACAGGTCAAGCATTCAGCTCGGCTTCGATGACGTTTTAAGACTGTACACTTGGTCCAGATATTAGGCAGCAGTGTGTCCTCAAGACCACAAAGCAATCTGGACTCTATGCAACACAAAGCAACGTGGCTTAGACAAATCCATCCAACAACGATTGTACCTATTCAGCCTAACAACAGATGACTGATGTGATTGTAAGCAGGGCGATCTACTGCCACACGCGGAGGCTCCCAGATGACGAATCTTACGCCACCAAACCTTCTGATCGGTGTTTTGGCATAGCACCGACACCAAGGCTGCCGATCGCGCCTTGTTGGGCCACGTTTCCGCCTAAAGTGCTGTTAGTGCTGTTAGTGCTGTTTGCACTGTTTGCACCAAGTCTAGAATGTACCTCCTCAAGAGGGGATCAGGTAAGAATAGAAGAACAGTGTCGAATACGTTGCGAGCGCCGTTGAAGTTGCCTCCCTCGTGGCTTTAACTACCCGACTCGCGCGCCAAGATGGCCATGAAAAAGATATCTGTCACCTGGTGGTTTATAAAACGACCCACACCTGCGATTGCAAGACCGCCGGCGTACCGCCCCTTCGAAAATGCCTTCGTCCCCAGAGATCTCTGGCAGAAGAATCAAGCGAGTCTCCAAGTCCAAGGTCCGTACAGGATGTGTGACCTGCAAGTGAGTGTCCCGGTTCCTAGGCCATTTTTTGTGTGCACACTACGAACGTGATTATATAGTACTAACAACCGGCTTTCAGGATCCGACGTATCAAATGCGATGAAGGTATGTGATGGGCTCCTACCACCATTTTCTATGATTCTGATTGTTGCCCATCACCAGGCAAGCCTGAATGTGTCAGATGTACAAGCACCGGTCGCAAATGCGATGGCTATCTACCTCCGAAGACTTGGCTTTTCGAACTCAACAGCGAAAGCGAGTCTTCTTCCAGCTCCTCTATGCCCAGCAGCTCTAGTACCGGTGCCCCGGACAGCTCCGAGGAGCGTCAGGCTTTGCAGTTCTATGAGGATAGGACAGCACCGACCTTGGCAAATTATTACAGTCCACAGTTCTGGAAGGTGACTGTGCCCTCCACAGGTCTGCTGCATCCACCGATCAAACACATTGTCGTCGCTACCGCCGAGCTACATGCGTCCATCGAAGAGGTCACCGATCAAACAGGCTTGAGTCGACTTCGATTTATGCAACATTACAGCAAAGCCGTCTCATTGCTCACGAAAGGTTCAACCACTCTTCCCACAGAGGTTGTTCTTATTTGTTGTCTCCTCTTCAGTACCTGTGAAAATTTTCAAGGCGATCCGATGGCCGGCTTGTTACATATCGAAGGTGGAGCGAAAATTCTTAGAGAGTGGAGAGCAGCTGTACCGCAAGGACTCAGCAGGACTGAGCCGCAGGTTCACCGCTCTGATCTTATTGAACAGGAGGTAGCCCCAATTATCGATTCTGTTGAAGCTTTGATATCTACGTCTCGCAGTGTTATACCGGGTCAACCACAAGCCTCACAGTTGAAAACTCCTGGCGAGGGTCTTCTGGCGCAAGGATCATCTGAGAAGCCACTGATATCTCAGAAATATGACACGTTTTGTGTTGCGAGAGATCAGTTGAACGATGCAATACAGTGGATGCGTCGGACCTGGAACTGGGAGATATGTGGAACAACGTCCACAGTCATCGACCCTGCAGTAACGATTGAGGACGCGAGAGCATTGTTATCAGGATGGCTGGTTGCCTTCAATGGCTACACACCTCAGCCTGGTGGCATGCACGAAAGGGAGTTTCTTCGTACAGAATGCCTTCTCCTGCGAGCTCACCACCACGCTGCAGTGATCATGATTGAAACTTTGCCTTCGAATTCCGAAATGGTCTTTGACGAGCATGTGGACAAATTCAGAACACTTTTGGAAGAGTGCAGTGCCGCAGCTATCCCACCTATCTCACCAGCCATCACCTTCCACTTCGGCTTCTCTTTGGGTCTCATACCTCCGTTGTTTCTTCTAGCAACACGTTGTCGCGAGCCGTCCATGCGCAAACAAGCCGTTGCTGTACTTCGATCGCTGCATCGAAGCGAAGGTTGCTGGGATAGCTGTTCCGCCGCGCTGCTCGCCGAACATGTAATAAATATCGAGGAACGCGGCTTGGCCGTCATCGAAACCGCGAGTGATATCACCGCCTTCAGCCGCGTTCGTCTCATGGGTGCCGAAGTCGACTACGCCAACCAACAGCTCGTCCTCCGTGTTGCACGTTACCCCTTCAGCGGCATGAGTCCATTTATCCGTCACGAAGAACCGATCGAATGGCGTACCATTGCGCGTGGTCAGAATAGGGACACTTTAGAGTGGATCAGCCAACCCCATGCGTTTGATCCTCGTCCGGACGAGGATACTACCTATTTCCCAACATCGACGGCTGCTTCTTCTCTGTCGGCGGCTGACAGTCCAACCATACAGCCTCTGGACAGGATTCTAGGTGCGGCGGGATTTCAAGGACTCATCAGGCCGGAGCGAGGGATCTGTTGGCATACCGCTACGATGAACAGAGGAGGTGGGGACACAGCAACGGTCACGGGAAGTGTGGAGACGGGTGCTTAGGATCCTGCAGCGTTGGGAAAACAAGTGGTGGATCTGGATTTTGGATCTGAGGTGACTGAGCGATGAAATTAGTATCAGTATGTTGATCATACGTGAACGGGGCTCTGTTCGGCTGGTAGCTGCTTGCATCTTCTCGAGATAATAATTCACGCGTAGCATATAGAGCTCCACAGTGTACCGAACAATCATCTACTCGACTCGACTCCATCTTTATAGTAAACCAATATCATGTCATATAATATCATATCACGTAGAATGAGAGGCACACCACGACAGCCTATATCCAATGTCACATGAGCACCGTAGTAGAGCTTAGAACCCCCCAGCTCGCTCGGCTACCAACGGGCAGTCATCCCTTGGAAATGCGATACCCTGCTGCGGAGATCTTCGAGAGACCATGATGAGAATACGTGCTCATCTGCAGCGATGCACGCTGATAGTCAAAAAAAATTAGGTCGACGTGAAATGATACGAGACGGGATGCGACTCGATAAGATGAGATGAGATGAGATGCAAGCGCGCTCTCCATACCCGCAGGATATCTGCATTAAATTACATGCCTTGAAACTATCATACAGGTCATGATACGGGACAAGATTGTATGGATTCTTCCTCTCGTATCAGAGAAATTAAAAAATGACCGTATATGTTGGGCCGGATCAGTTGGTTGATGCAGCCCACTACATTACCAGATCATGGATGATGATGAAGAAGAGGACAAAGAGAGGCGGGGGATCCAGGACGAATTTGGTTTCAAGGATTTTCAAAAATGAGTCTGTTTATCATACTGTCTGTATGAGTGGACGAGTTTGGAATAGACAGATGTTGTGATTTCCATGTTTGATGTCCACCTGCGCCTCTGACTAGGGCTGAATATTCGATCAGTGAATATTTCGCGCAATCGTCCGTTCTGCGCCAGTGTGGTTCGCAACAAGTAATCGACCGGAGGATGATGGCATCGCGGAGAAGTAATCTGGTGCGGATGGGTGACGTCGATTAATGGTTTGAAGCTGGTTGGGGCTGATTGAGGCTAGTCCTAGGTGCTGCTCGCTCGTTGCTGCGACGAGATTGATAACAACCGGGCCTAGGAACACAAATCCTTATGTCTTCCAATACAGACCCAGCAACACAGAACCACAATACTCCGTAAATCTGGATCCACAATGGCATTTCATTCGACGTTGCCGGAGTGTGCTACGCCGAAGCCGAAATTCTGATAAGGAAATGCTTGTCCCCCAGCTCTGGAGGGCACAGAGGAAGGATGGCCGAGTAGTGCTCATGAATGAGGTGGCTGTAATGTGCTCACTGCATTATGCCTCCAGGGAATGCCAGCTTGTGAAGATGCTTCAACTGATCTGGGTCACTGCAGAATACCAGGGCATATCGCTGACAATGATGGCACTGATGGCACTGACGGCAGAGGTGCAGTGAGATCCAACCATGACTCTACCGTCTGGCATCAGTCTCTCCGCGATGTGTGAAAGGCAGCAGTTGTTGACACACGTCGATCTGAGCTTGGCTCGTAGGGTCATTCATGGTTGCTGGTAGCAAGGGACTCGTTGTTTTGCTGAACTGTTAAGCTGCCGGCTCTTCGACGCTGGGGTCCTTCTGTTTGTTGGTATTTGTCGAGTTCATTGCACCATGCAGGAACGAATCTTGAAGATTGGTAAAGCCAAAATCTTTCCCACCGTCGCAAAGCCAATTTACGATGTTAGCAAATGACATGTTTCGACCCTGGCCCAGGTCTTGGCAACAGCCCTGGAGCGGCAGCTTCCTCAATATTTGTGAAGACGGCAGCGATGGATCCATGGAAGGATTGGCAGATAACGTGTCAGTACACTCGGTGCTGCAAGATAGATCATCTGTAAAGCAGCTCGCGATACTGGAATCTTGTTCGGAAGAACAGCTCGATGATGAGGGGAAAAGAATGAAGTCGTCATAGGTACCAAGAGTGGGACATTCTTTGATAGAGGGGCATGATCTCTGGTTGGAGAGCCATCGTATCATATCAGAGCAACGGCATTCGTGAATTTCGTTGAGATCCATCACGAACCTCTCAGCGGATACGCTATCATAAGGTGGGAGCTCTTCTTGCATTTCACAGAGCTCATCAACCTGGCCTCCTTCATCCTGGTCGACATAAGTTGACGCCTTGGGCTTATTGTGCAAAGGGCCGATGGTGGTGGCGGCGACAGGATGATGTGGGACCTGTGGCTGAGCAAAAGATCCTCCGGATGGTTGTGCCTGTCCATCAGCCATGATAGGAGTAGTCTTGGCGATATCCAAGCCAGATGTGGTTGTGGCGGGGCGGCCAACAGCGTAGGGGCAAGCGGGGGATGCAGGAGGAAGAAGATGGTCAGAATCGCGGAAGGGAGTCCGGGCCCTTTTATATGGGCGGACATGACGCTAGCGACTGCAGGAGGAGCCCAGGCAGAAATGCTCGCACGCTATTGGTTGGACGAGGGTACCAGGCGCAGATCTTGTCATGGCCAACAAATACCTCCTCCTACCCCTGCCCGGACAGGTGCCAGTCTTCTTTGATGTCATCTGCTCCTCCTTGGTGGTTGGTGTCCGCTTCGTAGTCGTCTATAAGGGGTTGATCCCGTGGAAGATGTCTTGCAGAAGTGTTGTCCGTTTGTGGTTCCAGAATTTCAGCCTCAGCGGTAGGGAGTCCAAAGTTTGGCAATATCAGAGCAGGTGCTGTAACAGTTGTTGACGGCATATTCGAAGCTTGAGGGCTAGGAGAAGCAATCAAGTCGCCGTGAAGATCAGCCAATGGCCCGCACAGCGTCTGTGTGGCCTCCCACTGCTGCTGTTCCTGTCGGTTCTGCTCTTCTTGTTCTTCCTGCTCCTCCTGCTCTTTCCGGTGCTCTTGATGCCCTTGTTGCTCTTCTGGTTGGTATTGGTCCTGCCGCTGCAGATACAGCTGCCTTTGGTGGGCCTCGTGAGCTTGGAGCACCTCGTATGATTCTGGGCGACGCCAAAGAAGCTTCTCATCACACTGCTCCTCGATTATACCCTGGAGATGTATCGACAGACTCTGTATGGATCTCACGGCTAACCGTTGCTCTTCTAAGGACGCAGGAGGGCAATGTAGCCATCTTGAATGAGTGAATGACTCCGGGGAAGAGACAGACGAGGACATAGTAGTAAAGGAGTGTAAGAGAGTGTAAGGGCGACAATTCTTTTAGAGAAAATGACCTTGAGGGTATAAAGGACTTCAAGCAAAGAGATATATGATGCACAACTTGAACAAGGAGACCAAACAAAAGGAGAAGGGGAATGAGAAGGACAAGCACAAGGACAGGACAAGACCAGGTACCAAGACAGCTTAGTCAGGCTGGTTAGTCCCGATCTAGCAGGGTGCCCTCTCGGCCAGACTATGCTCCAAAGCATTGGTAGAACAGCAACGGAAACAGTAGAATATCACCTGCCTCGTCTTCGAATCAACTAGGCAGACACCAAGACATTGACATGTCTACCATCTGTACGCCCTGGGAAGAAGCCTCACCGGTGAGCCCCCACCTGTCAACCGAGTATCCGTACGACTTAGGCCAGGGCAAAGCAGCAAGTGCTCCTGTGAGTCCAAGTCGCCTGCTTTCTCTGACCAATCACTGCCTTTCAGGGTTGAGAAGAAGCTACCCGATCCACTTACCCAAGAATTCACAGTTTGTCTGGTCTACCAGTAAGTAAACAATTCAAATTCATGAATCTTAACAATGGAGGAAGTGCAGGGCGAATGTCGAACCCTCTTTCAACTGTTCAACCACCAGCAATATGCTCAGAATTCCTTTGAAGACGGCTACCCACGCCGTCCATGACAAGGAAGCAGCAACAGCATTCCACGTCAACCCATCAGCTTACAAGTCAGTTCAGAGGGCCACAGAAGCTTCGCAACCCAAGGCGGATCATCGAATACCTACACTGAATTAGTTCTTATCAATTCAAAACCTTGCCGTTAACCAAAATAGCATTCACAAGGCAAAACCCCGCGAAACGTTGCCTACTGCCTTCGTTCATTTTTCACATCTTCTCCCAGCAATTCAGGTCAAACCTAATCAAGTACTTTCGCAGGCTGTCAATGGTATCGAACCGTCATATGCGAAGATGATCCGTCTGTGAAGCTTGGAAAGGCAGACAAGATAAGGGAGGTGTATATGGTCACAGCATGGCAGCATCAGGCGCTCACAGCACTGAAGTCTTCGATGGGGCTGGACGGGGCCCGGACTGCGCCTTGCCTTGCACGGCATGATAAGGAAGCGTGTCTGATATCGAGCAGATGCTGAAAGACAAGAAAAAACAACGCGAACAAGGACAGAGTTGATATGCTAGAGGCTATCAAAGTGGGTTATGTGGCGATCAAATGGAGACCAGCATCTGCATCTTGGCCATCAATCTCAACTCTTGCATGCTCTTCCCACCGACAGTGACCGAGACGATATAGGGTCAACCTGGGCTATCGCCAGACGGAGATCTGCCGATTGTGACAGTGGCAGATTCGGGGTTCTATAGACAAATCCTGTCTGTGCCGATGACGTTGGCAACGAGCGAATCGGGGGCAAGGACTTGATAAGCACGAGGGCCTTCGAAACACTGCAGGCGATAATGGGAGCTTGACGATCGTGGGGCCATGCGCCGAATTACGATGGTTGGGTGAATGATGAGTCTCAGCATGCGGTCGAACAACCCCTGATGATTCCAGATCTGTAGGCTAGGCAAGTCCCGCTCCTCCAACGCACGTTTACGCCAAGATGACGAATCTCACAGTGTCTCCACTTCTCCAAAATTCATCAAAATTCATGATTTTGCAATTATCTACTCAAGCTCTATGGTTCCACACCCGAATGGCGTTTTTTAGGCCATATCTATATCTATTCTTCAATATGCTTTTCATTTCAGAAAACGGACGCAGCAGAACCAAAGCAGGCGCTTTTGAAGAGCTCGCTATAAACAATGAACAATCGAGGACATCTTGTCCCATTGAAGACAATCTATGAGCTCGAGACCAGGGAAAATTTCTGTAGGTCAAAGCTATATACTTTCCCAAATTATGTGCTCATCAATATGGCCCCCACAGCTGAAGCATATGTTGTGGAGATTCCGATCAAGCTTGCGAGCAAAGCATTGAAGTTGGCTCCGCTCTATCCGGTCTCGAGCAGTAGTACATTTGCTGACTGGTCGTAGTATTCTGAAACCAGTGCTCTCAACAGATGGCCGACTTTCGAATTCATACCCGTTCTTGCGACGATTCGTAACCACCCCACGTCTACCGCCAACGCTGGGCGATGGTGTTCTTGAATCGCCAGATGATCATGCCACTATTCACCTCCTCATACCCCCTCCATTGCCGCTGAACTCTGATGACATAACCACCGTTCTCCGGCCTAACATCCATTCCGAGTCGCTGCCGATCATCAGAACCACCCTTGTTCCTCTTGATCCTCCTACAACAGTCGAACAAGCCGCCCTGTGGTCCGAGAGATACTGGCCATGCACCTTCAACCCTGCATCTCAGACAATCCAAAAAGCCCCACCGTTGCGTATTCTACGAACGACACAAGCAGAGCTCGACAAACCGGCGAATCTGAAGTCATACTTCAGCCTTGCGGAACGTGCTGCTGCTGAATGTGCAGACGGAGCACTAGGCAGGAGGGTTGCTGCCGTGATCGTCGATCCCGAAAAGCTAGAAGTCCTCGCTGTAGCAAGCGATGCACGGTGGTACGGACAGCGCCACGATCCCAGCACAGCGGAGAATCATCATCACAACTTAGCCGAAGGCAGACCCGAGCACCACGCACTGATGCGAGCAATCGCAATGGTGGCGGAGAAGGAAGCACATCGAGGAAACGACAACGAGAACTCCAGAAATACAGCAGCGGAAGAACACACCGTCAACCTTGGGGGTAGAGCCGTGACACTAATCGAGAGACTCTATGCCCAAGCACCGCACTTCCGCAACCACCCCCATCAAAGCTTGCAACCAGTCGCACCGAACCCCCAATCTGCCCCAAGACCAGACGTCTACCTCTGCAACGGTCTAGACGTCTACCTCACCCACGAACCATGTGTCGCGTGCTCCATGGCGATGATCCACTCTCGGTTCCGCGTCTGTGTCTTCCGACGGAGGATGCCGAAGACGGGAGGGCTGTGGGCCGAAAAGGACGATCTGGGTAGTGACGGAAAGGGGTTGGGATATGGGCTGTTTTGGAGGAGGGAGCTGAACTGGAGGGTGCTGACTTTTCAGTACTTGCCGCCACTACAGGGCGGTGGCGAGGATGGATGTGGGGAGGCGGCGGGAGTAGGGGAAAATGGGGCCTATGATGGTGGAGCAGCGGTATTTCATGCGTGAAACTTATTGTTTTCATGTCCAGAGCAATGAAGCCGTCAGCCAAACTCAAACCTTACCTTACGAGGCAGTTGCGTCCCGCCTTCTCTAATCTAAGAAGCATGGCAAATGTTCTGGCTAATCAGGCTAATAAGTTTCAGCACAGGGACCCAACTCAGGAAAAGGTAAAGTCGTTGACATTGAAGACGGGGGTGAGAAGACTGATCGAAACTTCATGATGTTGCTAAATCTTACGCAAAACTTTATACGTGTGCATAATCGTCCCTTGATAAAAAGGTTCGGCCCAGCCACAGGCTTGCCACACGTGTCTGAAAGGACGGTCAGGCATTTCGTGGTGCAGGACCGGATCAAGTCAGGCTGTATCTGGGATCGATGCATGCATACGGAGTTCATACGCAGCTCTTGGCGGTCAATGTGGAACACTCTAGACGGAGTCGCTTCTTTCGCTGTCGCTCAGCCGCTTCTCGAGTGCCGGGCGTCGAGTCAGTGCAGCATCAGACCTGTGAGTCTTGCGACGCAATATCAGAAAGGCGGCACCGCCGAGGATCGCAACAACAGCCAGGGCCACGACTGCACCGATGGCGCCAGCTGCGCCGTCGGACAAGCCGGAGGAGCCTGGTTCGTTGGAGGCTGAGCCTGCTGCCGCATCACTCCGAGTGGCAGTAGCGCAGAACGCTTGCTCCGATTGACAGGTTGTGCACCAGTCAGCCAGAGTGTGGATCGATCGGCTGCCGAGCGCTTCGACGAATCTGCCATACGGCATTGACTCCTCGGATCCACCGAAGAGGGGATACGCGTCCAGGCCGTCACCTTCGTCGGTGCCGTTGCGGAACAAGAATCGGACCATCAGATCCTGTTCGGGGGTGGCCGGAAATTGCGCATTGCTATCATCGGTATAAAGCTCCAGCGCCATGCTGGCGGCGTAGTTGGGAAGTCCTTGGAAGTCTGAACTCGCGGCTGTAAGGTTGGTCAAGCCGAAGAAGGCCAGAAATGTGTCGTAGGAGCCGGCCATCAGGCTGAATTTGGTCTTGGCCTGACTGTCGACAACGCTTCTGAGCTGGCGCAGAAAGCCACCGGCCAAGGCCATACCACCAATGGAGCGATCGGGCTGAGTGGCGTTGTAGTTGTGGTTCCATTCCCGTTCGTTTGCCAGGTAGCGAAGTTGGTCGAGGTCTTCGGGCTCGATCCCTGAAGCTATGGATGCGTTGTGAATTGCGGCGACGTTGAGAAGATCAAACACGTCAAACCCATGCGAGTAGCTGACATTTTCGGCTCCCATGATGTTGGCTAGGAGAGGTGTGAAGCGGGAATAGAAGTCAGCCGATTGCGAAAGCGTTCTCTGATATTCCTCGCTCTGCCTGTACGACTTGGAAGCTGTGTCGTATGCAGGGCAAGCCTCATCTCCCTTCAGCCAGATGGTGTCTGGATCGGTGTCACCTTCTCCATGAACCAAGATGAATTGATATCCATTGAGCGGGGCTTGCGAGGATGTGCCGTTGGCCAATTCTTCGGTCGCAAGAGTTGAGTTGAGCTCGCCTAGCGGAGGGTACAGCCCTTGGAGGAAGTTGGTCGCTGTTTGATACAGGATCTGGATATCGATCAATTAAGGGGGCTGGTCGAACTCATAATTTCTTTCAATTACATACTGCTTGGTCCGGAGCACTTGCCCAAATCTGGCTTGGGATAACCTCGTCCGCAGAGATGCCGGCAACCCTGGACGGCGCGCCCTCGTCCACGTAACGCTGGCGATAGAAACCACCAGACGAGTATAACTGGTTGGCGCCGAGGTTGGTCATGTGGTATCCCGGGTAGTACTTAGCTGTACCTGCTCGGCCTCAGTACAGGGACCGCAGTGTGATTCTTGAGCAAAGCATACGGTCGCCATGTCTGGTGAATACCAGGACGCTGTGCACAGTTTGAGCAAGGGTTGGAGTGGCCGCAAGGGCCGTCAAGGTGATACATTTGAGAAGCATGATAGACCCGCAAGGGCTAAGGTGTAACGAGGCTTTTCTAGGGAACTTGCTCCAGAAGAAGAGGGTGACAAAGAGAGAGGGGGAAAGAGAAAGAGAAATTCTACATAAAAGTTCCGTAGATTTTTATACTTCTCGTAATTCATTGGCAGGAGATAGCAGTACTCCCGTCTCACTCTCACGATGCGGGGCATATGTAAGAGTCGGTCCGGAGGATCCGCGCCCCGCACTGATGATTTGTGCCTGATATGGCAGGGTCCTGCTTTGATAAGTAGGGGGGAATTGTCTTTAAAGACCACCAGGCTCCGAGGAATTGATACTGTCATTCCGCAAAGCCCGGCTCTTCAAGCACTGACCGCACTGAGCACTATCAGAAAAGGGACACATCAACCACTCCACCAAAAGAACAGCGCTCGTGGGTTTCGAACCACACTTGATTGATGTATCCCCACTGACGCTATCTTCTGTTCTGATAGCATACCGAGCATGTACATGTTGCTTCTTCAGTTTCGAGAGCCAACTGATCTCCGTGTTGCGTGCCGGTATGAACACTATGATCTGAAGGGACACCCGGACAGCTTCATCCAGGTGAATCTTATTTGAGCCTCGCGAAGAAGGGCTCAAGAAGATGATGGCATTTTTTGGTACAATCCGCTTTCCTGGCACTGTGTCTGGATGAAAGATTGCAATGGTAGCCGGGATTAATGCATAGACCATTTCAATCGCAACGTGCCAGTTTTTGTCGTTGTTGGTGTAGAAATGAGATATGAGTACTCATGTGTCCTCGTGACGTGTGCCAGCTTGCAACGATGATCAAGGGGTGCTTCAGCCTTGTGTATTGAATTCCCGTCTTATTGCTGTAGGCAGTCAGGATGAACTAGCCAATCTGTCTGATTAGTTACCGGTTAGCAAAGGCCCAGGCTTGGCCATAAGTTAAGTTCTTCCTGTCGTTGATGTTGGCTACCGTCTCTGACCTTACTCCATGTCATCCTCTTTTTGACAATCTTCCTGATCTTGACAGTCCCTACGAGCCATTTGAATCAAACAGGCACAAGTTTCACCCTTGCGGATGTCAGAGCTCATGGGAGTGAATATAGAAGTCGGCCGGTACAGGCGCCGCTGATGGAAAAGGTACATCGGGGGTACCAGAGGATACATGTTAGGGAGTTGAGGTCTCTTCGATATTGTTTATCTGTGGATAACCAACAAAAATGCTCTAGATTCATGCTGCATTATGTACTTTTCATACATATCTAGGCTGAGGATGCCTTTGCGTATAGTAAATGAATGCATCAGAATGCCAAATCCCCAATACAACAATAAACAACACTTCACCTCATAAACAGTCATGCACATGAATTTGTGGTGACGGGTTAGGAGGGTGAAGAAACACTCTGGTGATGAGGGGACTTTTCAGGCGAGGAGGAAGAGGGAGGAAGGCGAGGGGACAGGTCTTCTGGTACACTGACGTGAATTGCAGGTTGTGTGAATTGCCAGTGTAACAGGTTTAGGACTGGTGATTTTGTGGTTGTGGTAGAAGGGATTCATTCCCACTGCACCACGATGCCAAAGACATTGACTGGGGCGTCCGTGATATTCTGATGGCATAGTGGGCTATTTTCTAACGATGGGCATCTCCCAGTGTCAGGGAGGCCTTTATGAGCCCTTGACCAACCAACATGCCTGAAGAAGTGAAGTTTGGAATAGAATGGTGGGTGACAGGATTCAGGGGCAGCGCTCTTTGAGCCAATAATGAAAATTGAAATAGAATGTTGACGGAAAATCTATGGGGGCTTCAATGGATCCCCCAAGTGCGGTCATTGGTTCTAGTCTTCACCTGCCTCGACAAATAAGACCAGGATCCCCTCTTCATGCTCCTGGATTGGCCAATGCATCCGGACAGTTCGGAATGTTCGCTTCAGCTCTCCGATCTCTTTTTGACAACGAGAGGTCTACTTCTTTTTCGTCTCGTCTGGCATCACGAGTGCCACTGACAATAGGTAGGACCAATACGAACTTCGCCTTACCTTCACATCACCTGTGAGTTCTTGCTTGATGCACTGCAGCCTTCGTTCAATATTCACTTCGCATACAGATGAGACCGGCTTAGGCCATACCAGGCTCGTCGTACCATCGCTGCCAATTCATCGACGGATATGGAGCATGGCCCGACTCACGCCTCAAGCAGCATATCCAACAAAGTGGTTTGATGATACTTAGTTGAAATGGGAATTTGCAGCCGAAATGTTGCCTGAAAAATAGGACTTGGCGGACTTCTGTTGGCAGCGGACTCCGCAACTTGAAGAGGGAAGCCCCGCCAACTGACTCACTGAAATGATGCAAATGATCGCCCCCAGCCCGTCCTTCTTAATTATCCGTCTAATCGTCATCCCATTTCAGCTCTGGTACCAGCATTTATCACCATTGTGAAGGATATCACGCTACAACCACCAAAATCCGAGCATGTCGTCTATCATCGTGGGTTCGTACGTATTGAACTCCGCCTCTACCCCTCTGCCCCAAGTATTACTCCTGTTCTGCCCAGAAACGTCCCAGCCAGCAAACCAGACACTAACAGGCCTTTCACACCCAGGAAACCCGTCCATCCAGCGACCGTCCACTTTCCCATCGCCTTCCTCACCACTTCCTGGACCCTCGACCTTCTCTACTCCGCCGTCACCAATGTGCTCCCTCGGTCAAACTCCCTCGCCAAATCCCTCTCCCCACACCTTCCCACCCTGACCGTCATCTCGCACTACTCCCTCATCCTCGGCATCCTCTCCGGATTCGTCTCCATCGTCACCGGCGGCGCCCAACTCAGCAAGATGATCAGCAACGGCGGCATCTATGAAGCCGACGGAAAGACGATGAGGCAGAAGGTCAAGACGGCGTTTGTCCATGCCGGAATGAACGATGTGGCCATTTTGACGGCGGCGTTTAGTTGGTGGGTGAGACGGGGAAATGTGGATGTCTTGACCGGGGCGGTGGTGCCGACCACCACCAACGTGCTGATCAGTGCGCTGAGTCTGCCGAGTCTGTTGTACTCGGCGGATCTGGGGGGCAAGTTGGTGTATAACTACGGAGTGGGATTGAGCATGGGAAAGAAGGGAAAGTCGAATTAGCTGGTCGAGGAAGCGGCTGCGGGGAAAGATGGTTGCTGTGCTCTGGGGGGTTCAATGGAACAGGAGCTTTCTACTCATCGTCCTGGCTGGGAGAGGTAGCGATTCAGGTTGTCGTTGTTGCAGTGCAGCACACTCAATTCTGCTCACCCGAGCAGTCTTGACGACAACTTCCCTCTATGACTTATGATACCGAGGAAAATCGAGATTCACATATGGCTACAATCACAGTTTCTCATTCAATCATTCCTGTCCATGTTCATGCCGTTCAGCGCCCCGAGCGTACGTACTGCAGTGGGCTTTCTAGTATGGCTCACGAACCTCGCCCCCCCCCCTTCAAGAAACGTCACAGTCAACCAACGTTTGACCATTGGGAGCATGAGTCGCTTCACTAGCAAAACTGCTCCTTAATTGCCACTTTCTCTCTCGGTTACATATTTTAATGCTTCTTGAGTTTTATGCTATCGTAGGGCTTGGTATCTCCTCGATGCCGAGCGAGTCCCACACTATCGAGTTATCAGAAGATTAGTATGCTTGGGGCATATGTCACTTAATGGATATTCATTCACGATCAAATGCAATCGATGTGTTGAAGTAGTAGTACCGTTCAGATGCAAGTTGAATCTGCTCAACCGCGCCCTACGGAATTCAATCATAGGTTCCATTACATTTCCATTTCTTTTACTGCAGTCCTATGAAGTATGGAGTAACCGGACCACATGTGCAACGGTTTCAGACCGATATCTCTATTCCTACCAAATTTCCAAGCAACCAATTGAATTCAGTTCGCCGCTTTTCCACAAATACTAGTACCAACTACTCGTCGAAAACCAACACACATATGGATCGAATGGCTAAAATCAAAGCAATGTTCTATCTTTAAGATAAGACCAGTACGTTTGAATAGTAGAAACATGCACTAAGACCCAACACGTCAAGTAATCCCTGTTGCAGATGGGGATCCGGTGTACATGTGTTCCGGGTACGTTGGCTCATTCAATTATGCTCATTCAATCATCATGCCATGAACGTCAGGCAGGTCCTTGTTGTGCCGTCTCACCTTTTCCATCACTCTCAGCCTCGTCCCCCAACTTCATCTTCGCAGCCAATCTCTCTTCCAACCTCTGCACATCCTCCTCAGCCTGCTGTTCATCCCTCTTCCCACCGTCCTGCCCTTCTCCCTTCTTCTTCGCTTCATCTTCAATCTTCTGCTCCTCTTCTTTCACCTTCCTCAGCGCATGCTCCTCCGCCGCAATCGCAGTATCATCCAGGTCCGCCCAACCCACCTCTCTCAGCAGCTGACCGACCATATATCGGTACCTGAGATGGCCTGTCACGCTCTCACTGACATCCACGTTCTCTACCCCTTGAGCGCCTTCCACTGCCTGCAAACCGGCAACACCGAATTGAATACTGCTCGTCCGGTACAGAAAGCCCAGGATATAGTCTTTCTCCGAGTAGACATTCACTAGCCTGCCCATAACGACACTTCGGATCATCTTCCAGTCCCCGACATCACTCGGCATTGGTGCACCCATCACGACGACGGAGTCGATCAATCCGAATGCCTTTCTCTCCGCCAAAGTCTTCAGACAGCTGTAGATAACTCGTGCCCCAAGCGAGTATCCCACCAGACTCACTGGCCTCTCGCCCTGCGCTTTGTGGATCAAGGCATCGGCTAGAATGGCGCCAGCCTTGTCCGCGCGAGATTTTGCAATGCTGAAGGGGTTGTCAAGGACTTTGCTGAATTTGAGGAAATGGAGAGGCCAGGTTGCTGCCATGAGACCGGCTAGCACGGTGCGCTTCAGCAACTCGACTTTGATATAAGACCAGGCGTAGCTCTCAACGGCTCCTTGGATGGCGTGGCCAAGGGCGAGGAGGGCCTCGAGTTCCCATCGCAGTGCGAAGGGTTCGCCTCCATCGCCCAGAACGTGCCAGGGAGTCAATACCTCGGACTTCGTTGTCAGCCAGCCAGAGATGCCGATCGTCACTCTCAGTCTTCTCTTCTCCTTTTCTTTCTGCTTTTCCGCTTCCTTGTTAAGTGCTTCCAATTTGTGCCTGGCTTGTTCGACTAGATGTGCATGGTTATGCTGTTCGTCGTTCAATGGTAGAAATGCAAAATCCTCCACTTCTCTCGCATACTCATCCATCATCTTCCCAGTCATTCGCCCGCCATATGCACCAAACAAACTCCCTACCAGCACTCCCGATCCCGCCAAGGCCCCCAGATATCCAGCCGCAGCCGTCGCACCCAATCCCAGTCCACCCATGAGTCCTCCCACCCCTGCTGCAACAAGCGGAGCAGCCAAGCCTCCTGTGATGCCGATGAGTGCAGCGCCTGCGACAGACGCAAGGCCGACTTTCCACTTCCTTGCTGTAGCATTTGCTTGTTGAGCTGCGGATGTGGAGGAGGAAGCATCCATTTGCGACGCCGCAGTCAGGAGGCCGACTGCGATATCCTTTTCCATCTGGGTGAGGCGAGCAGCGGGAATGTGGAGCGAGGAGGAGAGACGCAGGAGCAGGGTGCGAGAGTGAGCTGTGTATGATTCCAGACTAAGCAGGAGAAGGAGGATGGCGTTGAGTATCGTGAGGCGCTCGCCATAGCTGAGATGGGATAATGGCGTCGAGATTGGCGGGTAGACTGCTAAGAGGGCATCGGTAGCTGCTTTCTCGGATGGAATTGAAGGTGGTCCTTCTTCGGCTGCGGCATTAGCGACTTCTTGCGCGTGAGCTGGATCTTTGGATTTGGACGATTGGGACTCCGACTCGAGGACTTCTTTGACCCGGTGGATTACTTTGTCTCGCCAGGTGTCGAAGAAGGCCAGTGCTGCAGACTGAAGTTTATAGAATTCGGTACTTGATAAATTGGAATGGTCTGAGGAGCTTGCATTCTCTGAGACAGCTGGTTGTTCCTTTGGAACATCTTGACCTGAACTTTCTAGGCTTTGCGTTGTCTTTTGTCCAGCAGTGAGATTTTGGGATTCGAAGCCGCGAGTGATGCTGGTGCGCATCTGAACTGTGGTGGTTGCAATCAGGGTTGCAAGATCTCGTCGCTGCTCCGCGGTAAGCAGCGATGCTAGTGACTGATCATCTGATGAAGGCATCGTGCTTCTGATGCAGACGTCGATTGGAAAGCCTCCTCACAACCGAGTCAACTGATAAATTGAAGTTGGGACTGTAGTTTTCTTAGAGCCGTCTGGTGGATTAGTGACTATAAGACTATGCACGCATTGCTCTACAGACATTCCCATTGGACCAAGGTCTGAAATGACATAGCCCAAATATCCTGCTGACGTAGTAGTACTAGTTCCCACGAATGATGCCAAGCTCACTTAATCTTATTTAGTACTAGCGAGCTTGTTCCGCTAAGAATTTCCGCTCTTCCATCACTGCTGCAACGCACCTCCGCTCAAACACAAAGAATATCATTCACAATCTGGCACCTATTTTCGTCTTCGGACATCTAGATAATTTAAAACAATATCGTTGCTCCACCTTGGCTGAAAGCCAACTGGGTCTACTCACCACCTCGGGAGTCCTCACAGCAGATCATATCTTGTCGTTCCTTCTAGCACCTGACCTCTACCAGGAGTACATAATCAGAATGCTCTGAGAGGCCCCCAACTGCAGGTTAGAGAGGTATAGCCGTCATCTCTGAACCTTTTGCCCGTTGGGTGCGCGTGTTTGCGACTCGTTTTATTCTTTATTATTCTGGGGTCCCTTTGGGACATCTGCCAAGGTGGAGAGGATTAAGTATTGTACAGATAAGGACTAAAAATGACGAGGAAAAATACACACAAACAAATTCAGTAGCTTCTGATCTGCACAGCTAACACATAGCTATAATATATACACCGTCCGTACGAAACACGTGCCTCCGGCAGACTGTCAGTCCATGAACGCCCTCTCCCATAACCTTCTTCCTCGTCTCTCCCAAACTATGGACGAAGGCCTCGCATGAAAATACAGTTAGCACACATATTTGAGCATCTGATGCTTTCATATCTGAGATGATCTCGAAAATATCCCTACATTTCTTTCTGTCACATAGTCTCATACGTTCTCCTCCTCTTCCTCCTCATGGATGCTGGGGAGACATGAACTATTGACACTATTGGTCGATGCCGAGCTGACTGTCCTCGAATATGAAGGTGGTATGTCAAGATGATCGTCACGAGCTGCAGTCATAGCAACCTTTAGCAAGTTCTCCTGCGTTATCTGAGCATGCTTGGATATTCCTGCTAGTGATGATGGTGGAGGAGGAGATGATGAGGACAAGGAGCGGAAGGACGAGGAAGATGATGCGGAGGATTTGGAGGAGATTGATAATGAGCGGCGAATTGTCTTGGGTGTTTCTTCATTTTCTGGCAATCTTGGGCGAGGGCTAGCGATGATGATATTGTAGGTTGGAAGATGCGTGCTGGCGATACATGGCCGGACGATAGTTGGGGTTCTTTGGGTTTGGGCCGCTGAATCTGTTGAGACTGGAGGATATTGTGTGTACATGGCGGTGTTCGAGGCTCAATCCGAGGTTGGGGTTCTCCAGACGGCTGGAGTAAGAATCCGATATTATTGTAAATCTATGCTGCTTCGCCAAATTTCGTCCGTGTGGGTGAGTGGTGTCGAGTTTCGGAGGTGTTGTCCCAGGTCGATTAAGTTAGTGTGGTGCTTTCGGGTGTCATCTCTGGTGGAGCATGAAGGTGTGTTGGTTTTAGGCGATATGGCAGATCGAACATGAAGGTACATTGCTGTTGGACGATATCTCAGGTCAAGCGTGAGGGTTTACTGAATTCAGCCGACACATCGAATCGAAGAGACAGTGCGGAGTAGTACCGCCTAAGATTCTGATAATAGAAAAGTGCTAAGAGTCTGTTATGAAAAGTGTATCTACTAGTTAGGTTCGAAACCTAAAAGCGCTGTCCTTTTGGTGGAGTGGTAGATATACGGTTCCTCTCTAAGGAGAGACACTCTCGGCTCTGAAGCGAAATGCAGTCAGATGATGGTGGATCTGGATTGCATAGATTAGTCCATTTCCTCAAAGGGATAAATAGTGGCTGATAATAAGAAATCAGGCTCCGAGTCGTGCCAGAAAACACTGCACAGATTTTCCGAATCCGCTTCCGAGCTTGGCGAGGTGGCTTTTGGGTTCATTTTCCCAGTTGATGCGGAAGATGCCGCTCATGTTTTCTAAAGATGCGCCTCCCTGCATGCACGCATCTCTTGGCCAACCTATAATGGCTGAATTGGTGACCTGAGAGAACGCCGCCCAAGCTGAAGACATGCAGAACCTGCACGTAGTTGGTACGGTTTAACCTTTGTGCTATGCATAATAAATACGAGCCGCATAGGTACCGATGCACCAAAATCAAGGCTGTGTAACAATTGGGGTTGCCTTTCAGCTGTTCTAATCCAGAAGCCGCTTTCACTATCTTGGGCAGCCTTCGTATGAGCTGTTGACTAAAATGCACCACCTACGTTTTAATGGCTGACTATCGTTCTAGTTGCTCAGCGGCGGGAGATCGTCAGCTGGATCTCCACCGTTTGCGGCTCAGGTTGGTCAACCACTAGAGGAGAGCTAGTGGTCAGCGCCAGTATCTTACGGCTTCAATACATGACAGCTAGTAACCACTGTACCGCACTACCGAAACACGAAAACGTGGTTGTAATTATGCCAATGGCCCCATGACTTCTTCTGTCTATCTTTGGATGATTGACCTTTCGTGTGTTTATTCACGGCTACAGTATACTACGCCTAAGGTGGCTTATCGTGAAGCCCAGCCCGATGGCTGATCTCGGCACCGTGTGTTGACACCATGGGCATGCGTAGAGGGTCTTGGGCGAGGCATTCCGTCCAAAGCTCCCCTCCTCTGCACTCTCATGCATGGTATGCTATGTCCATGACTAGGTATCCCATGTTATTCTCCATGTTTCTCATCTTTGATAGCCCTTGATACATCACTTCATCAGATCTATTCATTGTTAACCTCAGCATGTCAAGCACGACAGACCTTCGCATGAGAATCTCTGATCTAGACTCTGTCCCTGCTATGGACGCCTATACTATCAGCAGCAACGCCGCTCAAGCAGCATCACCCCTGGATGAAGCAGTGATAATACCACCACCAAGAAGCAGCGAGCGCATTAATCGGAGAACTGTGGGTTCAGAAAGTTTATGCCCAAGTATTCAATCTGGTCCAAACCCTCTAAAAGGTGACTTGAGAGGACCAACATCAGTCAAGTCCTGCCACGCCACGCTCGAGACACCTACGACTCTAATAAATGACGGAACTCGATTCACGATGTGTCATGCACGTGCACGATCAGATGGAATCCCAAGTGTGCATCAAACACAGGAAGCTCCACCTATCAGCAAACCAAATGACAGGCCAGCACCACCACATATTTTCACAAACTACGGTCATGGCGAGAACATCGAAGACCACTCTGCGCACGGCTTGTATGGTTCCTCCTCGTCCACCATCAACTCAACGCAGCACATGATTCGAAAACCTCTGGCCCCCGCACCCCTTACTCCTTCACCGCTCTCGATCGTCAAGCAGCCAGCGCCAAAGTGCAGGTCTGCCACCCGCGAAATCAGCCTTGTGGCAACAGTCTGCCTCGCCCACTTTTTAACCCAGGCGGGTCTTTCCCAGACCATCGCGCCACTTCCCATCATTACAAGCAGTTTTACAACCACAACACACAAGCCATCTCCTGCGTGGTACAGCGCCGCTTACTCTCTCACCGTCGGAACATTTATTCTTCCATCCGGACGTCTTGGCGACATTTACGGCCCCAAGCGGCTCTTCCTTATTGGCTGGCTCTGGTTTGCCCTTTCGTCTTTGGGTGCGGGCCTCTACCCCAGAATCCGGGCAGTTGGCGGCGAGCAGGGCAGCGGCGATGGAGGGGAGATCTTCTTCTGCTTTTGCAGGGCTCTTCAAGGCATCGGGCCCGCCCTTCTGATGCCAAATGGCCTTGCAATTCTCGGACGCACCTACGATGATGGAAACAAGAAAAACATGGCGTTTGCAATGTTCGGTGCCAGTGCACCAGTTGGGTTTGTAATCGGTTCAGTCATGTCAAGCTTGCTGGCACAGAAGACGAACTGGTGCTGGGCATTTTGGGGCCTTGCGATTGCATGTACAGTCATGGCGGTTATTTCCATTCCGATCGTTCCATACCTACCCGGCACCATTGCCTCTGCCGCTCCCAAGGACGACTCGGAGAGTCTTGAGAACGGAAGTACAATGAAGACCCCACTCTGGAAACAACTCGACACCCCCGGCACCCTCTTAGGCATCACGAGCCTAATCCTCATCAATTTCGCAATCAATCAAGCCGCCCTCGTGCAGTGGTCAACACCCTACACCTACTTCCTCCTGCTGCTGGGCTTGGTTATCCTCTCCATCTTCCTCTTCATCGAATTCACCCCTTCCTTAACTCCGCACCCTCTAATCCCGCGCGACCTCCTCTCCCTCGACACCTGCTTCGTCCTCGCCTGCATCGCGTGCGGCTGGGCCACCTTCAGCATCTGGATCTTCTACATCTGGGAATTCCTCGAGCGGGTCAGAAACCTTACTCCGTTGCTTGCAGCCGCGCAGTTCTCCCCCGCAGCAATCTCCGGCCTCCTCGCGGCACTGAGCACCGGCTTCTTGCTCTCCAAGACAACGCCACAGGTTATCATGGTGCTGTCCATGTTCGCGTTCCTGATCGGTACGACGCTCATCGCCACTACTCCGGTCAAGCAGATCTACTGGGCGCAAGTCTTTGTGTCGGTGGTTGTCATGCCCTGGGGTATGGATATGTCGTTCCCCTCGGCGACGATCCTGTTGAGCAGTAAGGTGGGCAAGGAGAATCAAGGCGTGGCGATGAGTTTGGTGAACACGGTGGTGAATTATTCGATCAGTGTCGGGCTAGGTCTGGCGGGGACGGTGCAGATGAAGGTTGATCATGGGGATGCGACGCGGCTTTTGGACGGGTTCAGGGCGGCGTGGTATTTTGGGATCGGTCTGAGTGGGTGCGGGGTCCTGATTGCGGGTGCGTTTTTGGGGGTTGGATGGTGGAAGGGTAGGAGGGGTGGAGTGTTGAGCGGAGAGAAAGAGGGTTCTAACGGTGTGTAGTAGACGGTCTATCTTTGCCTGGTTATCGTTATTGGTATCAACTATGTATGCATTTCAGGATCTACAGAATCGATTTCCCCGGTTGGTCAGTGTTATTTCCCTGATCAATACTAGAAGTACTGGATTAAACCAAGGACGAAGCGTTGTACCCAGCATCTCAGAACCCGATCCAACCGAGTCCAACCAGACACGTTGAGTCAAGTAGTCAGACTACCTCACGTGATAGCACAGTAATCACCTTCCGACCTCACCTACCTACCCAACCCCAGCCTTACCACATCAGTGTGTAGTGCTACGCAGTAACCAGTACTCCGCCCCAGGCACCCCCATCTTCCTCCAAAAACCTACCACCCGCCCCGGCAATACCCCAGCAAATGTGCATGACACGCACATGGGCAGAATTAAGGTTTTCGTCACACCGCAAGATCGCATCTTACTCACATATTCACAGCCTCACGTAACAGATCTCGCGCATCAATCTACGTGCTAACTTAGTAGTGTAACTGCTAGGGACTTGGCGGTAATGCTATGCATGATTGCATGCAGACACTAGTAGGAGTAGTAGCATGATGCCAGACGCTGTGAGCGCTCGCTCATTGGTTTGGATTCTTTACGTGTATTACCCTGGCGTTTTCCTGCTTTTTGATTGGTTAAATTTTCTCCTGCAATTTCGCTGTACTGTACAGCAGTTAATTGTGTACCTATATTTACGCACGCTACCCCTCCTTAATTAGATAGAAACAATTTGCTTTTTTCACTAGCAAGGGGGGGGCCTGAAGTGATATTAGTCTGGTGCTAAGAGTTGCTAGTCCTTATTGCGACAACATACTAGTGCTATGATTCGCCACTTTTAAAGCTTGTTCCGCGTGCATCCCTTCTGACGGGTCAAATCTATCACATCTAACTTCTTTTGAATATAGCTGTTTTTGTTCAAAAGGGGTTTACAAGTAAAAGATACTAGCGCTGAGCTAACATTACTTCAGGTGCCCCCGTAGTAGATGGAATAATTTGCTTTCTACATGCCTCCTACAGATTGTCACACACATGACTACTATGAGTAAGTAAGGAATACAACTCTCACCAGCTTTCTCGCAAGGACCGGAGGACCCTGCTGGTACTCACACTCACGCTCATCCTCTACCACGAGTTAGTTAGGTAAGTGAGTGATGCTTCCTCGCCATCCCATCCCCCTAGTCGACTACTAATTAACTAGTACTAATCATCTTAGATAAATCAGCATATCACACCGCGCGCCCCGGCTTACAGCTGAGTGGGACGACCACACACCTTGGTTCCAAATGGGAAAGCGCAAGATTCCGGGGTTCTCTCCCCCCCCCAAGATAAAAGGGGATGTATACTAATTTCATTCAACTCGAATTTTTGGTTGTGCCCAAGGGGAATTTCTGGATTTTTGTAAACTACCAAGTCGCCCCAGCCAAATAAAGATTAGAGAAACGATGCAATTCTTCCAAGTACGCCTGCTCAATCAATGCCAGCCCCCCGCAAACACTCTACTTCGCCGATAGACACTAAAAATGGAGATTAACAACAGCTCGACCAGAGTGTTCCCAGACTTTCTCTTCCAGTTTTCTAGTCATACATGTAGCAGTACGGACCATCAATGGTAGACATGACATCTCTCATCTTGACACCCTGGGCAAGCACTCCAAAGTCAATGTTGTCATCTAGAGTAACTTTGTCGCTAGGGGGGACTGTTATTGGAGTCAGCATGAGATAAACCTAGAAATTCGGGTAAGGCGGGCAGGACATACTGTTGAACGGTGTGCGAGTGCCTCCAACCTGGTAGGTTCGAGTGTCCCCATCCTGGCCCTGCCAGATACTATACACGCGATCAAACGCCGCATGGTGGAGGTAGAAGACGGGATCGCTGGGACTGGCGAAGGGATCATTCTGCAGGCCACCGATGGCGAAGTGGCCGGCGGCGTGGAGGAGAGGCTGCGGCAAGGTGCGATCGAGTTCCCATCCGTCGGAGCGTTTCTCCAGGCAGTCGACGTTCCCGCAGCCGAGGAGGAATTCGACGTCCTTGGTGCGGACTTGGTTGGCCCAGAAGAGGTTGATGTCGCGGGTCAGACAGCGAGGGTTATAATTGAGGGCCTCACGGACGGCCGGAGGTAAATCATTGGAGGCGACGGGGGCTAGACGGGCGTTGGAGCTGGTGGAGCTGGTGGAGCTGTTGGAGGCGTTATCTCCCAAGACGTCACTACGGTCGGCGGAGGCGTAGACACCGACGGATGTCAGGTTGGAAGTGAGGTCGACCGGTTCAGCGGGCAGTACGGTAGGGTTCACGCCCAGATTGACCTGGAGGTATATGCATTAGCGGATGCAGTAAGACGAAGCTATAATCTACATACCTGTAGGCCGGCGAAGGGTCCATCCTTGACACATCCACCTCCAGTACCTGGTGGAAGAGTGACGTTGAGTCCAAATGCTGTAACATAAGTCCCGCCATGGGGAATGGATTCGCCATTGCCTGACATGGAGGTTGCGCTTCCATCAAACACGGGTGATTTACGTGGATCATCTGCAGATAGAGTCCAATCCCAGTACGGTGTCGGGCCCCTGTAGCCACATTCCTCACGGAGAGCTTTCTCGTAGAGGTGCACAAAGTGACGGTGCCACGCGAACAGATAGCCGTCAAAATGGATGTTCTGTCCTTGCTGGATGTGCGAAGCCACGAAGTCGTCCAGTCGGTTTCGTGCACCAGGAACGTTGGACAGGCTGCTGAGAGGTGGCTTCTTGGAGTAGAGACATTTGACCGCATCCGTATAGGCAATGCGCTGCCTCCTGGACATGGAACCCCTATTGCGCTGATTAGCCAAACAAGCAAGCGATGTCAGGAATGGATTGTGCTAACCATTCTTTCCTGACGGCTAAATTTCTGAGCGTGCAGCTATGGGAACGAGGCCGTTTTCTCAGAGTTCTCACAATGTACCTCTGATACTTTCGTTTCATCCTCCGCAATGTAGGTTGGGGAGCGTCGAGTGAAGGGTCCTCGACTTCAAATGCAGCAAATGCAGTCTCATTGAAGCTTTCGTTGATGCCATCTGTCGACACAGGTGCTGCTAAGTCAGATGTTGAGCTTGATGGAGAACCCTGAGGCGCGGCAGAGACATGGGATCGTATGAGCAGGAGACCCAATGACAGGATGGAGACAAGAGACTTCATATTGAAAGACTGATCTTGGGCAATTTGGAGAATGAATATTATGGCGAAGGAATTGATGTTCGTTCCATGACCATTGCAGTCTCTGCTCAAGATTATATACCTTTATTGCTGTCTTCGCTGGATGCCCCTGAGTAGAGGATACTGTGGTGGGTGACCGCAGTCACGCCACGCGCGCTGCGGTGGCATGAAGTCTCGATCAGTTCCCCTTTTCCATACCTCGTATTGACCCTATGACCTGGCAGCTGGAAGGCCTAGATCTATTCCGCGGCAGCTTTAGGAAGCGTAGTGCAGTTGATGGTCACGAAAGCGAAATTATGAGACAGAGGCTAAGAAGGGTTTCCTTAGGGCCAATACGACCACGAGGCGGAAAGCTTGTTCAGTTCTAATTTTGGAGTGGTTCAAAGCGTCGAGGCGCACAAGCCACAATTGAGGTAACTATTCGAGCTTGTTTCCCCAAAGAGGTCATGTCCTGCCGCGTGACACTACTCCGTATAGCAGAGTACCCACCGAAAGCGGCTTGGGAGTGACTAAGTCCGCTGCGGAGGCTTGCCAAGATATTCGGTGGTAGGCCTGATGCTCGTGTTACGTCGGCGAAATCCCGCAAAAAATCAAAGGGTGGAGGAGCCGTCGAAGCGAGAATGAGTCCATCTACTAGTACCCGAATGTCAGCCTAATCTTGGACATGAGGCCCCGGCTGTCACTGCCACAGAGATGGTGCGCCACTCCACTCCACTCCAGTAAATGCATAGATACTTTGACCAGTACTCATTGCTAGCGGCAAATTGAGTGTTGGAGGTAGTCCACGGGGAGTGGATCCATTGTCTGGGAGTGAGTGAGTCAGTTCGCTAAACAGGCGAAAGCAACAAAGAGTACTAACTTAGTAGGTGAAAATGTAGTTGAAAATGTTATTGAAAATGTTACCAGATAGATAGCCGCCGTAAGTAGCATGTACTATGCAGGAGATTACCTCCTACGTAACGGGAAAAACTTACTACGTAATAGTTCGTGCATATTACTACGTACGTTCGGTTACAGTGTCTTACAGCTGAGAGTTAGCGGATACAAGTGATACTAGTCTCGGTAAAGAGCCGGTCTCACGGGCGTATTCGTGATACTAGTGCTGATAGCAAGATGGCTAACGTATTACGGTAGTACCGTGGTACATGGTACGTAGTACTCGATAGTCTTTGCGTGATTAGTTGCCTACTGCTGCCCCCAAACGTTCCCACTTTCCCATCCCCCACTTCCCCATTCTCCACTTCCCCCTTTTACATCGGCAACTTCCCAATTCCCACGTGTCACCCTGCATGCTCATATCTCATCTCCCATCCTCGCGTAGAGTCTCGTGGCTGAAAAGTATTACTAGTAGTAGTTCTACAGTACTACGTGGGTACTACGCTACTACGCTGCCACCCTGCCCCCCTACCACAGCCCAACTGCATCTCATCGTATCCTAGTACGCAGCAATCGTCTAATTCCAGCCTTCAGCCTTATCACCTCGATCGCTGCAAGACATCGCTCGGAACCGGCTCCTAGCTTATTGCTCCTTCAGCCCCCACAATTCCGTTGGCCACAACCTATGAGCTCTTGCAAAGAGAACCGAAAGCAAGGAGTTTAATTTCCTAAGCTAAGCTAAGCTAAGCTAAGTACCGTCATCAAGCTAAATCCAACCTCATCTCCGCCAAGCCCCCCGTTCCCACAGCACACCCGCTTTCAGTGCGCCTCTGGTCGAGACTAAGTACATTTTAACCTACTGTCCAAGCAGCGCTCGCGCGTGTTCAGCTTGAACCTGCATGTCTTCGTCCCAGATCCATTTATAGCGCTGCAGTAGCTCCTCTCCAACTTCGTCCAAATTGTCCCGGGCTTCTCCTTGCAGCGCGTATGTTGCACCCGCCGTACGACTAGTGCTGACTACCTTTTGCGAGCGAGGTCTGCGAATGGCATCGTATGCCCTGAAAGCGGCTGGGATGTCCCCTGCACAGCGTGTTTTCTTATCTCCAAGAAGCATTGACAGGATGAATGCATCCTCGAGCGCCTGGCCTGCTCCTGCCCCTTGGTGTGGTGTAGATGCATGTGCAGCGTCACCCACAAGGACCACGTTGCCCTTGTAGTACGTGGGTGCAGGGAGCATGTCGAAGAGAGCCCACATGTCAGCATCTACCATCAACTTTTGGAAAAGCCGAAGTCAGCACATGTACCACTAGCGTGGACCTTTAGGGTCAATCGGGGAACGTTGTCACTCACGTCAAGCACGCTGCGCACCGGCGTCCCCCAGTTCGCAAAGTCACGCCTCATGTCCTCGCCCTTGCTCTTTAGCACCCAATGATCGTGCTCCCATGGGCCGTCCTCCTTGTTTTTGAAAGCCACCACGTTCATGGTCTTTCCGTGGTCGATGGGATATGTAAGGACATGCCCATCTTTGCCGAGGTACATCTGGCTATTCATAGCCAGCTCGTCTCCAACTGCCTCTCTGGCCTTATCCATTGCAATCAAACCGCGATAGGCGTATTTGCCGGTGAAGCTGAGACCGTCAAGAACGCTTTCCTTGCCAAGCAAGAGTTGCCGCACTCGGCTCCGCACACCATCAGCCCCAACCAGTACATCTGCAAAGGCGGTCTCCCCATCCTCGAAGACAAGGGTCAGCTTCCCAGAGGCCTCTTCTTGGAAGCTTAGCAGCCTCTTCCCGAAGTGGGCGATGTCTTTCGGAATCAGGCTTGCTAGCTCATCGAGGAAGCGCGCCCGGTGGACGCTGCTCAGACCTGTCTTTTCTTGATCGCCAGTTTGCACTTTAGCAATCAACGTGGGTTCACCGAATCCGCTGCGGAAGTTGATCCAAGTTTCGTCCTCTTCGTCGAATCCATTCTTGGTCGCTAGGCGACGGAAAGCGTCCCTAATGGCTGGATCGATCAGGTACATGGCGCTGATGGCATTCGGCCCAAAGGCAATGCCAGCCCCAATCTCAGCAAAGGCGGGGGCTGCTTCGTAGATTTGAACTGAAATGCCTTGGTGACGAAGGCCTATTGCCAGGGCAAGACCCCCAATTCCGCCGCCAACAATGGCAACGGTGAAAGGCTTGCCGGTTGAGTCGTGGTGTGCCATTGCTGAAAGGTTTACGTGTAGTAGAAGGATGAGGGGTGTTTGCCAATTCTCTGGACGATGAAGGAAAATAGTGGGAAGTTGTTTCTGAAGAGATAAGAGCTCTGGCGAAAGGTGTGTGAGAAACATCTGGCCCTTTTCCCATGCTTTTGACTTTGAGGCTAAATCACCTCGTATCCCATCAAGTCAATATGTCGCTTGCGTTACATTAATAGCACCTCCAATGTATCTCTGCATATTGGGCTTGCTGAAGCTAAGGCCTCCACCGCCAGATAGTCGGCGTATAGCTCATTACCGCTGGCGTGGTTCCCCTGTTCTAACATTACTACGTACTCTCAGCCGGGTCTCTTGGCTTTTGTAGCGGAGCTCATCGAGACATTCTTACAGAATAACCTGTATCCTGCATGATGGGTAGCCTCAGGAGTGGTGCTAGTTACATTGGCCCTTAGCCTATCTCAAAGTGTCTGCTCCTGTTATATAAGGCCCCTTCAACTCCTCTGCAAGACTGCTCTGCATCTTTCCTACTCTTCTATCACAAACCAGAAGCCTTCCAGCACCGCGGGATGTTGAGGAAGTCTCACCAACTCTATCACTCTACTTTATTACTGTCATAGATCCCTCTCTGTTGCACGTTGAGCCTTTGCTCTGTCTTGTTATCATAGACACCTTCTCTAATACCCTTCACCTCTACCTCTACCATACATACGCGAAGCAGCATGGCACCATTCTTGGATGGTAATGCTTCCCCTCCATGTCTTCGCGCTGAGATCTGATCCGGTCGACAGTGGACTATGTTACCGAGTGCGGCACAACTCCTGCTTCCAAGCATACCAGGATGGACGGTTCGACGCCTCCCGACAGTGTACGTTTGTATCAGTCACAGCTAAGAGCCGCCATGTTATGTGTGCTGATTTAGGATGATCTCTGCAGGTTCAAGGCGAGCTTGACGACATTGCTGTTGTGGGCATGGCATGTCGCGTCGCTGGCGATAACGACACTCCAGAAAAGCTCTGGCAGTCTCTGTTGAATAAACAGGTTGCGTCTTCGGAGATGCCTGCAATGCGATGGGAGCCGTATTATCGTCGAGATTCTCGGAATGCCAAAGTACGTGCCTTCACTCTTCTCGCCTCAAACGCGAGATTCTGGGGCTGTTAACTCACCATGTGTCCAGGTACTCAATAACACCACCCAACGAGGATATTTCGTCAAGGACGTTGAAAACTTTGACAGCACATTCTTCGGCATTTCTCCCAAGGAAGCAGTCTTGATGGACCCTCAACAGAGGATTACAGTTGAAGTGACGTGGGAAGCCCTGGAAGACGCAGGTATTCCACCTAGCAGTCTTGCTGGATCCAACACCGCTGTGTTCATGGGCGTCAATTCGGACGACTATGGAAAGCTGTTACTTGAGGACATTCCGGGTGTAGAAGCCTGGATGGGCATTGGAACCGCATATTGTGGTATTCCGAATCGCATCTCCTACTTGCTCGACCTCCGAGGGCCATCTACTGCGCTGGATGCTGCCTGCGCGTCATCCTTGGTAGCCGTTCACCACGGAAGGCAATCTCTACTGACGGGAGAAACCGATGTTGCCATTGTTGGCGGCGTCAATGTGCTCGCCGGGCCTGGGCTTACACGTGTGCTGGACATAGCTGGCGCCACTTCTAAGGATGGAGTATGCCGCTCCTTCGACAACGATGCCAACGGTTATGGTCGTGGAGAGGGTGCATCTGTTATTATTCTCAAGCGTATGTCGGATGCCATCCATGACAACGACAGGATCTTGGCCCTCGTCAAGGGCTCCGCGGTTGGCCAAGATGGCCGCACCAACGGTATCATGGCTCCAAACGGAGACGCCCAAGAGTCAGTCGCCCGCACTGCCCTGGGTGGCATCGACCCTTCAACAATCCAGTACGTCGAGGCGCACGCAACAAGTACTTCTGTCGGTGACCCCGTGGAGATCAAGGCCATGTCAAAGGTCTATGGTGCCAACAGAAAAGCCACTTCACCCTGCTATATCGGAAGCATAAAACCAAACATTGGCCATCTCGAGGCTGGCGCCGGCGCAATGGGTTTCATGAAGGCGGTCATGGCAGTCAGGAATGGAGTTATTCCACCACAAGCCAACTTGAAAAGTCTCAACCAGAAGATAGACTGGACGACCTGCGGCATCAAGGTTCCCTTTGAATCCACTCAGTGGCCAGATACACGGACCACGCGAAGAGCCGCCATTTGCTCGTATGGCTATGGCGGCACCGTATCCCATGCTGTCATCGAGGCAGCTCCCATGGGCGACAATTCCCCCGCAGAAATGGACAATGGAGACCACGCACCCACTGTGCTACTGCTATCAGCACCGCAAGAGAAACGACTCCCCGCAGATGCCGTGACTCTTGGAACTTGGATGGCTGGTGATGGCAAAGGAACATCTCTTTCTTCCATTGCTTCTACCATGGCCACCCGACGAGCGCAACACGACTGCAGAGCAGCTTTTATCATTGATAGCCATGCAAAAGCAGCCGAGCTCAGCGAGAAACTCGCCACCGGCGGTAACTCTGCAGATATCATTACTGGCCGCATCCTTGGCAAAAACGAGAACACTGGAGCTGTTTGGCTGTTTTCAGGTCACGGCGCGCAATGGCTTGCCATGGGGAAAGAATTGCTCGCTAACGAGCCTCTGCTCCTGGAGACGGTTGAGTTCCTTGAACCGATTATCCAGGAAGAGGCCGGATTCTCTGCCTTGGAGGCCTTGACCCACGAAGACTTCAAATCTTCGGACAAGGTGCAGATCCTGACTTTCGTCATGCAGGTCGGTCTAGCGACCATTCTTGCCTCGAAGGGAGCCCGACCGAGCGCAGTTGTCGGCCACTCTCTCGGAGAAATTGCAGCAGCTGTTGTTGCTGGAGCTCTCACCATCGCAGAAGGTGCTCTGGTCGTCTGCAGACGTGCCGTCCTTTATCGTCAGGTCATGGGACAGGGCGCCATGGTGCTTGTTAACATGCCTTTCGCCCAGATGACAGAGACACTGGGGGATCGATCAGACATCACAGCCTCCATCGAATCATCTCCTAGCTCTTGCGTCGTCTCAGGCACGATCGGTGCCATTAAGGAGTTTTCCACCAAATGGGAAGATGCTGGCCACAAGGTACTCAAAGTCAACTCCGACGTCGCTTTTCACAGCCCCCTGCTCAATGTTCTCACCAAGCCGCTGTATGCTTCGCTGTGTGGTGTGCTCAACCCGAAGGTGCCTACTGTTCCTTTGTACACAACGACATTGGAAGATGCACGCGAACAGGCTCCACGAGACGCGCACTACTGGGTTCAAAACATGCTGAAACCAGTGCTACTCAATGCTGCCATGAAGGTCGCGGCTGAAGATGGATACCGCATCTTCCTTGAGGTCTCCACTCACCCTGTCATTTCACATTCAGTCACCGAAACACTGATGGACATGGGCATCGAAGACCATGCGGTGATCCCTACCCTCCTGCGCAACAAGCCTGCCCAGCGAGCCATCCTGAAGAGCCTCGCCACTATGTGGTGCAGAGGTGTAGCTGTGGACTGGAACATGCTGTTCCCCGGCGTGAACTGGGCGGATAATGTGCCTAAGACGAAGTGGCGACACCAGGCCTTCTGGAAGAACATCGGAACTGGCCCTGCTAACTCGGCCATAACTCACGATGTTGACACCCACACACTACTCGGTCAGCAGATTCCCGTGGCTGGAGAAAGCACTACCCTCTTCACCACCAAATTGGACGACAATACCAAGCCTTTCCCTGGTAGTCATCCCCTTCATGGAACCGAGATTATCCCTGCAGCCGTCTTGTTCAACACTTTCTTCCATGCCACTGGCGCCAAGTCATTGAACAACGTTAACTTGCGCGTGCCCGTTGCAATCAGCGCACCCAGAGACATTCAAGTCGTTGCCCAAGGTGGCGAGGTTCGTCTCATGTCTCGTCTTATCGAGGCCAGCGAAGATACACAGGTCAAGCGCAACGCATCCTGGCTGACTCACACTACCGCCAATGCTGTTACTCAATCATATAGTGACAGCCCGAACTGTGGAGTCGACATCGATCTTGCCAGCATTCAGGCTCGGCTGAATGTCGAACTCAAGCCATCCTTCTCCATTGATTACCTTGCCGGTGTCGGTGTCCCCGCGATGGGTTTTCCCTGGGCTGTCACCAAGCACGTTGGTAACAATAAGGAGATGCTTGCACGTGTGGACGTGTCCCCAGCAACCGCTGCAAATGCCTCCCTGCCATGGAGTGCCACCTCCTGGGCACCCGTCTTCGATGCGGCAACGTCAATTGGGTCCACCCTGTTTTACGAAACACCACGTCTAAGGATGCCTGCTCAAGTTGCAAGCACAGTCGTCTACGAAGGTGCAGCTCCACCGAAGATTGCTTACATATACGTGCAAGATGCCAGCACAAGCAAGACCAGCCTTGCGGTTGACGTGACCATCACCAACGAAGCCGGTAAAGCACTTGCCAAATTCATTTCGATGCGATTCTCCGAAATCGAAGGCACCCCCGGAGCCAAAGACAATGCCGATGGGCTAGTCCACCAGCTTGCCTGGCCGCCTGCTCGTCTTTCCGAGACTCCATCTTTATTGAAGCATGTCGTGTTGGTTAGCAGCGAAAACAATCCCTTGATGAGGGACTACACGACGCAGCTCGCCCAGCGACACGTTAAGACTTCCTGCATCGGATCTGCAGAAGGCTTGTCAAGTGCCTTACTACAAGGCGGTTCCGAGGGCACTATCATCATGTATCTGCCCGAACAAGTTGAGTCTATGGACGCTGTCTCCGCTATGGCAAACACTTATTGCAAGAATCTCTTGGACGTCGTCAAGTACGTGGCTGCTAGCGGCGCTGACCTCCGAGTCTTTGCAGTAACGCTGGGTGCGCTAACCGGCAGTGCCACACCCACCGCACTCGCACACTCCCCACTCGTTGGACTTGGCCGCATTATTGCTGCTGAGCAGCCGGCGCTTTGGGGAGCATTGATTGATGTCGACTCTACCGCATTTCCCGTTCAGGCCGTCAAGTACATCTCGGGTGCAGATGTCATCAAGATGGAAGACACCATCGCGAAGGTGAATCGTCTACGACCCATGCCGCAGGATCGGCTCTACCCACTGGACAAGCAGAACCAGCTGCACCCCCGCGCAGAGGGTACTTATATCATCTCCGGCGGCCTGGGCTCGCTTGGTCGTGAAGTTGCTGACTTCTTGGTGGAGCGTGGTGCGCGAAGAATCGTCCTTCTTTCCCGTCGAGCTCTGCCACCACGGATCGAGTGGGCTTCCCAAACAGGCGAGCTCCTGGAATCTGTCCAGAAGATCCAGTTGTTAGAACAGGCCGGCGCAACCGTCTTCAGTGTCGCTATCGATCTCGGCGCACCCGATGCCGCCGCTTCACTCTTGGCGAAACTCGACATGCTCTCCCTTCCTCCTGTCCTAGGCGTTGTCCACGCTGCGGGGGTGTTAGAAGATCAGCTTGTCCTATCAGCCACTGAGGACTCCTTCAACCGCGTTCTTGCTCCCAAGGTGACCGGTGCGCTTGCTCTTCACAAAGCATTCCCTCCAACAACCGTCGACTTCTTCATGCTCTTTTCCTCGTGCGGTCAACTCTTCGGTTTCCCCGGCCAAGCCTCCTACGCCTCCGGCAATGCCTTCCTTGACAGCCTAGCCGACCACCGTCGTGGCCTCGGTGATAATGCCGTCGCTCTCCAATGGACTAGCTGGCGGGGCATGGGCATGGCATCGAGCACAGATTTTATCGAGGCCGAACTCGAGAGCAAGGGCATTACAAGCATTACTCGCGACGAGGCCTTCCGTGCTTGGGATCACGTTGCCAAATATGACATGTCACATGGCGTTGTCTTGCGCAGTCGTGTTCTGGAGCCCAATGAACCCCTCCCGATGGATATCCTGGAAGAGATCGCCATTCGTCGCTCCTCGGCGCCTTCTGAAGGCGGAGCAAACAACAACGCAGAAGCTGGCACTTCTGTATCATCCTCCTCCTCCAAAGAAACCATCCCTCCAGCCGGTCCCGAACGAAATGCATACTTAACCACCAAGATCTCAGAATGCGTCGCTTCCGTGCTGGATCTGCCGGACGTAGGGGATGTGGACCCCAAGGTTGCCCTGCCGGAGTTGGGCATGGATTCCGTCATGACGGTCGCGTTGAGGAGGCAGCTTCAGACCAGTCTCGGAGTCAAGGTGCCGCCTACATTGGTGTGGGGTCATCCTACAGTCAGCCATTTGGTCAAGTGGTTTGCCGACAAGGTGGGTGCTTGAGATTGTCTTGTAGGTGAGGCGAGGCGGGAATCGGGGGGGTCGAGAATATATGATTAGCGTTGTCTTTTTTATTGTTTGTCATTGCGGGTGTAAGGGAGGTGCCGGCGCTGGGAACTCGCATTGCTTCGGAAATTGTGTCGTATGTATCTGTATCTGCTGGCTTGTGTAGATTTAAGTTCTTTTTCTCTAACTAAAGTATGAATAATGATAGTAGTACATGAAAGTTTTTTTTGGATTCTTATTGCAGTTGATTCACACCACTTTGATGAGCTAGAGCTTGAAACCTTTTGGAAATGTCAGCTGTGAGACACCAATAAAATAGAAAGAGATTCTCCCCCAGATAGATCATCAGGGCAGCAGTCAGCTTGAGTAGAAACCATGCTTCAAATACAACATTACAACAGAGCTCTCTGACAGAATATGTCGTATATAATAGGCCACTTGGTCTTAATAAAGATCGTTTACTTATCTACTTCAAGTGTGTAAGACACCTGATTTGTTATTGTATATTCTTCACTTCTATATAAGAGCTCTTGTTTTTAGTAAGAGGTTTCTTTCAAGTTCTCGCCTTAGCTTAATTAACTTCAAGAGAACTACTTGTCTTTAGCATTCATTAGACTAGAGGGTGTTACTTACGTACTCTACATCATCTCTCTAATATGAAAGGACCACCAAGCTTAAGTATTTAGCTTGGCCGTCAGCTAGACCCCGGCGCCGCGTGTCACGTGACTGCGCATGTGCCACTCTGCTCAGTAGTCAGCCTTTCCTCCTTCTGAGATAGATTCTGCAGGTAGATAGAATTCCACTCATCCACTTCATCACGCGAGGATCAGCGTGTTAGAGTTGGCCGTATGTGTACAGCCAATCCTAGGCTGACACTGTGGGGCGCGGTCCGACTGCGCCTCCATAGTCAGCTGTGAGGCTACGAAGATGCAAATTTCATCGGTAACTTTCTGCCTTGCTTGAAAATTGACAATAAGCCATGCGTTCTGTACTGACCCCACCGCTGATGTGATGCGATCCAGTCTTCCATGATTTCAGCAAGGTATCTGGCCTCGATGCTGCGAGTCGACCTGCAATGTATGCATGACCAATAACCTCGTGTGCAACATTACTTACTCTAGGCACCTCTAACGATCAATGCGTGAGCTGAAAGAATATTGACTGGCTCACTTCATAAGATGTGGTTGATCAACACGACGACTTTGAAGCTTGAAGCCTTCACCTCCTGCCCTTTGGGTGAATACGCTATACTATCGCACACATGGGAAGATGAAGAGCTGGACCTCAACACCTTCGCGTCAGGTCATGGTCGGGAAATGAAGGGGTATAACAAGATACAGAATTGCTGTATGCAGGCGAAAACCCACGGTTTGGATTATGCTTGGGTCGATACTGTGTGCATCGACAAACGGAGCAGCACCGAGCTTTCAGAGGCCATCAACTCGATGTTCTCTTGGTATGCAGCTGCTGCAGTGTGCTACGTATATCTTGCAGACATGTGCTCAACAGGGTCTGTGAGTTTACAGGCTGTTGCTGATCCACTCAAAAACTGTCGATGGTTTACAAGAGGGTGGACGTTACAAGAGCTCCTCGCTCCAAAGGTTGTGAAGTTCTATGCACGCGATTGGAGTCTAATAGGCACCAAAGAAGAGCTTGCTTCTGTCATACATACCATTACAGGAATTGATGAAAACGCATTGGCCAGCGTTAAGGACATGCGTAAGTGCTCGATAGCTCAGAGAATTTCCTGGGCATCTGGACGAAAGACGACAAGGATCGAAGATCTCGCATATTGTCTATTGGGTGTTTTTGATGTCAACATGCCTCTTTTGTATGGAGAAGGGATGAGAGCTTTTATGCGTCTCCAACGGACAATCATTGAAAACTCTGATGACGAAAGTATCTTTGCATGGTCGGGGGTTGGTGATGATGGGTCCGGCATGTTGGCGAAAAGTCCTGACTGTTTCGCGGAAAGCGGTGACATAATGACAAGCATAGAAGGCCTGGGACGGCTACCTTACTCGATGACAAACCGTGGCTTAGCGATCGAGTGCGAGCTGACCCGTTACCGAATGAACACCTACATCACGCCTCTGCGATGCTTTCGATACCAGCCGGACTCAAAGCCTGGAATTTTGGGCATATACCTTTGTCGCACAAATGTGGATGACCAATATCAAAGGGTCCTCGTAGACGGAACTGACCTATTCGCCATAGCTACATGGGATCCGTGCAATGCAACAAAGCGACAGCTTCATATTCCTGACGAAGCTCACGTGGCTCTGGCTCCACGCATTGGCCTACCTATACTATCGTTCCAGCCTCAAACCTCTCCAGTGCATCCTGTGATCCAGCATGAACATGCTGGGCGCTCAGAGCGCCCAGCAAGTGTAGGCACGGCGGGATTCCCTCGCCAACACGACTGTCATCAAGGGCCCCTACTCCCATGGCGCAACGAATGGTGGCTACAGACAAAACAACACGACCTCGAATCCGGCATGATAAGTGTGATGTTTCCCTCAACTCCAATGGCGGTCGAGAACTGCCATACGGAACCAGTGCATCGAGAAGTGATACTACAAAATTTCGAAGAGGGCTTTCAGTGTTTCGATTCCAGGCTTCTCATTACAGACAACATGAGAGTTGGCTTCAATGTCGATTTCGAGCCGGTATGCGTCCTCTATACACCATGGCTTCCAAGGTACTGGTTTACAGGCCCTCAGTACCAGCTGTTCTCTTTCGGTAACAATGTCAGTTATAACAAGCTGGATGGGAAGTTAGCTCTCTCAAATCCAAGTAGTCCAGATCTCTGGGTTCTCAGGGGCCACAGATCGAAAGGTTTAGAGGCGGTCATAAACACACGGCCACCACACTCATACATAAAAAGACAGCTTGTGATCAGTATGCGCCCAGTTCCTATCGATGAAGACAACGTTAATGGTCTCGTCTGGTACCTCAAGACTGAGGTCAAAGAGATTGATCATGAATTCGTATCTCGCTTGGTTAGGCTTGTCAAAGATGCAGGTCGGCAAGTCTTGGCCCAGCCGCTTTTGGTTCCTCTAGTAATGGTCTCTATTTTCTTTCCCCATCCCATGCTCATATTATTAGTCATAAATGAGGTCTCAAGAATCAAAAGCATCGGCATGATGAATTTCATCAGTATGCATCAACAAATTTGGGTTGCGGGGTGATTCTTGCATAACCTAATTAAGGACGCATACCTCAAGTGGGCTGAGGGGTTCAGACAGACACAGAGACAGACACACAGACAGACAGACAGAGAGAGAGAGAGAGAGAGAGAGAGAGAGAGAGAGAGAGAGAGAGAGAGAGAGAGAGAGAGAGAGAGAGAGAGTGAGAGTGAGAGTGAGAGTGAGAGTGAGAGTGAGCGTGAGCGTGAGCGTGAGCGTGAGCGTGAGAGTGAGCGTGAGAGTGAGAGTGAGAGTGAGCGTGAGCGTGAGCGTGAGCGTGAGCGTGAGAGTGAGCGTGAGAGTGAGAGTGAGCGTGAGCGTGAGCGTGAGCGTGAGCGTGAGAGTGAGCGTGAGAGTGAGAGTGAGCGTGAGCGTGAGCGTGAGCGTGAGCGTGAGAGTGAGCGTGAGAGTGAGAGTGAGCGTGAGCGTGAGCGTGAGCGTGAGCGTGAGAGTGAGCGTGAGAGTGAGAGTGAGCGTGAGCGTGAGCGTGAGCGTGAGCGTGAGAGTGAGCGTGAGAGTGAGAGTGAGCGTGAGCGTGAGCGTGAGCGTGAGCGTGAGAGTGAGCGTGAGAGTGAGAGTGAGCGTGAGCGTGAGCGTGAGCGTGAGCGTGAGAGTGAGCGTGAGAGTGAGAGTGAGCGTGAGCGTGAGCGTGAGCGTGAGCGTGAGAGTGAGCGTGAGAGTGAGAGTGAGCGTGAGCGTGAGCGTGAGCGTGAGCGTGAGAGTGAGCGTGAGAGTGAGAGTGAGCGTGAGCGTGAGCGTGAGCGTGAGCGTGAGAGTGAGCGTGAGAGTGAGAGTGAGCGTGAGCGTGAGAGTGAGAGTGAGAGTGAGCGTGAGAGTGAGAGAGTGTGTGTAGATTGTACGTACAAAATAGGCTGCTTGCATGATATTTGCTCTGAAATCTGCACTGGATACTGAACCCGATCAGATGCAGGCTAATAAATCCCGGGGGGTGGTAAAAGAACCTCACAGCTGCGGCACTATGGCTGACCTTACCCCTATTCTGGCAATGACCAGGAAGGAAAAGTAAATAGCATTTTCACAAAGGCACCGCGTCACATCGAATCAAGTTTTGTTCTTCTACTCTGTAGGGAGGTACTATGTACGCGTACAACTAACAATCCCAGCCAAAAAGTGGCACGTTTGCTCAATGCTTGCTGCTTCGGGATTGGGAGAGACTAGAGCTACAACTCTTCATGTGACACTGAACTTGAAGTAGAAGACCGAAAAAGCAGAGGAGGGAAGAAGGGGGCAAGTATGTGCGTTTGCAATCGCTATCCCCGAAAATAGCCAGCCATCGCTGTTCATGATCTCCAGCCGCAAAAAGGCTGCCCTGGATTTTGCTTTGTCAAAATGTCTGCAAGACGCTTGCCCGAACGCAGTGACATGCAGCCTCCTGCAACGCCCGGTCCAACTGCCAATACATTGAGCAATCCGTGGTCTAGTGAGCAAGGAGAAGAGAATGCTGGCTTCCCGGTGCCAGGCCGAATTAGCACCAACGGGAATCAGTCACTCCTCGTTCTGCCGAATTTCCGACTGATAGGCGAACTATGATGCGCAGCAGGCGTATACGTATCATCATCACTGCAATCATTGTTCTCTGGGACTCCAAATCGCTTTCTCTTTCTCCCACTTCGATTCGCAGTGGTTTTGGCTTTGAGCGAGGGCTTTCCTTTCTCGGCAGGAGGAGCTGACGAAGGTGGCACCTTTAACTTCACGACGCTGGATTTTCGCACAAGGGGCGTGGATGAGTCGTCTGAGTCATCGTCATGCACCGCTTGCAACTCTTTGATGTGATCTATCGTTTTGCTGGCCGGCAGTTTTTTGGTGAATGTGTCAAGAAGACTTTGACGATTGCTGTCGCTTTCGAGGACATCGAGTCTTTTGGTGAGGCCTTCTACTTTCTTTGTAGTCTGTTCTTCCCATTTTTTTGCCAAGGTCTCAGTAAGATACTCGAGCTTGTCAGGTTCAGCGTTGCGATATTCCTCTAGACGATTCAGCCTATGGCCTAGGCCATCAACCGTCTCTTTCTGGATTTTAACCTCATCGACCAGCTTCGCGCGCTCTTCTTTGACGTGTTCGATAAGCTTGTCGTGTCTGGCATCATTCTTCGTCTTCTCCTTCTCCAACGCCTCAATTCTAGGTTCTATGCTAGCAAGTCTAGCACTGTGCTTGTCTACCAGTTGGCGTAAGGTATCCAGCTGCACCAGAGCGTTGTTCAGAGGCTCGACCATTTGTTTCAGATTGGTGATTTCTTGTTGCGCTACAGCAGCGAATGGGTACATCACTTGCATTTGGTGCACCATGGCGCGAACAATCGGCTCGGTTGTCAAATTAGTATATCTATGATCCAGTTGCTGGTAGGCCATATGGACCGCATGGAGCTGCTGCCCTGTTACTGATAGTAAAGACTCCATGCTGTCCAATCTCCTGTTCATCTCCACTGGAAATGCTTGGAACAATGGCTGAGGCGAGGTACTTTGCGCTTGTGGCTGTGGTAGTCGGTGTAGTTGAGGGGTAGGAGGGGCACTTGGTGGAGAGATTCCAGGAGTGGACATTTGGTTTCCGGGTTTGTGAAGCTGAGAGAAGGGTTCATTTAGCTTCTGGGTCTTTTCGAGATCTTCTGCTCTTTGTTTCTGGACATCACGCTCAAGGTCCCCGATGCGTTGTCTGATTTCTTCCTGTGCTTTCACGGTCGATGCTCTGACATCGTCCACTTGTGCTGCCACAAGTTCATCTCTAGCATCTTCCTCCTTTTGCTTTGCCAACAGTCTTTGTTGAATATCAATTATGACTGGAAGACAATTCTTCAGCTGGTTCTCAAGATCTTTCAGACGAGCTTCAGTTTCGCTGCTGATATCATCGTTACCATTTGGAGAAATTTTGACTGCATTGGTGGGAAAGAACTTCTGCCCTGCCTGGCCAGGGCTTTGGAGTTCAGTCATATTGTTTTTCAGCTCCAAGGATTCAGCTTTAAGGGCCACGAGATCTGTCTTCATTGCTAAAAGCTCTTCAACCCCATGCGAAGAAGACTGATTCTTAGCATCTAACAACTCCTGACGCAGTTCTTGTATTTGACTACGCATGAGGTTGACTTCGTCCTCTAAGTTTTCTTTGTGTGAAGCAGCTGCCCTTATTTCCTGGAAGTGAACATCATGGTCTTCTGCACGCGTTTCCAGCTCTTTTGTTCTGCTTAAATGGGATGCATCTAATTCGGAAGATCTGTGAGATTGCGATTCAAGGAGACCTAAGCGCTTTGTCAAGTTGTCTACTGCATCTCTGGTGGTATCAGTGGCGACATTGAGCTGCTGGTTTTGTTCGGAGCACTGCTTGAGGTCGATCTTCATTGCAGCCAGAGAGCTTCTTGTTTCGTTACTAAACGATTTGACGTCGTCTCTAAGCTCGTTCTGCTTCGTGTCGAGTTGGCAGCATTGAACTTGAATCGAATCTATCCTCAAAGATATATTCTTGGCTTCGACACCAGAGGCATTGATCCTGCTGTCCATGCTCTGATGTGCTTCGTCCATGTTGGAGGACACGGATTTATGGTTCTCGAATCTCTGCCTGAGATCATCAACATTTGACTTGAACTCTTCATGAACCGACAGGCAGCGTTTGACCAAATCCACCTGTTCTCGTTCTTTCTCTGCTCTAGTTGGTGTCCTTGAGGTCTGAAGTATCTCAGGCACTGCCGACAGAATATCGCATTGAGTCTTCTGGTGCTCTGCAAGCTTCTGATCTAATAGAGACAATTCTTTCTCTGTGTCCTTTTTGGCTTTGCTACTAGTTTCTGCAAATGCTGGGAATGTCTTTGATAAATCTCCCACTTTCCTTTCGAGATTTGCTTGATGACTAGCCCTCGCCTTGATCTTATTGTGTTCGTGTTTCAATGCTGCAGAAGTGGAGGCGTTCTCCAGAAGAGAACTGAGCAAGGTAACAAGATGGGTTGCTGGATCCACCCAGTGCTCAGCAGCCGTCCCAGGTGTGGAGGAGAGATTCTCTGGTTGAAAAGGTAGCCCTTTCCTTGTCGTCTGAGCACCAGATGCTTTTGCAGTGTGTTTGCTCCGGTCATTTGTTCCATCCATTAAGGAGCTCAGCGTGCTCGGAGACTCAATGATAGAAGGGCCTGGAATGTTGGACTTTGTGGCCACATGAGATGTGCTCAGCCGGTTGAGGAGTCGAGGATCGCGGGTGTCTGACTTAGCTGTGGGGGGCCATGGAGTCGTGGTCCTGGGATCAAACACAGGCTCAGCGTCCATATGGGTGGATATGGTTGAAGGGAATGGGCTGCGTGGCTCTGCAGAGGCTGTTCTTCGAGAGTCCAGGCTAGATGGTGAAGCAGGATGAGTAACTCTGGAAGGTAGATCTTGCTTGCTTCCTGCTCTGTAGGGAGAGCGTGACCGCTGTAAAGCTTGAGGAGATGTAAGTCTGCGATCACGAGAGCCAGCATCGGCCCATGAAGGGTCTCCCTGACGTCTCCCGCGGTCTTTTTCTCTTCCAGGCTCATCATAGTCACGCCTGTATTCAGGCCGATAAGTGTCTGCCATGTGTTGAAGTGCCAGTGGTCTTCTTTGGGTGTGGTCTGGTTGTCAAAGCTGGTTTAGATCAATCGTTGTTATAAACGTTCCTTAGACTTTCCGACAGTGAGAAAACCATAGCAACACCTTGAAAAATTGACATCGAGTAAAGGAGAAGTGGCTTATTGCGCTTGATCTTGAGGTTGAAGAGGGTTTAAATAGAACTTTACTGGAGAGTGAAGAGACTGTTAGCTGAGGTCCAATTGTGTTCCAGAGATTGTTGGTAGGTGTAAGAAAAACACAACTTACAAGTAAACAAGGGTCAAAGGTCGTGGAAAGAACACAGAACCTGAAGGAACGTGATGCTGTGCCTCCTATTGGTTGGTGAATGATCATTAAATCTCTGTCAAGCACTGCAGTGTGGAGGAGGAAGATGATCGCGCCTCTAACTCTGGGCATGAGAATTAGATCATTAATTGGATCTGCCCACGCCACCTACTACGGTAGGAAGCATAATGTTTGTCAATACAGTGCTAGTAGTCACTAGTTCTGATACGAGTCCACAAATAGCTAATTGGTTGTCGAAAAGCTTACAAGATCAAGCAGCCATACAAACAGGACCATCAACTCTGGTTAATCCATCTTTGGCTTAGTGCTGCTTAGCGCTGATTGTTAGGTAACTGTTTTGGTCCAAAGATACTAGTGCGGGGGTGACAAACATTATGCCTCCCCCCGTACTAATTGATCTGCAGTCGTAGGCTACACAACGTTAACCACGCGTGGTGCAGCCACTAACGTGTAATTTTATAGGGCATTGATTGCAAACCCCTGATTAGTAAGCCAGGCCTTGTGTTTCCGGCTATCCAGTGGAGCAGTCAACAAGTATGTGATTATTGAAAGAACAACGAAGTCTTTATGCTGGAACACTAACAGATATACAGCGTGACCACGACATCATGATAGAAGGAAGCAACCACAAGTACGAACATGTCAATTTCTGTCTATACACATGTAAAGCTAGGTGTCCAATAGTAGTAGAGCATCGCGCCTAGAGCATCGCGCCTGGTCTCCTGAGTTGGATAGTGAATTTTGTCAACCTTGAGGGGATTCGATATAAAGATTTGCATTTCGATCATATAGTTTCAACCTGATTAGTTTTGTAGCGGACTATGCAGGCCACCTCTCGAGTACTAACGAACTCCGGAATAAGAAGCACGAACATGTATCAATAATCTGTACTCTCACGTGGTTTCTTACTCGTCTTTCTTGCCAAAAAAACCACCTTTCCTGAGCCCAAAGAAAGTCACTACAATAACACTGGCCGTTGCAGCGGAGACTGTCCAAAATGCTGCGCGATAGCCTTGCATGAGAGCGTCGGTATGGTCAGATCCCGAATGCTCAGTGACCGATGCCACAATGGCAGCCGTAACGGCCAAACCAACGGCGTTGCCGAATTGAGTGGCCTCATTGAAGACGCCGCCAGCAAGTGATTGAACCTCAGCGGGGTAACGTTGGAAATGGCAAGATTCGAGACGGTGGATAGCACTGATCATCCTGTCAGCAATACGCCCATATCTATGTATGATATTGGGTAAGAGAGTTCTCTGAACGCACCGTCAGGATTGACAGGAGAAAGAAGCATAGCCCAAAATGCTGCATGCCAATACGTTTCGTGCATGTTGATGGTTGCCATGTGCGGAGGAGCAATCATAGTAATGATGGCAGAAACCACAACAAGCGTTCGCGCCTTGACTCGAGAAATGAGATAACCAGTTAATATATTGACAAAAACTCCCATTATAACATGAGGCAGGAACCGGATGGAACTTTGGAGGGCGGATAGGGATAGTACGCGCTGGAAGCTGCGGATGCTTCGTCAGATTTCCTTTTATCAGGCCAAAATATCTTGGCCCCGCCCTTATCAATCCTAGGGAACAGTTCAGCGCTGGGATGTGTAATACTGACTATAGGATTGTGAAATACTCTATGGCGTTGAGTGAAGCCCAGCAGAAAAAGACAGCCATATACGTCGCCGTAAAGGAGACATTTCCCCAAAGCTTGTTCGGGATGATAGCTGGTTTCTGACGCCGCACCTGATAGCTCATGTTGACAGAAACACGGCTAGCAGGACAATCGATATAATGAGGAGCACGATATTTGTCATCTCGGAAAGTTATCGGTATGATGATGTGGTCGTGGCGAGAACGTATAGCAGCATACCCAGAGCAATGCTGAGGGTGCAGGCGCCGACCCAGTCTATATCTCCAGTCAAGCGACGGTTCCATGGTTTCTCCGATGGGCGGTACACAGACGGCAAGACCCACGTGGCAGATATGGCTATAGGAAATTAATGAAGGCGCTCACGTAGAAACTCCACCTCCACCCAATCGTGTCGGTGAATATACCCCCTACAAGCAGCCCAACCGAGTAGCTTAGTGGCTGACCCATGCCGTTGGAAGCAGAGGCAATGTTGCACCATGTACCTTTGGGGAACGTATTTGTGATCAGGCTAACTGCCGTGGGAAGACACATCGATATCGCTATGCCAGGGAAGGTTCGGAAAAGGATGATCTGGACCCCAGTTTTCGAAAAGCCAACCACCACCGTAAAGATGACAGATAGGAAGCTTCCCGTTACCCATATAAGTTTAGCTCAACGACATCAGCAACCGCACCAAAGATTAATAGTAAGTAACCGGCAGCCAGGGCATAAACTGAGGCAGGCCACAGCAGGAAACCCTCTTCCAGACCTATATCGTTAGCAATACGCGGCAGAGCACTGATGAGCACACCAGAACCCATAATGTTGAGAAAACTCATGCCAGCAAGCGTTACGATAATTGTTGCCGACTTCGTCCTGGAAAATTTATTCGCGGGGGATGGTTCAGGGTGAACTTGTGGCACTGGTGGTATATCTGGGCTGGTCGGACTCAACACGACCTGTTGCCCACGCTGGGTTGACTCTCCACGGATGCTGAGCTGACAGCTAAAGGAGGTGTTGAAGCAGGTGTAAGGGGGAGTAACTCAAAGTCTTGTTCCGAGTGTGCCGCGCTTTTCGATGCTTTCTGCGGCATTTTGAGCGCCTGAATTTGTCCCATGGTGGTCTAAACCAATGCTAGAGTACCAAGTTGTCCTTCAGGTCAATGATGAGGAAACAGCTAGCGATGGTATAATGATATAGCCGAGCAAGATGGCGCCTCTAATCAAGTATAAATAACCTTTCGTTTTCTTCGTCAAATGACCTTTTTCCTTTCATCAGAAGGCAAACAGACTTATGGATTGGAAAGCAGGAGAAACTGTGTGTGACTCCCTATCTGTTAGAAATCGTGTCATCTGTTGGCCCCCTTTCTGATTGGCCGCAAGTAGCGATACTCAACTAGGCATAAGGTGACGGAAGGATGGCCATCCCTACATCGCAGAGCCAAATGAAGGAAATACCCATTCGAGCCCGAATTTCCAGCCTCGTCTCCTAGATCTGTAGATTATGAGTTGTACAATGCGAGAAATACTAATAATCGATTCTCGTTATAACCTCACCAATTATTTCGAGGCGTAAGCCGAGCGCGCTTATAGTTTGACAGTCATTTTAGATGTTCATAAGTGTTGTTCTTTGATTGCCATTATCTATGTCTTCTTGTGCCTGGTAGTTATTACTTTCCATGTAGTAATTGATTGGGAGGACCTAAACTTCTTCGTGAATGCGATTTAAGCTAATCACTAACTAGTAGCGGTGGGGGCCGCAGAGCAGTTTGGACCAATGAGGCGCTTGCTGAGGCCCATGATCTTGGCACTTGGCATTCAGGAATGGGGAGCGTTTTTTCCAGAGTCATGGACAACGATTCTTGTGGCATAGCATACAGACATCTCTACAACCTACTCCTACAAACATGACCGCGGTAAGCAGCACCAGAAAAGAAGATGTGAGAATGACATTAACATTCACTAGCAAATTACCACCATCTCGGAGAGTAAGGAGGTTCGGGGCCTGAATCTCATCGCAGCCCATTCTCACATCCGAGGACTTGGAGTTGACCAAGCCACACTTGAGCCTCGCCCCTCCGGGCAAGGTCTCGTTGGGCAAGAGAAAGCTCGCAAAGCGGCGGCTGTCATATTACAAATGGTTAAAGATGGGAAGATCGCAGGAAGAGCAGTTCTCGTGGCAGGACCCCCAAGTACCGGCAAAACAGCTATTGCTATGGGAATGGCGCAGTCGCTTGGACCTGATGTTCCTTTCACTATGCTTGCCTCCTCCGAGATCTTTTCACTTGAAATGTCCAAGACTGAAGCTCTTACACAAGCATTCCGAAAATCAATCGGGGTCAGGATAAAGGAGGAGAGTGAGATTATTGAGGGAGAGGTCGTCGAGATTCAGATAGACCGAAGTGTGACAGGGGTATGTTCGATCCTGTTCAACACACGATACATGCTAAACATATATAGGGCACCAAGCAAGGCAAGCTCACGATCAAGACCACTGATATGGAGACAATCTACGACATGGGCACGAAAATGATTGACTCGATGACGAAGGAACGAGTAATGGCTGGTGACATAATATCGATAGATAAAGCATCGGGTAAAATATCGAAACTGGGGCGGTCTTTTGCCAAATCTCGAGACTACGACGCAATGGGTGGGGACACCAAATTCGTACAATGTCCTGATGGTGAGCTGCAAGTCCGAAGAGAGGTGGTACATACAGTCAGTCTCCATGAGATCGACGTCATCAATTCAAGAACACAGGGCTTTTTGGCTTTGTTCTCGGGAGACACCGGTGAAATTCGAAGCGAAGTTCGCGACCAGATCAACACAAAAGTGGGGGAATGGAAAGAAGAAGGCAAAGCAGATATCATTCCAGGGGTCCTATTCATCGACGAAGTACACATGCTCGATATTGAATGCTTTTCCTACATCAACAGAGCTCTCGAGGCGGATCTAGCGCCAATTGTGATTATGGCAAGCAATCGAGGCAACACGAGGATACGCGGAACGACTTATCGATCACCACATGGTCTGCCATTGGATTTTCTAGACCGTGTTGTGATCGTCAGCACTCAACCTTACTCACCCGAGGAGATTTCCCAGATCATTGCGATCAGAGCCCAGGAGGAAGAGGTAGATCTGACCCCAGATGCTCTGGCATTACTTACGAAGATTGGACAAGAAGCTGGATTACGCTACGCTAGCAACATCATCACCACCTCGACGTTGCTGAGTCAAAAGCGAAAGTCGAAGGACGTTGGCATCGAGGATGTGCAACGTAGTTATAAGCTTTTCTACGATCCCTCAAGAAGTATCAAATTTGTCAGCGAGTTTGAGAAGAACTTTATTGGGGAGGAAGGCAAGGTCAATCTTGCCTACACCAATGGCGACGCAATGGAGATCTCGTAATACCTACAGCATGGCGTTCCGGCGTTGGCTAAGATATAGAGATACCAGAGCGGGATGAGCTGGGCGGTTGAATTCTGTGTAAGACTACGAAAAGTACGGGGAGGCAAGAATGATAGCCGTCTTTGTGGAGGATCAAGAGATTTCCAGAATTGGGCTTCGATATCGAATGCTACAAGAAATCGACCACCCGGCTCCACTCGCCCGGGTCGTTGGCCCTTTTGAATTCTACCCCATCGCCAAAATATCCTGCGTCGTTCCATTGCACCATCATGCTACCTTCATATGGTCCATGAACTTCCCCACCGTCTCTTGCATCAGACCATCGGTACTCCCACATTTTAGTCCCAAGATCGACACCATTTTCTTCTGTCTCATGCCTCGGCGGATCAACCCATTCCTCTCCTGTTTCTCGTCGATATAATCGCATTAGCAATTCTCTTTCTGCATCATATATCTCAGGCTGATCCCGGCCGAGTATGAGGTCTGCAGATTCCGTTATAGCTTCTACAGCAGCTTTTCTTTTGATCTCTGCTTGATCTTCATCTTCCATCTCAGCATCTTTCCCCTCGATATCCTGTTTCCTCCTATTTCTGTTCTTCGTCTGCCATTTCGGCCTCCTCTCTTTTCCTTTTCCTAGTCGTGCCAGGGCTTCAAGGACTGTCTCACCGCGTTCGAGCAGCGGTATCAACGTCTTCAACGCATCGCTCGTAAGTACGGCGTCGTTCTGAGTGTCTGCTCGTCTTCTCTCTTCCTCCCTCTTGTCGGCTGCTTCTTTCGCTTTTCGCATATCCTTCTTTGACAATCCTTCTAGCCACGAGTCATGCACTGCGTCTGGGTCTCCCGCCTTCCGCACGAAATTGCCTTGTTCGTCAAATCTGCCCTCTTCTTGCTCGCTGCGCATATTGAAAGCATCCAGCTTCGGCGCATGGGTTTTCTTCGCACCAGCGCCCAGTTCTTCATCAACACCTTCCCCGGTCTCGGCACGAGTCTCATCATCGACATCGCTCTCGCTGCTTGAGTCGACTTCCTGAGCTTCCGTCCGACCCCGATCGAGCCCATTGGCAATTCCATTTGTGGATCCATCTGCTGAAAAATTGGCGGATACATGGCCACCACTTTTTGAATTGAATACCTGGCCCTCGATCTCATCTGCTTCTAGAAACCTTACAGCCTTCCTCTTCCCTGGCCCTTTTTGTGTAAGGTCACCTTCAGAATCATCTCCGTCTCTGAATTCGTCCTCTAGATCTGCGAACATATCCCCAGTCTCCTCGTCCTGGGTTTTGTCTTCCTTTGCCCTGGCCTTTGCCGCTGCTTGCCCATCGAATCCCTCATTTTCCGAGTCTGAATCGTAGCCATCAATGTTGACTGCGTTTCGGCGCACCTGCTGTCCGCGGGAACCGATGACATCGGCGTCCAGAGTGACATCGTCCTCCGGTGCGTCTGGGGCGAGTGCAGATGGATTACGCAGATCAAACCGAGGCTTCTTGGAAGCTTGTCCAAGGTCAGCGTCCTCGTGATGGGTTCGCGCAAAGTCTTCCGCAGCACGTTTCGGCCGGGCAAGGTGAGCCATTGTGTACTGTGTTCAGGGCGCGTATGTGGTCCAGAAGAATTAGTTATTGAGCATAACATGGACCAAATATCCTTGACTTGTGTTGTAGATTTGATTGGCTTGGCGTGAATAGATGATTGTGGTGAAGGCTGCCTCTGGGTTGGAAGCTGTTGTCCAGGTTCGGAGGTGTTTCTTTCGCCGCAATTCTGTTGCGTCACCTCCACCAGCTGCACTCAGCACTACAATTCCAGACTTCACGACCTCAAATTCCTCATCTGTGTAAATTGCAGAGACCTCTTCGAAGCTCGAAGTTAACTTTCCTGTGTTCAAGTACAGTCCTCAAACCGTCCACTACTAAAGGCAGCCGCTTGCGGCCTTCTGCCTTCCCCTTCCTCATCTACACAGTCACACAATGGTTCGCTACAATCATGTCCCTGAAGCTCTGTGAATCTTTCTTACACTTGCTGATAGGACTACTACCCTGGCGAGATGGCGGGCTTCTCGTCATACCTTCGCCGCCCCGGAGCAGGCATCTCAAATCGACGATTCGATGAATACTATCGATGCTACCCAGTCGTCATGATGCCCGGTCCTGACCGTGAACATACAAACTTTGGCGGAAAGGTGTTTCTACCACCGAGCGCGCTTGACAAACTCACAAGGCTACACATCACATATCCTATGCTATTCGAGTTGATCAACGGGAAGGAAGACAAGGTGACCCATGCTGGTGTGCTAGAGTTTATAGCAGAGGAAGGAAAGATTTACTTACCACAATGGGTGAGGAGCTTTTCCGAGTAATTTGACCGCTATGCTGCTGACTTCTTCCATTTAGCTGATGAACACCCTTCTCCTGGAGCCGGGAGATCTCCTCCAAATCAAATCCACTGATCTGCCACCGGGCCGCTTTGTCAAACTGCAACCTCAATCACCGTCTTTTCTCGACATCTCCGATCCTAGAGCTGTTCTCGAGAACGCCTTTCGAAATTTCGCGTGCCTCACCAAGGGCGACATCTTCACATTTTCTTACAACGACCAGACATACGATATCGCCGTGCTAGAAATAAAACCGGACAACGACCAGCATGCAATAGTGACCATGGAAACCGATCTCGAAGTTGACTTCGCCACACCTGTTGGGTACGAACCACCGATAAGAACATCAGGTACCAGCACTCCCCGTAGCGGTGCAGGCCGCCCTCCCGGCGGGCCAGTCCACTACCAAGGCACAATGGCACAATCCATAAATTACGCCGCCATCGCCCCAAACTCCCAGACAGCCGCTGCGGGCGCCAAAGCCGTCTCATCCAATTTCCTGCTCGGCGGCCAAAAGCTCAAAGGTTCCAAAGCTCCCACACCGAAAGCGTCCACACCCGTGGCAGGCGCATCAACCAACCCGGAGAAACCGCTCCCGACTCGACGGAACAACGGCCCACAACCTCTTAGGCTGCCGCCTGGCAAGCTCTTCTTCGGATATGAGATCAAGCCCGTGCGGAAGAAGGCAGAGAATGGAGAGCCAATCCCAGAGGACGAGAAGAAGACACGCTTTCAGGGTCAGGGGCAGAAGTTGAGGGCGAGAAGGGATGACCGGTCGGGTTCCGGCACCGGTAGCGCTGTGGGGAGCGATGCTGAGGGGAAGCCAAAGGGAGCGAAGACGAAGGATCAGGATCTGGCGAGGACTTTGGGTAGGAAGGGGAGATAAAATGGTGACAAACTTTGCTTTTCGAGGAGACGACGGCAACGACCACGACCACGACGACGGAACACATAGATTGATACCCTTCCTGATCTGCAAAGTGCAGATTGAGCGTAGCGCTGGGTTGGGGCTAGCAAGCTAGCTAGATATGACGATAATATCTAAGGTTGCAATTACTGTCTAGAGTGCTTCGCTGACTTCATGTGATAAAAAGTATATGTATATCGTCAGCTAGCTAAGCTACTCAGTGCTCTTTCGTCCCATGGCTCCCTGCTTTTATAAACATCGAACAACTTTCTCTCTGTTGAACTGCTACATTACTAGTTACACGACCCTCATAACCACTCACTTTGCCCTGCGGTCGTTCTTACACCCCGACGGCTTTTTTGGAAACCGGTGAGTGACACATAGCGAATCTGCCGCAAAAACCGGTGTCGTTTAGCCTGGCTGCCGCGCCTCGATCGCTTGTAACTAGTTTGTTGGGCCGATCGGCGTGGAGTTGCGTCCTCTGCCTGCGCTGTTGGAAAGAAAGAAGCCGTGTGGGTATGGAGATGGTGGGTAGCTGAGTTCTGGTCGATTTCCCAACTGGCCGGGTACCAAGTTAGAGGATGCTGCGAAAAAAAACAGGATCGATATGTAAGCATCGCCTCGCTTTCCTTTTTCATTTCCTTTGTTTATAATCATAGATAGCTTCAGGCTGGTGTGATAGGAGTTGACGGAAAAAGTCGTCTACTTCCCAACCAAGCAATGTTTTGATAGGTAGGTCTGATTTTATCTGCCCGGTCGATATCTCTTCACCAGTTCCCAAGCTTGACTTCTATCCATCGCCTGCATATTTCTTCACCAGCCGTTTCAGGATAGTAACCGCACCGTTTCGATACCCACCACCGCCAAAGATGGCCCAATGGTTCAGATGATGATAGCACTCATAAAGAGCCACTCTATCATCATACTCACCCACCGGCTCGGTCTTGGGGACGAGATCATGATATTCGCGGTAGAAACCCGAGCCGAATCCGCCAAACATCTTCATGATGCCTAGTTCGTACTCGGAGTGCGCGTAGGTCGAGGACGGGTCGTAGATGATATCCTCGATTCCCGCTTCAACCTCACCGTCGGCCCCATTGGTGTCGGGAGAAGCTTGGGCCTGGCGGCCAGGAAACGTGCCTCGGCTGTGGTTTCCGGACCAGAGATCCCCATGCACGACGACGGGGGCGATGCCTTCGGGGCCGCCGAGATGACCTTCCCCCAGTAAGCGCGGGACGACTTTTGACGCGGTCTTCTCGACCAGGGACCGTAGCTCGGGATCTTTCCCGTTGCGGCCCTCGCCTCGCTCGAGGATGAAGAGGAGGCGGTTCTTGGCGAAGAAGTCCGGCCAGGAGGTCGTGTAGGGTTGATTTGGCTGTGGAGTGTCGCCGCAGCAGGTTGGGACTGGAAAACCGCATTGCGGCGTGTTGTAATTGGAAGGGATAGGGGCCGGGGTCGTGTGGAGTTTGGCTAGTTTTTGTGCTAGAGTCATGCCGCTGCCGCCGCCTGTTTTGGAGGTAGATCTGCGGCGACTGCTGAGGTCGATGAATTCGGTGGCGAGGAAGTATGAATTAGGTTGTGAGTCTAGTTTGCCCCAGGCGAAGCTTTGAGGACCTAGGGATGGTACGGCGGAGTGGATGGCGTTGAGGGAGGCGTGTTCGCCTTCAAACATGAGGGCCGCGTCAGGACTGGGAGAAGTCTTAACGAAGAAGGATTTGAGAGGCTTAGTTGTGGTTGCGAGGCGGAAGGTGGAGGAGAAGCCACTTCCGCCGTGAGATGCGATTTTAGTGGTTGAGGGGTCAAGAGAGAGGGCGCGGAGGATGGCAGGGTCAACTGGGGGAGGCATTGTTGCTTGTTGATGCTACTGAGATGTGGTTCGATTAGAGGTTGGTTCGTGATGTACTTCCCAGCAGCAACACACTGATCTTCTCACATGACCAATACTACATTGGAGTACGGAGTTCAGTTGAGGTATTCCCAATTGCGGTATGATGTAATGATGTAATTTACACCTCTGCCAAGCTTGGGATCAAGCACTGCGGGTGGAAGGCTCGTCCCGCTCTTGCAGCGATGGCCCGGGGTGCGCATGGTCTGGGTTAGGTGACTTTGCTGATTGACAACCAGCAGAAGATCTGCATCAGCAGGACGGGAGATGGCGACAGGTATAGCACCACAAAAAAACAGCATGCTTCGCCTGCTGTAACATTTGGAAGACGATACCCCGAGTCTCAAGTGTGACAATTGGGCATGCAAGATTGTTGTACTGCTAGAAATTCCTCCAGAGTCTCTTCCACAAGGACTTCTTTGCACCGCCATTGGCATTACCTTCATCATTCTCACTTGAAAAGCCCTCAGTAACTTCTCTCACAGCCTTGTCTAGATCCTTCCGCCTTCCGCTATCCAGATCAATCTCGTCCAGTCTCCAATATCTTGTCTTCTTCCAAATCTTGAAACCAAAATAGATCATGGGAAACATCGGCAGAAGGATATATGCATCAACAAAGTTACCAGCATTAAACGGGCTCAGAGTCTGCCAACCCTGGACAACTACCAAGAAGAGATTTGCAGCCAGACCAAAATATGCGTTCCAAGGGTATGCGAAAGATTGGAAAGGTAATTCAGCAGGTGTGCGGCCCTGGTAGGTCCATGCCTGTCGGAAACGAATGTGAGTGAATGAAATAGCTCCCCAAACTAGGAAGGTCGAAACACCAGACAAGTTGACAATGTAGCCATATGCTTTGCCTGCGCCCGTGCTGACGTTCATCATCGACAATGCGCCCAAGAGGTTGGTGAAGACGATTGCGTAAACAGGAACGCCCCTTTCGTTCGTCCGGCCAAGGAATCTGGGTGCCTTGCCGTCCTGGGCCATGAAGAGGATTGTGCGAGAGCCGATGTAGATAGATGCATTAACAGCGGAAAGGCAGGTTGCAAAGATGAAGGCGTTGATGAGATGGACACCGCCTTCCCAGCCGGCATTTTGAATAGCGATTGTCATTGGGGATTTGAGGGCCCTTGAAGCGCCATTCACAAGGCCATCCGCGTTGGAGGGACAGACTAGGCCGAAAAAGAAAGCGCTTCCCATGTAGATGAAAAGGATCCGCCAGACGACCTGCCTGATGGCAAGAGGAACAGCTTTTGAAGGATTCTTCGTTTCAGTTGCGGCAACCGCGACCGATTCCACTCCAGCATAAAAGGTAGAGCAGAAGACAAAGACTGTAGCAACTCCTCGAAAACCATTTGGGAATGCGCCAGGGTTGTGCCAGTAGCGGAAGCCTAAAACTTCATCTTGCCCAATCAAGCCCCCGCTAGCGTAGATAATGGCGAAGAGAAAGAAAACAACAAGTCCTATGAGCTTGAGTAGAGCAAGCCAAAATTCGGCTTCGCCAAAAGCTGTAACACCTAGAAGCTGAAAGCCTAGAAATGCAGACCAGAAGATCAGAAAGTAGCCCCATAGCGGGACTTTGTCGGACCAAAAGACAAAGATCGAGCATATCACATTATATTCATTTGCTAGGACGGCAAACCAGATGATGAAATAGTTCCAGCCCACTGCCACACCGAAAGCCTTATCCACGAATCGATCTGCCAAGTGCATAAAGGCACCGCCGCTGGGATACAGTGTCGTCAGCTCTCCCAGAGATTGCATGATGCTGAACGCAAGAATGCCGACAATGCCAAAGCCGATTATAAGTGAAGCAGGGCCACCGCTAGACAGAGCCCCTCCTGAACCAACGAGTAAACCTGGCCCAATAATGCCTGCGAGAGCCATCATACTGAGATGTCGAGTTGCCAGACCTCTTTTGACACCTGATTCTGGGTCAATTGAACGAGAACTCTCGACCGCGTTGTCGTGGTCGCGGAGGCTTTCAATCCTCTCTGACGGAAGGGGATGTTTGAGTTCCGCCATGTCGACTTGATCTCTCCCAAAGTACACAAAGATCGAGGTTATGGCATGTACGTTGTAGTTTGAGGGAAACCCTTTATGCGAGCTGCGGAAACTTGGTAGAAATAGCTCCTGTAAAAGCAAAACACACTTGAGGTGCTCATGACTTTCGTTCGCCAGGAAAAAACGCACAAGCGGGCAGGGATCACGCCATTCCCGGCCAATAATACCTGACCATTTCACAATTGCACCTCTCGCAAAGTCAGCAACTGCACCTACTAGCCAGTCTTACCCTGTTGGAGGGAGCGACCAAGCTGAGCAGCGCAACTTTTTCACGTCATGTAGGAAGCTCGAGACGGTGACGCACATGGCTGAAAGGGTTTGCGTGGGGTCTGCAAGGAGGGCGTAACCTCAAATGTGGACGCTCGGAGGCGGATAAGCCCTACTAGTACCAGGGCCCTCTTCACCTGCCTGCCAAGTATTGTGTATTGCGAAACTCTTGCAAATCCTTGGCGTTAGATAGAGAATTGCTGCCGCTGCGTCATCAAACAGAAACAGCTCTTTGAGGGTCAACCATGGATTTATATTATATAGATAATATGTCAAAATGATGCTGAGCTTCTTCTGATTCTAGTGATATAGATAAGTAGTAATACAACTCTCAATTGATAAAGTTGACTTTCTACATAGTAAATCCTACTCCCCCAGAAAGAACCTTAGAGATTTAAAACTTGTATCATTAGAATCAGAAGAAGCTCAGCATCATTTTGACATGCAGATTATACAATACAAATTCATAAGTGAGCCTTAAGAGCTGTTTCTGTTTGACAACGCGGCGCCAGCAACTCCGCACAACCTCCAAATATTTGCAAGAGTTTCGCAATGCACAATAATTATAACCGAGCTTCGAAATGCTAGTGGCCGGTCTCCAGCGTAAAGTAACTTCCTATGTATGGAGTACTTTTACAGAATAATCGTGGGACACAGAGCAAAGGGTGCCGAGCGCAGCAACTGAGCAAGGAAGTTCTAATTCGGAAGGCTGTCTTCACTGGATGACAGACCTTGTACCGCTTAAAACACATTCAGACACCAGGCCGCTTATGATGGATTGCCATGGTCAACTTACAGCGACGTGATGAAGCGTTTTGGAGGACCATTCGTTGTAATGCCCGAATCGTTCATGTCGATCCGAAAGACGAAGCAGATCAGGTTCCATCGCATCTGATACAAGAATACAATGAGGACTGCGGGCGATTCCTGAGGCGGGTCGCACAGCTAGCGGTCATGCTTGCGGTGGCAATCATATGAAAGAACGAAAGCGAGGTCGATCGGGTGATATGGCTCCTGGTAGAAAGCATGGCGAGCGTTCTTTTGCTTTCGTAGATTCTTTGTGATCGGGGAAGGTATCATATCTAATATTCACTTTGGAGAAACTGTGCCAAAGGTCATCAGACGGTCGTTAGAATGCAGATCGATGGCACTTATCTGAATCTCGGTGACTGCTTTGTGCAGGGCATTATGGATGGTGAGATCATGGGTATGGAGCATTTTCGTGTCGAAGAGCTCATCGACAGCGTTCGTATCCTCGCGAAGATTCAGAGCGACTGCAACGGATTGAACACACTTACAACGTCCCGATATAGCACAAACGCCATGGAACTTACGCTCGATGCACTTGACAGCCCTGAGACCGTTGCTCAGGCGATTACGCTAGTTGATGCTCGCTTCAGAGCCATTTCATCTTTACAGGAGATCATTGTCGAAGTGTACGAGGACGGTCCGAGTGATGATATAAGAACGGAAATGAAGAGTCACGGATGGACAATCAGTGCAACCAAAAAAGGGAAAGAGTTAGGCTCTGACAGCTCTTTCGACGACATCGGAGTTGATTATGATCGCTATGATGATTATGACATTGACAACGATAGTGACTTTTGGAGAAGGGCAGCGGACTGAAGTCACCTGCATCTACATGCACTCTCGAGAGTAGTAGCGAAAAGAACGAAAACTGGCGAGTTCTGGATGTGGAGGCTTTCTCGCGGGCGCGGGAGGACTACTTAACCACACGTGTCCACTAAGCGGGTAATTACTTTAAGGTGATTTATTGCAGCTCCTATTGCTCTGTGCATCGTTTGCCCTCACCAACCCTCCAGCGAACCACACCATCCCTTGCCACTTTACCCAGGCGCTCGGTTGTAATCCGACATGAAGGCCCGTTTTCTATACGTGAAAAGTCATGTGCAGGCACCAAAAGTTTCTTCGCTTCGGCTTCCGAAACCGTCCAATATCATCGGCTTCTAACTTATTTGTCCTTCTAATATATGCATTATCAGGCAGTGTAGAAATCAGGGCCTCTGCTTCTCCCCGGGCCACTTAAAAACCTCGTCGCTGACTGAAAGTGTCTTGGAACTCGAAGACAACGTTACCTCGGGAAGTGCTTGCGAACAAGCTTCAGCTCTCTAGGGAGAGGGGAGCCAGATCTTTGTTGAGAACAGATCGGGGTTCGAGCCGGCCCTCCGTGACACGGTTAGATAGCCCACGTAACATAAGCCCAACTGTTAGCGACAAGGACAAACTTCAAGAGGCTTGACTGAGAGGAAAAAGTGTGGTCGACGTAGCCGGGTGGACTTGAGGAAACTCGTCTTAAGAAAGGAATAGGGTTGAGTTAGCCTCTTGCTTTGGAGACCAGGCTCGCATCTTGACCGAGTGAAAATACGCTCTGCCCTGAATCTTTGTCACTGCTGATCCTAGGATACAGTTGTCACTCGTTTCGAACCTTGATGCAAATACACCTGCTCGAGGCACCATTCATCCTCCTCTGCATGGACCGGTATTGATTCAGACCTTGTGTTCTTAGGTTGGTCGTCTCTTTTTCGACAGGTCGAGACCACGAAAGTGTTCCTTATGCGTTTGATCATCCCCCATCTTCAGCGGCCCAGGCTAGGTAGGTCGATATAGTTACGGAATCTTTGGAGCCATTCCAGCCGTACTCACCGACGACGAGAACATCCACCATATTCCTGTCCTTTCTGCTGTAGTGATGCGGCATACCAAGGAGCCGCGACCACTAGAATTGAGTCTCTAAGAGTGAAACCGGCCCTCAATGCCGTCATGTCAATCAAGACCTCGGGAACACCTTACACGCAAGCAAACGTACCACGGCGTGTCCTTGCCTAGCATATCCCAGGTGTCGCAGTGGAGGCATTCGTGGGCAAGAAGAGCCGAGAAGACAGCATAGCTAGGGGTGAGATTCTTGAAGTAGCGACTTGTTCGAGCGAAATCTACGACATCTTCTTAGTCGGGGTGAGAGATGATCTTGAGGTGGATCCCAGCCAGAAGAGAAGTCAGAGAGGAAGAGAAGAGAAGAGACAAGACGTGAGAACAGCAGCTTACCATAAGCTTTTACACGAATACCGCCCATCACTCAATGCAGGGCCCTTGTTGCTTATGGAAAGTCTCTATATCTGCCCTGGGTGCCACAACATTGCTGCCCGCAGATCCACACCCGAATCTTGACCTCTCTCAAGTCCATTTCCACTTTAAGACATAAACACACGTGACTGCAACCTGAGCGATAAATAAGCAGCCTGAACATTGACTAAACCCTACTCTGAGCTCCTCATAGGGGCTAGATTTTGGGCCTATCCCAGCTCGGATAGCTCAGTTTGTAGTTCCCGCGCCTTATCACGCGCGTACGTTTGTCCCTTGATCTGTCTTAATTATGTAGTATTGTGCGTCCCAAAAGTGTTGCAATTCCTTGGCGCGACCCAAAAATTGCTGTGCTGGCGAAAAAGCGGTCAAAAGGCGGAATCGCCAACTGCGTGGTAAATAGGCGTAGATTTTGCTTGTAAATGCTCAATTTAGCAATAGCTGTGTACTCTGCATCTCCCTATTGAGTTTCAGGATAGAAAACCATGGTGTTGAGCCGCAGTAAGCGTTCAAACGCAGGCAAAGCCCCTCAGCGCCTTGATGAGCTTGCGTTGAGTACCCCGCCGCCCCCCTCTACGCAGTCGAAGCGCTCGAAAAAGGCTACGCAGCCTGCGAAACGCCTGGTGCTCTCAATGAAAAAACCGCAGGCTGCTCAATCCTCCTCCTCCTCTGTTATCCCTGCCTCTCTCCGTCAAGAGGAGGCTATCTCTACTGCCTCAGAGAGTCCAGAGCCTCTGTTGAATGATAACGATGGCTCTATAGCTCAGCAGGAGGAGCAGGAGCAGGAGCAGGAGCAGGAGGAGGAGGAGGAGGAGGAGGCGGAGGAGAAGAAGAAGGAGGAGGCGGCGAAGGAGGAGCAGGAGGAGGCGGAGGAGGAGGCGGAGGAGAAGGAGATAGATTTTCAGCCCTATACCATCAAGTTGAGCATTAGATTCAGGAGACGCCCCCATCCTTCCTCGCACTCGATTTCGAGCATTTTGAGCAAGATGCTCATCAACGTGCCTCTAACGCTGCGCATAGAGCTAACAAAAGCGCTAAATTTCGTGGATTTGAGGCAAGCGTCAAAAAAGGCGCTTAAAAGCCTTTTCTATATACCCTTGATGACGAAGGAGATATGTTTACTGTTGAGAGCAAGATATAGGAGCTGCTAGCTGCCTTAAAGAGCTTATCTCTGCCCTATCTACGTATTGCTTTAGTAGCTAATTTTGAAGCTATTAATAAGGATATTGAAAGCGTACACAGCAAAGAGAGCTTACTAGTACTAATAGCTTATAAAAGAGCTCATAGTAAGGCCAAAATAGCCTTAAATGCGAAAAAGCTATACGCAACTGCTAGTACATGCTAGTAAGCAGTTAAAGAGGCTATATAAACTATTATAATTAATTATATAGCAACTCTTAGTAAACGTTATATATATAAGTAACAAAGCTATCCTAATTTTGGTAATCCTTACTATAATCTGCTGTTATATAGTTATATTCAACTTAACAGAGAGCATCTTTAAGCATAAAATCAAGCTATTAAGGATGACCCTAGGGTTAATATAACGTATCCTCTTATATCTCTAGCTTAACGAATAAGTAAAGAGAAAGAGAAAGAGCTCACCAGAAAACTATAGCCTCTATTAACTTTATAGGCAGCGTTAATAGCAAGTTTGGCATTAGCTAAGGGTCTGACGCTTAACCTCAATCTTTTTAGTAGCGCTTAACAGCAAGATATACTGCCTCACGAGTCTACTAATAATAAGGGTTGATATAGAGATTCAGCGACATCATTAAGGGCTATAACGCCTTTATAGCCTCTTGTGACGCCAAGCAGCCTAATTCCACAGGCTAGAGATGAAGATGCTTGCCTTACTGTGTTTATTTGCTCGCGAATCAAGGATAGACCGACTCAACAAGCTGAATTCGAACAAGCATTCAAGAAGTTAATTAAGCATGGCGTAAGGCTCTCAGATATAGCCTCTCTAACAAGAGAAGATTAGAAGGAGATAGATATTAGCTACAGTATTCGCGTAGATTTGCTATAGCATAATAAGATATAGCATTAACGTCATCTAGAGAACATTAAAGAGGCTAACAGCGCTCTTTATAATAAATTTAAGCATTTATAGTCCTTTAAAATCAATAATAGTGACTAAATTCGCTTAGATAGCCTTTAGTTAATACCTAAAGTAAAGATAGATATTAAGCTATATATTAAGATTTCAGATATTATTATCTATTTAAGTAGACTCTTATACAAAATTAATTACTAAAG